ATTACCAAAGATGAAAAAAGCCACTCAGTCACTCAATAATGTCTGACAGTGAATTCTAGCAAGTAAACAGGTTTCCTTGCGTAATTTGAATATTTGGACACTGCTAACGTTTAAATTACACAGATAGGACATACATGACATATATTCATAATTCCTGCAAAGTTCTACAACTAATTTGAGATTGGCTGCAAAAGGGACATAGTACCTTTAAGGTATGCCCTTCTTGGTCCAAACAGACACAGTATATAGTCCCAGGACAGGGATCTCCTTTAATACCTAGGCCAAGTTAGGGAAAGAAAGGATGATGATGATGATGATCCACAGCACTTGTATGGCGCCATTTATCTGTTTCAAACATTCAAGTTGGGGGGGGGGGGAGGTGGGGAGAGGAGGGGGTGGTGTAGGTGAGGAGACGCTTGCCTCTATTACTCCTGTAATTCATGTTCTAAGAATTGGTAACATGTGTTTAAATGATGTCAGCAAGCGTGGCATTATGTTAGTCAACATAATTTGATCCTAGATTTCTCTTTATTACTGTTAGGAGTTTAAGCCCACCGTACACTATATGATCTGGCTACGATCTGATTTTGGATGAACATTTAAAATTGTAACAGTTTAATAACTTGGGATCTGAATTATGATTAGTGATATCCCAATTTCAAGGAATTATCAAGTTTCCTTGGAGAAGAAAAAGCCAAATTGGCTCAGAATCGTAGTAATATCACAACAGTAATTCAATTGTCTATGATTTGAAGCTGATTCGGCTTTTATGATTTATTCTGACTAGACAAGTTAACTGCACTAAAATCCTGGTTTTTTTAGTAGACTTACCATCATTTAGAACTTAAAAAATCATGAAGATGAAATTTATTTTTTTAATGCCAAATGACTATAATTGCCAAATGACTATGATTGCCATTTCTTCGAAAAAATAGGATGATCGTATAGTGTGCCATTAGTTTGCAAGAGACAGGTGGCAAGAGAAATTGACTTCTCTTAAATTTTTCAATGAAATAGATTGATGTGATTGAACTTAATTTTGAGTTTATGATCACTGAACAGAAGACAGAATTGTTGATTGCTATTTTAGCTATTACTTGTGTCTATATGGACCTAAATGGGTTTCACAATTAGAATGAGATCATTCTGAGTCATCCGATTCATATTGCAAGGATTAGGACAACAGAGGGCGATAATCATGTTTAGATGTATCTGCTATCTGACTTGTATTCAAGTAAACTGCTTTCAAATGTATTTATTTATCATTATACTCAAATTGTCTCCAGGAAGTTGGAAGATATCATGTGCTATGGATATAAAAAAGGATATTTAGAGAAACTGTTCTGGATAATAGTAGAATTGTGGTCTGACATTTGTTCTGGTGTGTGACAATTTCTCCAGGCTTTATTTTGTCGAAAAGTATAGGGTTAGGGTTGCAGTTTTTTGTTGTTGTTAGGTTTAAGATGAGGAACAGGTTGGGTTCCAGGATTGAAGTTAAGAATTCAGTTAGTGTAGGAAAAATACCTTGGAGCAATTGTCTGAGGAGCATGTGTCATGCATCCTTTAGAACTAGAAGCCAACTTTCATGCCAACCCTGCTGCAGATCGAGACCTTCTAAGGAAACCAAACTGCTTGTTTGGAGCCAGTAGGGTGTCTACTCATATTCATGTACTTTAATACAGAGTTAAACACCCTTTTGGATCCAAACAGACAAAATGTTGACTCAGATGAGTCTTGTGAAACAAATGCTCCCCTGATGAAAAGAATTTCTTGAAGGGCAATCAGCGGGCAAACAGGTGGTTTGTAATGAGTGCATTGAAGGTGTTAATTAAAGGATATTATGAATTTAGAGGGACTTAGACAGGGGCTAATAATGAGATGAAAGGCATCATGAGTTCAAGTGAGAAGGAGAATGGTAGAGGGCTCAAGAGGCAGTGGAAGAGAAGAAATTCTTTACATTTTACTTCTATTTCTAATAGGAACATTGTTAAATGTAAACAATTATTAAACAAATTTAAAAAATGCTGATGTGGATTTCTTACAAAGAATTCAGAAATACAGATATGAAACTAGCCTTAGAGAAGAAGTTTGATATGAACTTGTATTAGTAGGTTCCTTGATAAACATACAGGTACCAGATTAAAGATTTGGAATGGATTGTTAAAGGAAATATCAAATATATACCATCTGGACTTGTCAAACAGGAAATTATTTCTACTATTTCTACGATTTTATTGTATTATTTGAATTGCTGGATCATGATAAAGATACCCGGTATGTTAAACCCTACACAAATTTAATTTATCTTTGTTTTGCCTGAAGGGTGTCTATTAAACTCATCAACTAAATAACAAAGAGTAACATCCTTGAGGCTCCAACGGACAAATGAAGTTTATCTTGACATATATACCCCTCCAAGTAGCTTCAAGATTATAATACCCTTCATCGACATTCAATGTCATAATGTATTGAATGCTATTATTTTTCATTTTGTTATAAATACAATTGGGTTGTTATTATGCCAAGCAGCCTTTTGTGAATCAGTCTGTAAAGACAACGCCTGTCATCCGAAGGCTGAGATAGTCAGAGATTGGGAGTACATCCAAACGCTAAGGTAGCTTTGCTAGCCAATAACATCTAGTCATAGATACCATGAGTATACTTTGTACACAGAACATTCAGACATACTGCCAACAATCAAAAGAACAATTGTCAAAAGAATATTTTTTGACACGACATTAAAAAAAAAAAACATTTCCAATGTCCATAATTGAATTTGGATTTTGTGTGGAAATTTTTTTATTGGAAAATAATAGAGCAGACACATTAAACATTGTATTTTCTTCTTTTATATAACTTCAAACAATGCAACCATGTATTCAAACTTGTTTGTATCAGTCTTTGGACTGTATCTGCAAGGATTTTTCTGTAAATAAACCAAAATGAATGAATGAAAATTATTCATATTTCGCCAATGATATATATGCAAACAAAACAAATCATTAGCGGTTGGGTCTTCATGATGAATATTATGGTGCATGCAAGCTGATATAATGATGCTGATTTACCAATGAGGAAATAGTTGGCTGTATAGTAAGTCTTTCAGCAATTTCCTCCAATCTTCACATGAATGTGTTAATATTTGTTTACCGATTGTCTGACACATTCTCTTTTAATGCTATGGAGACAAAAGGGATACTTGGGAGGGATGATATTCCTCATGTCAAATATTCTTGTATTTTATTAACCTTCCATTTTTGTAGCAATGATGGGTGTATGCAGGGAAATGGAGATGGCAAAGTTTTGGATGGAATCCTTGACACAACTTCCACAAACCTCTGTTTAATTGTTTAGCCTTTCTTGGCTCCATGCATGTCTCTTGAAGTCGTGGGCTGCCCAAGTAACAAGTAAACATGACAACCTTATTGCTCTCTGCCAAACATTACATTCTATTGAATTACTGATTCATTGCTAATCATGGCCCTTCAATTTTTTCATAACAATCAGTAGATGAAGAAATTGTCACTCTCTTATCCCCTCACTTGAGCAAGAATTAATCTTGAGGTAAATGTCACAGCTCTGACTAACGTGTAGCTATCCCCCGCTCAATTAAAGCCGCTCACCAAATTTTGTAGGGGAGAGAGATGGCAGTAGAACTTTGCAATAGACTAAGAATGATCAGAGCAAGTTTGTCAGGGAAGCAAGATTGACAGATGTTTGCTGCTGTGCATTAGGACTCTTGACAATTGATCACTCATAGGCCTGGTTCTGAATCAAAGTTCATGGATTAAAAATAAAGCGGAGTAGAGGTACCCTTTTCCGTTCCTGCTGTATACTTCTCATGCACTCAGGAATATCCTTGTTTGTAACATGCTTGCTTGGTAAACATTCTAGGAAGATGTGAAGGCAGCCATCTACTGAAGATCCCAATCTTAAGCTCAAATGTACCTTATATTGAAGCTTATTCCTGGACTGTGCATTTAATGTGCTCATGTTGCTAGGTGTTGTCTGAGAGACGATGCTGCCCAGGGATTTAGTTCAAAGGAAGTAGAAGGACTTCTTGAGCCATGTTAAGAGTGATCATCAGATGTTAGAAACCTTCATGTGCTTTTGAGATCTGCATAAAGCGAAAGAAAAATGTGTTGAACTTTGGATAGGATTGCAGCTTGCATGGTATTTCTACAGTTAAGACATCTTTAAACACTTTTTTACAGTGTCTCTTGTATTAAAGACGATAGCGAGCAACTTGGTAAGCATGTGTGAACTTTTGCATGGAATGGGAATGATGTTTTACTATTGGATTTGCAGAAAGGGGACTTTATCTGTGAAAACTGAACTAAGCTTCAAGAACTGAACTTGAAGGATGATTTTTGTAATGATTTTACAGTGTTTAAATTTCCTTTATTGAAATAACATAATTCCAGTAAAGGAAAGATCACCTTACAACATAATTCAGAAAGAGTCATATTGGTTTAACATGATGCAGGATATGTATGTGCAGGGTGTTTGAAATTCAATATATTATTTCAAGGTTTCAAGAGTTTCAAGAGATTGTTTTCCTGTTATATTTTTGAAGTGGTAACATATCCTGTAATTGATTTTCAAGTGCTTCAAATGATCTAGATTGGAATGAATTGGTGGAAAAAAGAGTAAAGTTATCATTCCTTTCCCTGTATGTGCAGTTTACGATGAGGCCTCTCATACCATAAGAAAAAACAACATATTTAAGCCTCGACGCGATAAACCGCAGACAGCTTTTATATAATGACGAAAGTGGAATATGCTTCACGTGTATCTTATAATAAAGATCTGTGAAGAAAAAAAAAGACCTTTGTTGCTGCCGCAGGCAATTGCCATTCATTTACAAGTCATAAAGAAGATGCCATGGTTTACCACTTCATATCTATAGGAGCTACGTGCATGCATTGATTCAACGATAGGACTTATTCTTTTGATATCAAACGTGTTGAAAGAAATATCTTTTTTTTTCTCTCTGACAGGACATGCCGTTCAAGCTGATGCGCCACTCCAAGTTTCGGCATGTCTATGGCAAGCCGTACCGCAGGGAGAGGTGCTACGATGGAATCAACATCAGCAGGAATGCCCATGACAATAACTTCTGCACCGTCAACCCCCTCTTCGTGGCCATCGTTACAGAGTCTGCTGGCGGAGGAACATTCGTTGTTCTTCCTCTTGATCATGTGAGTACCGGTATATTAAAAGGAAAGCATACTATTGCTGATGACTGTTATCTTTGACATTGTCATTGCATAGATCATGATGATGGATTACTAGTGAGTGTTTTTGTGTCTTTCATCTGCTTGGAGGCACGAGAGTGATAACTCTGTGCTAAAAAATATGAGTTAATTCCATTGTGACTCCAAACAGACAGACATATCCTTTTAGAGTGTATGATAGGAATCTCCAACTGTTTAATTAAAGAGCAATGAATATTATAGTAAAACCATCTGAACTTGCTAGAAATTTTGCAGAGACTTTAGAATTGTTGTAGAGGTAGTATTGGATTATTGGTATAACAGAGATTTTTGCTCTGATGACAATTGCTCTGGACACTATGGTCCGAATTCATTAAGGAGGTTTAATTTATACCATGGTTTGAAACTCAACCAACGACTGAAATAAGCGTAAATAAAGCATATTATCATAAGCGTATTTTTAGCCATTGGACATGAAGATGCACACATACAGGGTTATACCATGGATTAAAAACCTCTTTCTTTTCCAATTCATGCCAACATCCAAAAGAGTTAAAGGGAAATCCAACCTAAATAGATAACTACTCTAAAAGAATGCAGAAAAATAAGCGAAGCAAACTGATGAAAGTTTCAATTGAATCTGACAAAATATAAGAAAGTTATGATTTTTTTAAAAAGTTGTAATTACTATAGTATGGGCACTTCAAAGAGAAGGTTGAGTTCTGGGAAAAAGTGACTAATAATTTGTGAGCGTTATCATTGTTATTATGCAAGGGTGGAAGAACATCAGATAAGACATGTTCCCTGAAAAGCATGGCTCTTCAAATGCCTTCATATTCTAAATATCGTCGCTGTTTTCACGAAGTGACGGTAGTGAAAAAAAATTGCATTCACTTTGCGTTACGATTTTCCTCACTACCATCACTTCGTGAAAACATTGACAATATGTCATGTAACATCGTAAAATCCACAAAGGATTTTTACGCAACATGTTCGTGTAGACTATATACATCTTTCTGTGTACAGTGTTTGTAACTTTACCAAGACTTGGCCAAATTTCTTATCATTTTGATGATTCCAGAACCTTGCAATACACACAAATTCTTATATGCTAGAAGATCAACCTTTTCTGGTCGATTCCACACCGTATCTTTCACAATAAAATCGCATGACCAGAACTCAACTTCATCTTTAAAATTGGCTGAAGCGGTAATGTCAATGTGATTTAGTGCCGGACTACTTTTCCATCTGTTTCTTTTTCTAAAATTCATGGCTCAGGAGGGTCTATTCTTTTTAGAGGTCCAATGATAATATGTTATCTATAATATATGTTGATAAGTGCCCAAACAGAGAAGGAACTTACAAGAAAAACAGAAATTAATGACATTTTTGTACATGGCAAATGGGAGAGTTATCCATGTCCTACGTCACAATCCACTGACCAAACTACCAATTTGAGATTTGCATATACTCAGTGATCTCTTATTTCAAACATTAAACTTCCTTACTATTGGTCTGATTCATTTCAAACTTTTGCCATTCTGTTTATCTTATTTTTCTGCTTATATTCAAATCAACTTATTACAAGGGTTGGTTTTATGTATCATGCATCCTTTCTCAATCAGTGTCTTGTGTCTTTTTGTGACAGATTGGTCGCATTTCAGCTAGCTTCAGCAAGATATGTGGTCACACAGGAAATGTAATGGACATCAAATGGGATCCCTTCGATGATCATAACATTGCATCGGCAGCTGAAGATGGGAAGGTAAGGTAGCTTCAACAAAGAAAAAAAAAACGAAAAGTAGATATTGCCTAAGTGTAAAATGAGTTTGAAATATATGTTTTTATATAACTTACCCCAAGAATCCAAAGCAAAATTTGTTACAAATCATATTCACCTTTTCTTCAAAGAGAATTAAAAGATTAGTTCAGGACCAAGTTTCATGAAATTTAGCCTTGACACAAATTTGCTCACAGCCAATCAACTGTTACAATTTCGGGAGCTTATAACCTATTGTTATTGATGACAAGTTTCATGAAACAGGGCCAGATTTATTTTTCAGCAATGGACTTACATAATTATTTGTAAAGGTAATATCAGAAGCTATTATCACCACAGCTTACATATATTCTGATTATTGATTACATTTATCCTTCCATAAACTCTGTTAGTTGGTTCATGAAAACAGAATCACTTGCACAGTGGAAACCCTAGTGGTCCTCAGCACAGCTGTGTAACTGCGGTCTTTTCTCCTGTGAATTTCTTCTGTCATTCGGCCAAGTATTGGGTTGTCTGTCCAACCTTTTGCCTAGAGGTTGAGGGGGTTCATTATGGAGAATAAGGTTTTTTTTTTTTTAATTGTCACATTTTAGTTTCTTTTTTTTTCTTGAGGGAAAGAGAGAGAGATGGAGGGAGGGAGGGAGGGTGGGAGGGAGGGAGGGAGGGAGGGAGGGAGGGAGGGAGGGAGGGAGGGAGGGAGGGAGGGAGGGAGGGAGGGAGGGAGGGAGGGAGGGAGGGAGGGAGGGGGGAGGGAGGGAGGGAGGGAGAGAGAAGGGGTTGGGGTATGGAGAGGGGGAGATTAAAAACAAAATTATACTGTTACAAGTATGTATGGAGTTTGTATAAAACGAGTGTAAGTCCTGTAGTTCTTTTAATATGTGGTAGTTTTATTGAGAAAAATCAAATGATTTTATTGGGAAAATATGTAAACTATGCAATCAATAACAAGTTACATCAGGACTCAACACTGAGTGGGTCTGTTGCGAAAAGGCTCCTGAATTATAACTCTAGACCTCAACCTCAGTTTTAAATTTTAGCACAAGGAAGCATACACGTATATATACATCCCTTAAGAATTTCAACTTACCGGTAGCCCCCGCCTCTTTAAATATAGGTCTGTGTGGGCAATGTTTTTATGTTACAGTACTCCAAATATCTTGGACTGGTAATCTGAAGGATGTACTATTCATTTTCAAACTGGCTTCCTCCCGGTTACAGCAGTGGTTTTGGGGTGGTTCCCATTTCTCCTATTCCTCACAGTAGTATTATAGTTAGATGTTGAGTTTCCTGCATTCTATTTAGAATCATCTCCCCACAGTTTAACTACTAACCTCATCCAGGCTCGGAAATTTCTGTCAGGTTCAAAATGGGAGTGGGAGTAAAAAGAAGGTTATGCCATGTGGAGAAGATCAGTTTTTCTTGTTTCATTTACGTCCTCCCACACATGGTTTGTGAAGCCATTACGGAACAAATGGCTGACGGATACAGAACAAATATCAAATGAGAATGAGAAAAACAAAAATATTTGAGAAAAACATTATGAATCATCACAGTAATCTCACACGTGTCTTATGTTTATCACCCTGAAGCATTCTTCAAGTGATTCTTGGGTGATGATGAAGGGGACCCATATTGTATCAGGTGACAAGTCAGCTGATCTGCAACATGTCAGGTGACTCATCTGGGCTAGGGCGAGGAACTTCAGGAGGTTCTCCCTTTGGGTAGACTCACAATTCTTCAGAGGGGCATTTCTGACCATTAGGAAATCAGAATAATGAATAAATACTTAAATGCTTTATATTAGTCAATTTCCACCCTCTGTGCTGCCCATATTGAGGTCAGTAACTACTTGTTTCTGTTTGATTGTTATGAAAGGAAACATTTAGAAACCTGATAGACAGGCGATACAAGGCCAGAGGGCTACTCTTGAAGCCGATCATTACTCAATCAACCGCCCTCTATCTTGGCAGAGAGACAATGTAAACTTCCAGGGACTTTCCAGGGGTCACTTGGAGTCAGTCCAACCTACATCTGTCCTTGTGTTTTCAGTTGTTGTTATAAAACCTGGAAAGACATCTTTAAAACCAAATTGATGAAATTGAAATGATAGCGCTTCACTCAATCTTTGTAACCTTTCTTTGACCTCAGGTTCGAGTTTGGCAGATTCCTGATGGAGGTTTGACCGAGAACATGGAGAACCCCAAGATAACGCTCAATGGTCACCTGAGACGATGCAGTGCCATCGAGTGGCACCCCACCGCCAAAAACATCCTTGCAAGTGCAGGGTATGATAAACAGGTCAGTATGAAGTAGAAAGATGTTACCCTTTGGTTTTACCCTTGAAATGTGAGTGTAGCCAAGCCCAGAGCCAGCCAGCCATACACAGATATTGCCCAACTTGGTCACTTGGTCACAACTTTTGTTTTGTGATTGCCCAACATAGCATCACTCCCCATGTGCCCAACTATCACTGGGTTGTCCAAACTCTGTAGGCCTTTTACGTATGGCCCTGGCATAGCAATGGACATCATCTCAGTCTATTGATAGATTGGTTTGTGGCCAAGAATCTTCAGACATAATAATTTTAATGTGCCTATAACTCAAGAAAGTAAGCATACATCCTACTTATTGAATTTTAATGCAACATTTGTGTGGGAAATTGAAAACAAATATTGTAAAGGGTGTGAGTAACATTACTTCCGTCATACGAGCTTTAATCACATTAGTGTATTCTCTCTCTCTCTCTCCTCTCTCCTGCCATCTTATGATCTTTCTTTGATTTAATTCAATATTCCCTTATTTTTTTAAATCCATCTATTTCACTTCGATCTATCCCTTGCTGGCTCTTTAGTGCAATGTGTATACCACTGGTGCAATCTGAGCCTGCCTGTAACCTCCCTATTTAAGTCACATGAAAACACATGTAGCTCAAACTTCTTTGGGTTGCTGAACCTGCGGCACATATTATCCATTAACTAGTAAATTAATGCTGTAGTTTCATGTACTGGGTGGGTTATTGACCGGCTTTGACACAGTTGGTTTGACTCTAACATGTGTGAGTAATAATATAAGCTAGGTTCACATAAGAGCATGTAAACTTAAGTTGAGCTTGTGGATTGAACTTACAGGCTATCTTGTAGGTAAGGACACCAGGTAGACGCACTCATGGTTTCAAAACTTACAGTGTACTAAAAGTTAAAGGTAAAGACCAGTATTGGAAATGCCCCAATTTCAAAAAATGAAATGGAAGCTCTTATTACCAATCATGTGAAAGAATATGTTTTGAATATTACATGATGATAAAAATTTTGACGGGAAACCCGCCTACTAATTGATATATTTGGTAAATTAGTGTATCTCTCGCCTGTTGAGAGATATGAAATGCACGTGTCGCACACGTGTGTGTAGTCCCATATACATCTTTCTGTGTACAGTGCTTCTAACTTTATGAAGACTTGGCCAAATTTCTTATCATTTTGATGATTCCAGAACCTTGCAGTACATCTATGGTAGATAATCAACCTTTTCTGATCGATTTCACAACGTTTCTTTCACAATGCAATCACATGACCATAACTGGCCTTTAGCTTTAAAGAACACAGGTAATCTTATGGGGATGTATACGTGATAACTATATTAAAGCCGGGAGGGAGGGGGGGGGGGCTGGGGAGGGGGGGACCTTGAGTGTTCCTACTCAACTACTCAAGTTTTGAGTCCAATGGACGTTATTAATTTTGCGGTTTCACCAGCTTTTTTGTATGCTTGCCTTTTAGTTTAAGACTATATAAAGACTTGCTTGCTACAGGGGTGAACCCTAGTTGTTATTAGGTCATTATTTAAAACTATGTTGTTCCTGTGTGAACATATTATATAGTGTAAGTGGTTTTCTACACGGTCATTGTCGGTACAGCTGAATGGAAGCTCTGCACTCACATCTGTGCCTCTACTTTTTTTACTCCTTCCCTTTCATTTTTCACTCCTTCCCCTTCATTCTCCCTTCCAATCATCCTTTTCCGGTGTATTTATTGTTTTCTTCCTTGGATTACTTGTTTTTTCGCCTCGTTCTCCTTCTTCTCCTTCTTCTCCTTCTCCTTCTTCTCCTTCTTCTCCTTCTTCTTCTTCTTCTTCTTCTTCTCATTCTTCTCCTTCTTCTTCTCCTTCTTCTTCTCCTTCTTTTTCTTTATCTTCTCTTTCTCCTTCATTCTTATACTGGTTATGTATGACCTTAGCTGACTTGAATAGGAACATGTGGTTATAATCATACAGAAGCAAGTTTCAACTATTTATTCTAAATCGTACTAGTCAAAGTTGAACTAACGAGGGGTACGTGGAACCCGCATAATTACTGAGCGTAACTCTAGTCTGAATGAGGAAGTCTTGAGATGGCGACCATATGTTACTTCTTTTTATCATCCTTGCCTAGTCAAGATATAGAGCATGAATCTTGACAAATCTTTCATTCTGTCAGTTAATTAATGCTCCGCCTGATGTACTTGGTCTTTACATTATACTTTACAATCACTTTAGTTAAAGGAAAGTGTTCATTTGTCTTCTTTTTTTAATTTTAAAGTAAACCCTCTATTTTATTCATAATCATTTAATGCATTACTTTTAGAGTACCTTGCTAAGAATAAATGGTTGTGTATGTCTTGTTTGTTTTGGATGTCATTTGCTCTAATGAACACATTTTGTCATGTTCAACATGATTTCAAATTTGGTCTATTGAAATGTTGATACAGCTGTACTTTCTGTGGTTTATCTTCACATTTTATATGTTAAACAGGTACAGGGTGGTGCATATAGTTATTCCTATTTTCCTCTGTTGGACTACGTATCAGTGACAGAATGTTATACCGTACCCTTTATTCAATAGATAACATATCTAACATGCCCTTGAACCTTTCCAGGTCACACCTGTCAATACATTGTCATTATTTATGTTTGAAATTATGTTTCTTTGCACATTTTGATCATAAAACCTGAAACAATGCATGGAAGTGATCAAAAGGTCCCCCAGGTCAGCACTTTTGCACTTGAGATTAGGGGGTGGGGGGGGGGGGGGGGGGGGATGAGGGGGACTCGATGAAAGAGGAGCTTTAATGAACTTGATAATGTTGATGCCATTTCAATAGTTGATAAGAAGGTAATTGAAGTGAAGTTGGAGTATCAAAAGAGACACAGGAGTACACCAAGAGAACAAGTACCAGAAATTAAAAGGGAATCTTTGTAAATGTTTCTTCATACTAATCACAGAATATTTTGAATGCTTCATTAATATCTCTCATTATATGCTACTAAATCCATTCTCTGCAATAGGCTTAACCATATATACACCACATGACCAGGAATACTTAATTATGACCGGGGGGGGGGGGGGGCTCACAAAGACTAAGATCGACATTAAGTTGGACTTATATGGCCGGCCATTCATGCCACTGGTTGCTGTCACCATTGGTCTCTCAATTATGATCTTTAGATATTACTTTTGCCTTCAAAAATGACCTATCAAATAAGGTAAATTCTGTAGATTTGTGACCACGAATTGTACGTCCCTTGAGAAACAAATGCCACAAATGGTTAGAGAAACTAGTGGCATGAAAGGCCTGCCATAGTTAAGTTCAACTTTATAAAGTCAATCTTAGTCTTTGTGAAACACTCCCCAGGAAATGTAAACTGGGCAAAGAAAAGAGAAAGGGAAGGAGAGAGTGGCATTGTTGCTCCCTAAATGACCTGTGTAGTGAATTTACAGTGCACTGTTCTCTAATTGCTTTATGATGCAATGAATCTCGTACTGTGATTTCAATTTTATTCTCTGCGACTTAAAGCGGCAAACTTTCGGCAAAAATTGTGCCAAAAAGTAAATATTCAATTTCCAAAAATGCAGCACCCTTTTGATAAATGTCACCTGATCATTTCCCGAAGAATTAATTGAGAAGATCGTAGATAAGTATGATAATCAAAACATCTGGGTGTATATCACATCCCACGTCCTCTAAAATCGTTCTACTGATTTTGTTTTTAATTGATTTGATGTCAGGATTGGATTTACAAAGTGACATTGAGATCTTCATTTTATCTGGATGTTTACGTTCATGTTTTGCAAAAACATCCTGTATCTCAATATAATGAGGGAAACGAACGATACAGGCTTTCATAAATGATCATGGTCGGATGCCGCTCATCCTTTCTAATCACTTATCAGCTATTCACTCAAGAATGTAGAACATCAGTTCAAGGGCCATCTCTTCAGTTTGCATTGCTTCTCTGTACATAAAGGAGATACCATTGGTTGTATTCTATAGAAATCATAGACTATAGAAATCATGTTTTAGGAGCTACTAAAGTGGGGACATCCTATGGGAGATAGCTCTTAGTCCCATGTGGTAGGTTTCATGTCATCGTTTCCTTGGGGGGAGATTACCTAGCACATTTTGAGTGACATGATAGGGGTCGGATGCAGCTACTTATAATAATACATAGCAACATGAGTCCTGAGGGTATAGAAAAGTTGACAACCCCCTAGAGGTTTTTTTTTTTTTTTTTTTTTTACTTAAAGGGCTCTTATTAAATGTTTTCCTGCCTGAATTGACTTACCGGTATTCCGTAAATGAAGTTTGTCAGAAAGAAAAAAAAAGTGCTGATTTGGGAGCTCTCATGGGAATTCAGTTTGAAGTGTGTGAATCGATCAAGGCAGCATAGTCCAAATTAAACACTGATTTACTATTTATTATAATTGACATTTAATCATGATCTTATGTCTATTGTGTTTGCCCCCAAAAGACAGTTTTCCTTTTTCAATATATACAAGTACTAAAAGTTTGGCTTTTTTATAATGACTTTAATTTCTCTTGATTAAAAAAATCCTTGGAATGATTTTCTGTGTGCCTTTTTCCCCCTCCCCCTCCCCCCTCAGCTTCAAACTGAATTTTGTTTGCCAAGGTGTAGTTCACCAAAACTTGATTTTTTGTATCAAATCAAATACTGCATGATCATCTCTGCTCTATATTAGTTCTTAGATTCATCAATAGTTTAGGTGGTAGACAATGAGAATCTATTGTTGAAGTAATAACCCAGACATTCTGGAACAGCAGACTTTAGTCTGGTTTGGGTTTAACTGGTATTAGTCTCTGTCAATCTTTGGTGATTACCTAAACATCCTGTCGTACTAGTCTTTAACTGCTAATTATAAGACAGACAGACAGACCCTGTAATACAGGGAAAGGTATATAGTGTCTAGCATGGATCTGCAGGAGTCTGCAAGATGATCCGTAACTGAATCCGACATCTTCTTATTAAATATAATTATCTATAATGGTAACATAAAGGAAATTGGATCAAAAGATGTCATAAGATCCATGTGTAAGATGTTCCATTCATGATATTCAATGTATTTGAAAAAGGAAAGCCATTTGAGCCTATCACTAAGATCGGAACTAATCTTGCAGAAGTTTATACATATTTGCACAGTACAGACTTATTGTCATATGAGTCGAACAGTAGTGAAAATGTATTTCCTGCTAGCGATTTATAATTATTTTGTACTTCTTATTTGTTTAATGGTCAACTTGAAGAGAAGAAAATTTCACAGCACCTTAATCTTACTTACGGTTTACTGAATTTACCAAATGACAGAAATATGAACAGGTCTTTTCTTGAGAGGGGGGGGGGGGGTGGGGGTCACTGAAACTGTATAAATGGGATTCAAACTAAAGATGAGATCTGTCTAGAGTAAATATGGTCTTGCAAATAAATGGAAAATAGTAAATTAATTTTGAAACAATATACTTGAGTCCTTTGAATATATAAGTAGAGAAATGTAGGTCAAGTGGTCATGCAAAAGTTTTGGAACCTTGCAAACAGAAAGAAAATGTTATATTGAAAATGTGAATATGTGTGTGAATGGTCCGAACTGAGTGTTTAATTTGTAATGTGTGACATGGTGGCATCGATTGAAAGAAGGCAGGATGATACAGCACAAGCTTGTCAGGCTATATTGACAAAGAAAACTAGAAGAAACGGTTTGACCGTAGGACTATAAGAGCGGAAGCTGGAGCTGGAAAGTCCTCTTAGCTGAAACTTTTAGAAAACAAATGTCTTTGAAAAGTTTCTCTGAATTGAGGTCTGTGTTTAAAGGATGCAGCTTAATGTGAGGGCCAGACTGGGAGGAAGGCTCCCTCTCTCTCTCTTTCTCTCAGGAGGGAAGGAAATCTATGGGAGATTAACAAGTCCAGGGAGATACATGTAGGTCAGAATCTGAACTTGAGGCTCCTCTAGCTGCTACACAATGTGACCCCATGCAGCATTGAACAGCCCCCGCAGGCAGGACGCATCGTCTGCTTAGAGCCAGGAGGGCGTTAGCTCATAAGTACTGCCTTTACATGGAGCTAACGTCCTTGTAGCTCTCACTGGAAAAATTATGTGATAGGTGCAGTGTTTATTCAGGGGCTACCTTAAATAACTATGGTTTCAGCTAGATTAAAAGTGGCTCGGCTTGGGTGGCAGGGGTAGGTCGGGAGAGGAATTTCAGTAGGAGAGGTTTTTTCTGTTCATCGGGAAGGTGAAAAGGATGAAGAGAAAGAGAGATGGAAAGCAACTGAAAAGAATTGAGAGAGTGAAAGTGGGACAGATCCAGATGTGTAAAAAAGATATCAAAGGAGGAAGAAAAAACTGAGAACCAAAAGACATGACTCATTTTTTGAAAATAGATAGAAAAAAGAAGCGGTATATAGAGAAGCACAATTTTGTTGATTCTGGGTGTTTTCATATTTAATTGTGTTGATATGTATATCATTAAGAATAAACTGTGTTCATGGTTTATTACAGATGGAAAATACCCTCTTCCATCATTGATCAGTGTAATTTCTTGTTTTACTCATCAATAGTTATATTAGTTGTGTTTTTCTTACTTCTGTTTGTAATCTTCGATATGTAGCTTTTTATTTGACTTAACAGATAATGCTGTTTAATTTGGATATTGGAACTTGAATACGACAACTAGATATTTTAAATACTATTAGTAACTTGAATCAGTGGTTTAGGGCAGCTTGCCTAGAGCCTCTATTTTAGGTGCTTCATGCATTAAAATAGCTATGTATTCGTATTTACCGGTATATAAATATTTTCTTTTATTTTTACTCTTAGCTCTTGATCTGGAATGTTGGTACTGGTGAGATTGCTGTAAAGATAGACTGTCACCGTGATATCATGTTCAGCTTATCTTTCAACTGGGATGGCAGCAGACTAGCTACAACCTGTAAAGACAAGCTCATCAGGATCATTGACCCCAGGAATGGTGATGTTATGCAGGTAGGTACCCTAGCTAAAGGCCTGTTTACATATGACACGGTAATGCCTAGGTCACATATAAACCGGGCTCGGTACGATTTCCCCTACCCGGCGGCTTACCGTGGATATAGAGACCGTACGGGAACCTTCCGATTTTCAATTCTACGGCATGTGTGGTCACATATTCTGCGGTGCCCGGTGAAAATTGGTCGAGTGAAAAGGTGCCCGTAAAGATTTTTTCATGAGAATTGACCCTAAAAAATTGTGAGGGGCGCGCCTGGGCACCGTCCAGACCACGCACGGGACCCGTAAGGTGCCCTACGGGCTTACCACGGCCTAACGGTCAGATAAAAATGCCGGGAGAATTGGGAGCAGCCAACTCAGCACCACAGCGCCATAAACAGTGCACTGCTGCATTTTCACACCACACCCTTTAAATTTTAGAATGACATAAATGACACATTATATTTATTCATATTAAAGTGTTCTGGAAAGCGTGGTACCAGTAGTTAATTATCCAACCCCTCCAGTTTGATCCATTGATGATTTCACTCCACATTTTCTTCATGAATTTGGCAGACAGGCTAAAGTGTTATTTCACAAAAAGCATTGTTTAGTGACACATGCCATAGTGATAATTTTCCTTGAAAATTTGCCCATTTTGAAGTTCTTTTCCAACATAATAATAAGAGAGGATTTCTATATACAGTGATGGTTTGTATTCAACCTTGGGTTTGCATCCCTAAGTTTGGATCATTTTTAGATGTACATGTACATACTTGTATTCTACTTTTTTTTTCATCTCTAAAGTTTGTATGTTTGTTTTTCATTTCTCCTTTATGCGCAGGAGGGCAAAGGTCATAATGGGAACAAAAGTTCAAAGTGCATATATGCTGGTGACACAGGGCGGCTGATCTCAGTAGGTCACAATCGCAACTCTGGTAGAGAAGTCTTTCTGTGGGACCAGGTCAGTTCATTATCATGGTATATTGTTCAGAGGGGCGTTTCACAAGACTTGCCATCATTGACAAATGACAATTTGTGTTATAAGCTACTGAAATCCTTGCTTCCAATTGGTTATCAGCAGATTTGTCACTGATTTTTGTTATTTTTCATTGAAAAAAGGCTTTGTGAAACACCCACCCCCCCCCCCCCCCAGATGATGCATGCTAATTAGTCTATTATGTGATCATTACGAGACTGTGTTCATCTATTGTACAAAGCGATCAGGTGGATTACGATGTGTGCATGACAGCCTGAACAAGAGCCGATAGAAAGTATAATGTATGTGTTGACCTACTTCTACATTGAACTACCTTATGAAGTGGTGCGTGCTGTCGCGCACAAGTGAATGGAATTGGAAATTAAGTCTTTAATAACAGGGTTAACCTTAATTTTCACTCCGTTCATTATTAAGGGCAATCAATCTTGAGATCCGATAATAGAATTGCATTTGAAGTAAAGTTATCTTTCAGTCGTCTTAAATTGGCGTTGATTATGGGGATGTTTGGATAGCCAAAAGTTACATGTACTTATAAAAACATCCAACATGGAATGTTTATTACCTTGTATTTTCTTTTTATGCTTAAAACTATATGTATGTGTGTGTTTTCTATATTAAGATTTGTTAAGGAGATGCTAACTCCTTGAATAGTAGCTTCTACTGTTCACATTTCTTTTGTGGTGATTTTAGATTTTTATTTAATCAGTAGAACTCAAAAGAATAAAATTCCAAGGTATTTATCACGGGTGATATAATTACATAAACTCTGAATGTTTGATCATGAGATATGACTAATAAAGAGGTTTTAGACCCAGCAAAATAGTCACAGAACCAAATCTTGCTGAATACTACAAATACCTGGAAGCACTGTTAATAGATTTAGGCACATCGGAACATATACTACCACAAGAAAAAGGTTTTGTGGTCCAATATCTAAAATGTTTCTTTTTTTTATATTTCAAGAACATTTCTTCTCATGTTACATTTCTGTGATATTCTCTGATATACCTGGGAATGAAACACATGATAGTTTTTTTGTAATGTGTCTCATATGATATTTGTTCTTTTTCCACACATTAATCCCAGAATGTAGAATCTCTTGATTTCTCGACCTTTGAACAATGATGCTTTCTGGTATTACTACCACTAGTTATCATCATATCAAGAGATATGTCATTCATGGATGAAATATATGGATAAATGCCATATTACGTTTCAGACACATTGTATACCTACCAACTAGTAAGCTTCCACATCAAAACTAGGAATCTCCAAAGCCAAAATTAAAATATAGTGCATTTTTAAATGTAGTAGTAGTAGAAGAATGGTTTTATTAAAACAACTGCAAAATGGTAGCCCGAAAGCTAAATTACATTGCAAGTTTTACAATTAAAAAAGTACAAATAATATACAGTAAAATAGATCATAATTTATTACATATTCCATACTTGCAAACATATTGATGATACAAATAGAAAAGATTCCTCATTATTATTATTTTGTAATCATTGTTAAGTGAGGAATATTCAAATTTTAAATAAAAATTAATACTTTTATACAGACATTCAAGAAACACAAGAGGAACATAGGGTTCCTCCTAAATAGGAGTGGTTGACAGCTATGAGTCAATGCACAGAATCGTCTTAAGATGATAAATTATTGTATTTGCCATGACACTAGTTGAGTGACATGTCAGTTATCATACAATGTCATGTTCATGATCATCCTACAGGATAATCTCAGTAGCCCAGTCGCCAAAACAGAACTCAATCCTGGAACAGGTGTTCTCTTTCCATACTATGACTCGGATAGCAATGTCCTGTACGTTGCAGGCAAGGTGAGAACGTTGAAATAAAATGTACCATTTTTCTACTATCCTCTACCGACGTGACCACCATCCTCCTTCTACTATCTTGTTTGAAAGCATTTCATTCATATTTTTTTTCACACCTACCATCCAAAAATTCTAATATTATTTCATATTTTCATTCAAATTTACCTCTCTACTATAATTATTCATGACAGACCTAGGTTTTGATTGTTTAAATATTTTTTGTTGACAATTACAAGTAGAATTTTGATATAATGTATTAGATACCAACTTTTATCATAACATTAAATGTATAATTCATTCCTTTTTTTTTGTATGGCCTTCATGAAATCGTTCTTTATGTCATACATTTGTCATTTGTATACCTTCCTTTTTGTGGATATAGAATCATATTGATACCCTTATACAACAAAAAACAAAATGAAGTAATAAAATTCTACCAACCTTTTTATATATACAATTATATGCACTTTATAAGCCCTGTATTCAACTAAAATTTAAACCTGACTCAGGATTTAGGTTTTTGTTCAAATCTGGTTTAACAAAGGAAGTTAGTCTGAGGTCAAAGTTTTATTTCTTGTGATTGTAGACCCAGTGTCAGGTTTAACTGAATTAGAATACGGACCTAAGAGTTAGGGTACGATCCATTTTCAGTTTCATGAAAAATTCTAGAAAACTCTGAGACTAAAGCAAACCTTTACATGTTTCACACATTCAGGGTGACTCCAGCATCTGGTATTATGAGATCCTATCAGAGAAGCCGTACCTGTTCTACCTGAGCCAGTTCATGTCATCAGGACCGCAGCGAGGCCTGGGCTTCATGCCCAAGAGGGGGGTAGACATGAAGATAAATGAGGTGGTCAGGTTCTACAAGGTCCATGCCAGCAAAAATCTATGTGAACCAATCTCAATGATCGTACCGAGGAAGGTCAGTAGAAGTTTGGTCAAACTTGGGTTCCGAATTATGTGACTTTGGGACAATACATGTACTTGGGCCAGGGCTATATTAATGAGCGTCTTTAACTCTACATAGTTAAAGCACTAATCAAGTCCTCTTGCATTTAAAAAGGGTTGTTTTCTTGAGCAAGTACATACGACTTGATTCTGCTTATTTTAAAGTCAGGATATCATGTTTTTTATTTTTGTTCAAAGTTACATTTGAACACTGCTTATGCAAGATGCACTAGACATTATAATTTTAAAGATTAAAAAATAAATCACAATTACATACAGTAGAGCTCTTAGTTGAGTAATTCCGTGAAGATAGAGATTTATTCCTTCTGATTTGAAATCTGCAAGAATAGTAACATTTTTCTATGAGATGTAATGCTTTCAATTCTTATCTACTATTACTAGGGAGATGCATTCCAGTCTGATTTGTACCCAGACACTGCTAGTGATCAGCCTGCCCTTACAGCCGAGCAGTGGCTGTCAGGTATCGATGCCCCACCCCACCTCATGTCACTTGGAGGAGTACCCCGTGCCATCAGTGCTTTCCCTCCAGCTCCAACCCCGGCCAAGGTTCCCCTCAGACAATCCAGGAACAGTGACAGCATCTCCAAATCATCCTCATCATCGTCCACCTCTATGTCGACATCATCGGCTTCGATGTCATTGCCATCCACATCGTCCACCATGATGGGTAACAAGCCAACCGCCATCGTCACCGGCGTCAACAAATCAGAGAGGGACATTCAGCCCATTAATATATCACTGACTGATAGTGCCGCACCGGCTTTCGAGAAAGAGAATGTGAATGTCAATATTAAGAGGGAAGATTCAGAAACAAACTCTATCAAGGAGAAGTCAGAGCGAGAGCTTCTTGAAAAGGACACTGTGAACAGTGCTGGAGGAGAGCAAGAGAAACCTGAGGCCAGATCATCATCATTGACGTCCTCCCCAGCAAGGTCTTCAATATTTGCACAGTGGAAGACGCGAGAGGCAGAGAGTAAAAATGGTGGATCCTCGTCAAGTTCCTATTCAAGGGCCGAAAGCAGAAAGTTGCGGGACCATCCATTTAAAGATCAGTTTGAGTCTCGCAGTCGATCCTCCAGTGGTGAAATTGAAATTGCACCTCAGCAGCATTCCAGGGAAGATTCTGGGTCTTCCAGCTTCAGGACGCCGCTGTCCTCCACGTCGGACGACTTTGAGGTGGAACGATCGCTGAATCTGGAAGGTAGGGAGGTGATACGAATCAACATGAGCCCCACCCGTCAACCCAGCTCGACCTCCGGGAGTCCCCGGCGAGCACCCGGTGTCTCCGACTCCTCCACTAGACGTCAGATGAGTGTCTCTGTAGAACCCTCCAGGGCACCTAGCCTTACAGACACCAACAGACGCAGTGTGAGTGTGTCAGAGGAGAGACCGTACTCGCCTATGGCTAGCACCATCGCTAGTCGGTTCAGTATCGGAAGCAACGGGTCAGAGAGAAGGAACATGGATGATGAACCTCTGCTCATGTCTAAAGACATGGGTATGGATCAGGTGAGTGGGGCTACGTGCTGTCTTAGCATTTGTATTTTTCAGCCAGTAGATTTACACCTTTTCCAAGTTGCCATCTATATTTTACATTTTTATTCTCTTTTTCTTATTTCAATAGTGAACTTGGATGGATATGTTTTGCATTACAGATATTTTGATGAGATATGTGAGATAGATTCCTCCATGTCATACGACCTGAATATGCAAAAATATAAGAAGGACGCAAACAATTGTTGACCATGTTTCGTGTTTGTCATGAGTGTGTGATCAATATTTGCAGAAAGACAATTTAATATGAAACAAAATGTAAAGCTTTATTAAGCCTATATCTTAAGTTTTGTCCTGTATTTCTTAAGGCATCTTCCTTTCTACATGGCGAAAAAAGATTGTTTTCAAATCTATCTATCAGATCAAATGCTGTAGATGTTTGTAGATAAAACGTATAGCCCCACAGTTATGCAAGTAAAAGAGAGTGAAGCATGATGCATGATGATTCTTTTGCAGGACTCGGAATCGAGTGAAAGACGGGATGAAATATCTGAAGAAGTGTTCACCCCAATTCGGTCCCCTTCAATCCAAAACGTGAGCTAGGGCGAATTGGTTTCATGCAGTGAACTGATATAGAACTCCATCATTTGCATTTAGGGAGCTTTTCACATAACACATTCAATAGCTCCTGGTTATAAAATAATTTTCTTTATGTGTGCTTTCTTTGACTATAAAGTAATATATTTCTGCTGTGTTGCGAGTGCTAAAGCTTCCCTCACAAAAATAACAGCAGTAAAAGTAATTTTATAAATATTGATAGCTGGTCTCACAGCCTGTAGACCATAACTTTCCTCCAGTTACAGTGTCGATCCTTTATTTGAAACAATTTTACTGTAATTTCAAAATCAAAATAGTAAAAATTATTTCAGATTCAATGTTCAAAGATCCGTTGAAAAGTAAGCATATTTGAAAGACACCCAAAATACTCATGGCAATAAGAATGCAAGAATGGGTTTCAAAGCACCCAGTCAAAAATTAGTTTCCGAAGTAATCAAATCTCAACGTAATATTATAACAGCTACCAGTAAAAGTCTAAATATACAATACATGATAGTTATCATGTTACCGAAGTGTCCTTCAGTTAGGTATTAATCCCTCGGAGAGGACTTAATTAAAGCCTTCGTTCCCTGGTTGCTTACTTACAAGCATAACACCTGCTTTCTTAGCAGTCAGGTAAAACAAACTAACAAACAAACAAAAATATCTACAATGTACATGACTTGTATACATTGGATACTGATTGAAAAACTGCTCTAATAATTCATGGAATGCTTTCATAGGTACATTTGCTATTGAAAGGACATGATACATAACCTGTACATTCTTCCCATAGCATATTTAGAGAGATAGTTGTGACACGCGCACGCACACACGTACGCACTCAGGGTTCAATTCATGGAACTCCAAACAGTTTCCTCCCACATACAATCTGTATGGGAGGGAACTATTTCAGAGCTCCAAGAATTGAATATTGATTGCTTACATGTGTGCGTGTTGCAACTTTCTCTCTCAGTATGCTATGAGTCTGTCTGTGTGCTTGGGAAAATTGGTAATATGTACTCTCCTCTTCTCTCTCTCTCTCTCTTCTCTCTCTCTTTTTCTTTCTCTTTCTCTTTCTCTCTCTCTCTCTCTCTGTCTCTGTCTCTGTCTCTCTCTCTCTCTCGCTGGCTATAGCAGCAAATGTGACAGATGTTGCCTCTACAGTTAACGTCATCTGTTCAAAGCCAGAAGGGTGTTATTTCCATGTCATAGTATATGAGCCAACGTCCTTCTGGCTCCAAACATACAGTGTAGAAAGTGCATCACATCATCATATATATTGCTTTCTTTATAGACCATGAAACTAATACGTACACTCTCCTGGACATATTCATCATTAAGCTTGATCATGCTTCCATGTGAGGTCTTTACCATCGTGTTTACATGTACAGTGTATTGTTTGCTATGACGGTGAATGGTTATGAAGATACTGCTGACTCAAGTGTAATCATCATTATTATTTTCCCAGTCTTGCTCAATTCAACCATGTACAGTGTATACATACGGTACATGTAATTGTGCCTGTTCTGGGGCCCGTTTCACACAGCCTAGCTAGCTAAATATTGCTCACTGATTTTTTTTTTAGATAATGAAATATTTACCGGTAACATTCAAAGTTTACAATTAATCACATCATCAGCCACCTTTTAGGGTAAATTCTATATATAGAAATATTATTTTAGTTTCCTTACTAATGCATTAAACCCTAAATTTTTGTACATCCATCATACATTGTAGAGGGTTTCAGAACATGATGTAGCATACATTTTTTTTTCTTTCTCCAAGCAGTAAGCTGCATTGCAAAGACTTTGACAAAATTTAATCAGCTTTAATTGTGCATCACCTAGTGTAACATGCCAACATTACAGTGGAAAATTATATAATCTGAACATTATATTTTCATGCAATAACTGAAAGTCTTTATTGTTTCAGTATAACATCCATTCTCTGCATTCATTTGTTCATTATGCTGCTTATGATAACTTACATTTGAACTTGTATTCTCGTAATAGCAAGAATTGTATCGTCTCACAGGTTTCAACTAAAATGTAGAAGTAGGGCGAGAGAAGCTTTGTTCCTTAATATTTCACTGAAATTTACAAGATTTAAGTAAACAGTTTAGGCCAGTGGCACAAGTTCTGATGTTGAAACTGCATTTAAATAAAGAAAAGTTGATTCTAAATTGTTATGTCATACAATTTATGTACAGGTCTGTATTAGTTCTAATGACCAGCCCCCCCCCCCCCCAAAAAAAAAAAAAAATTAGTGAGACTTGAACTTTTCTCATCGTGAGACATCAAGATTACCTTTGACTTTGATAAATGGATAAAATTCTTGATGTCACACTGAATAAATTTCCATACACTGTACAACTTAAAGTAATACCGCACTATTTTCCTTCATATTTCTTTTCTGTGCAGCTACGTAAGGCTTACCTCAGACAACAGGAAGAAATCAAGCAATTGAAATCAAAGATACTTCTCAAGGATCAGAGGATACGACAACTAGAGAGGGAGCTAGAGCAAGCCTCAAATGAATCAACAGCATAGACGAATCAGACTGCCAAGATGCGCTGCTCAGCAAGGCCCAACACAGATATTTTAGTTTTACATCTTTCCTTTGGGACTTGAGGTGCTGCAGGCCATTTCCATTTAACTCCGATAAACTGTTTAATGAATACAGGAATTAGTTGATGCTTACTTGTATAACTTCATGAATGCATTGGTAAAATGGATGGGATTACCTTTGCTTTGTTAAACATTGTGTTTGCCTGTGGCCTTGCTATGTGTGAAGAACTGTATCCAAAGTGTTCAGGATGTGTGTCTAACAGTAGGATCTTCTGCCACATGAAGATATTAAAAGATTGCTCCAGAAGAGACATGGGGCTCACAATTCCTCTTTGTAGAGAAAAAAAAGTTTTCATTCAGATCTATTTCTGCTCCAGCATCATTAGCTAACATTTGGCAAAGAATCCTTTTGCTTACTCTTTACACAGCATTGTATGTGTAATTGATTTGTTTAAAAATATCAAAAATGTGAATGAGCAATTTATTACTTTTTAGTGGCGGTTAAAACAATCCATGGTTTACCATTTACCATTCCAGGCAAACAATATTTTTTAAAGGTATTTTTAATATATATGTACCTTTGTTAAGTTGATTCTAAAATAGGAATGTAAGTGTGACAGCACCCCCCCCCCCCCCTCTATTAAGAAGGCAAAAACATTTTTGAAAAGGGGAGGAAACTATTAATATTGTCAAAAAGGTCATCTTAAATTGGCTAGTTTTCTTGGTTCTATAATCTTGTCAATGGTCGTGCAAAAGTAAAATCTATTAAATGTATGCAATATATTTCCTATTTACATTCTCTTGTTCATTACAGGAAATATTTCCAATTCCAATTCATTCTCTATGACCAAAGATATATGTAGCCCCATCCAAATTCATAACTCTAGAATTTATATTGATATTACTGAGATATTATTTGTAATTTTTCACTTTTACATTATCAAAGAAAATGACATCTAAATATGTGGTTTTGTACATGAGGTACATTTAGAATATTTTAATTATATTTCTTTTGCATGATGTGTGCACCAAAAGGGTTTCTCTTTTTCTTGAAATTGAAATTCCCTCCCATTTTTCATGCAGGTATTGCAAGTTTAAATGCTATGATAGCATTGTTGCTCTATTTTGTTACTCAAATTTTCTTCATTACATTTCAAATATGACAATGTATATGACAATTTTGTGGGAAAAAGTTGTGAAATCTTGTACTTATATTTGTTTGATGTTCCTCAGCTATTGACTATCATGTGGCTACCTTTGTCTGTGTCTACATTCAAAGTTTGAATTGATCAATCAGATCAATTACATTTGTTTTTATCACTTTTAAAAATATGCAACAAAAAACACAATACCTCACATCAGCATCAGCAAGGTTTAATTTGAGTTTTTGTTTTAATGATGATTTGAAGATACCGAGATTACTTTGACAAAATAACTGCAATGTGGATAACGCAATGTGAGCTTGTGATGCACATGGACATGCATTGGGCATTATGAACATAAATGATTACAGAGAGTGGTATAGAACAATGGAAAAGGGACAGTGAAAAAATACACTGGGGCTCAGGGCGAATTAGCCCCTGAAAGTCATAAAAGAGCCCCCAAAAATGTGCAAAAGAACTTAAAGAGTGTTATTTTCATGCAAGCAAGCTTGAAAAGTAGCCCCAAAATTGTTTAAGTATTTTTTTCCCTGAAAAGGGATTGTAGATGTAATATGTGGGGGAAATGTGAAAGAAAGCTTAAATTATGGATAGATTTGCTTGATGTTTAATGCTGGATGTACATCTCAGAATACAGTTTAATTATTTGATGCAAACACAGGTCATAGCCTACAGAGTGCCAGGTTATAGTATATCTATCATAAAGAGAGTGGTGAGGTTAAACAGTGCCAAAGAATGATTTGCCATGATGCTATTATGATTTTAAAACAGCAATTAACTTTGAAGAGTAAATAATGAATATTACAAAATAGATATTTAGAAATTACTAGTTTTAGTTGCAATGTAGTGTGGATTTTGAAAACTGTCTTATTGAAATTGGTTTTATGTGGATTTTTAACAATGAGCTTTTGATATGTATGTATATATGTATGCTTAACAGTATATGATATGTTTGATGAATTTGTTTTGTGCATGTATATATTTGATAAGCTGAAACAAATATCAGTTTTATTTAACTTTTTTGAAAACTTATTTTTAGTGAGCCTTGAGGGGTTGTAATACTAGTATCACTTTTTAATAAACCCTGTAGCTTATGATAATGTATGGTCGCATCACAAAACCTGTCTTTATCAACAAGACCAAAGAGAGTGTCTTTCGTAGAATTACTAGAAAGTCTCCATTTCTATCATATCTGCTAATACAATGTAATAAATAATTACAGTTTCCTCCGAAGGTCGCAATAATTCTTTCAAATCCAAATCATGTCAGTTTTCAGTATGTGTTTTTATGTCCTTATAAATGTATAGAAATAGAACAATTATTTCTACTCTTCAATTTTTTGCTAACTTGTCTTTTACCTTTTCATGACTAATTAGCTGTTTAATATTGGTAATGATACCAAATTGATAAACTCTTTATTTTACAAGTCATTCCAATGGTGTTACAAATGTTTGATATTTAAGTTATGAATAGTATATTCCATTTTTGAAGCCAAACATAGAGTGGTGTGATAACTTGTGTTTTCTATTCCTAGGAACATCTCTTTTGGAAAGTATCACGTTTTCAGTTTCTGCTGAATTGCATTCCTCACCCACGAGAAAACTTGGTGATGCCGTCTTTATTCGTGTTATATCGTGTCATTTTAGTTTCATGGGCTTTTGTTCTTCTGTGTGTGGTGGTATCTTGAATGTACATTTATGATGTCAGAATTATAAAATATATGTGGTTATGCAATATTGTAATATGTAAGTCAAATATGTATACTGTAGTCTATATGTTTATATCTACATGCATATTGTAAAAGAAGTTTGTTTTATGCGCTAGTTCAGTGGTGATATTAAAAATACTTAAACCACCAAACATCACTTATAGAAGGTTTCATGTAGTTCGTTGAGAATAGTGTCCTCAGCTTATCATGTCTAAATTGCCAATGTTTTTTAAAGATGATTATTTAATCCACAAATACATATGTTCAATATTAAGATTACAAGTAAGGCAATAACATTGTTTTCTCCGTTTCTGTGTAAAAGTAGATTTTATCGCCATGCAGTCATGAATGGGGAGCATTATTTCGTCTTATTATCACAAGTTCTTATGACTTTAATTTTTTGTATTATTATTTTTTTCTTATTCTTATTATTTGTAAAATCTAAAGTTCTCTTTTTCAACCATATTATTGCTTGGTAGATAACCCTTCTTTTTTGTATTTAACAAACTAAGGTAATACTGTGATGTTTTAAATGAATGGAACAATTTTTAAGTACTTTCCTTCACATTTATGTTCAACATATCTTCTGTTTGGAGCCAGAAGAGCATTAACTCATATACTTATACAGAGCCCTAATGCCCTTCTTGCTTTGAGCAGACCACTATTATGGGGTAGAAAAATAGTGCCTTTTTGTTTTGTCGACACCAATTCCAAGCTGTATAAGTTCTCAATGGTCTATATGACAACATATGTATATTAAGAATCAAGTAATCTGTGCATATATTGTAATTTAATGTTTCAATTTATGGACTTCATTTGTGTATGGTGCAGCATGTTGTATAGTGCATTTGTTGAAAAAAGAATGTAATTTGAAATTTAGCACCATGTGCAAATGGAAAGAAATAAAAATAGACAAGAAATTATTGCAAGTCCTCATTTCAGTGAAGGTATGTGCAGCTATCTGAGAGGACAGGAAGGGGATACAGGGAGAAGAAGAGAGGGGGAGGAGAGAGAGAGAGAGAGAGAGAGAGAGAGAAGAGAGGGAGAAAAAGGAGAGAGAGGAGAGATAGTGAGAGAGAGGGGGGGGGCAGACCTGCCAACCAGTTCGATTTAATCGTATTTTGTACGATTTTTAGAAGTAAATACCACCGTACAATTTTTCTTAATAAAATATGATTTTTTAAAAATATATATATATTTTATTTTTATTTTTTAAACAATTTTTGTTTGTGCGTGTGCCATTTTCAATGACAAAATGCCTATTCTGTCAAGTATCGTACGAGCATCTCACATCAGCAATTTTGGGATGTTCATCGAACACAGTGACACACCAGTCATGACAAAATCATGCATATTCAACCAATGATCCATTAAAAAAATTTCTTCCTGTATGTAGGGACTGTATATTGAGGCATTGATCCATGTTTTAAAAAAAAAATACAACTTCTGAATACAGTTTGTGAACTCAAGAGGTTGGCAGGTCTGGGGGTGGGGGGGGGGGGGAAGAGAAAAGGGGAAAGGCAAACATTTTTCTACATTAAGATTATATCATAATAATAGCATATTATTTCATGTTTCCATGTTTTTAATTCAACCCCTATTAAAACCAAACATGACCAGAAAAAGAAAACGACTTCATATTTTTAGTTTATGATAACCCATCATTTATTCCAATCACAATTATACAGGGAAGGCCATTCGTTCATATCAAGAAATGCATGCACCTGTGAATGATGGCATGCTCTCAAAAATAAAATTAGAAACTTCTAAATGAATAATGCTTCACACTACATACATGTAATAATACACAAAAACTAATAATGCCCAATCCTTTTTCCAGACAAATAAAACATGGTGTCCATCATCAAAATCACAGCATTTACCAATACATGTATCTTTATACAACTATGTGCCGATTAAAAACATGACTAGAAATGAATACAATGTTATGTACATAACCTTTAAAGATTTGTGTGCAATATTGCATTATTGTCAATGCTAACATGTTATCTTTGAAGTTGTTCAGAATTCTATCCCTAAATTTGAAGGAAAAACAAACAAACTTTTTATCAAAAATTACGGTAGTAGAAAATTGAAGAAGAAAAAAAAAGTACCGGTAGCGATTTTCATGAGAAGGGATCTTCAATTACATGTAACAATTCATCTCAAAATTGTCTAAAAATCATCTCAACGCAGAACAATTTGTATAAAATCTCAGTAAAATCATTTTCGACCCTTTCTGTGCCAATGATGTCATTTTGCACACACATCCCATAGAAGAGCTCTGTTGTATGTCATACAAAGAGTTAAAAGCAACTTTTACATCAAGCAATGAAGCATGGATAAGCAGAACTGAAATTGGAGCTACACTTAATCTTTTGAAGTCTTTTATTTAATCAAATTTTTTAATACAGAACAGTAATTCATGGCACAGGTCCGTTCATTGCCCCCATTTTTTGGAAACTATAGCCCATCTACAGCTTCCTTCACACACCGAATAACTTCCTCTTGCCTTGCAAAACAATATGAAATAGCTATTGAATAAGGTATCATCCCTTACATGAAATAAGACTCACTTTCTTGATTCAGTAAGAAATATAATGAATACAGCCTTTTAGGCCACATAATCATTTCATAAAATTTGAATTTTTTCCACACACAATTGTTTTCATGATTTGTTGTTATTTAATAACATGCTTTTATACCATTATCTTTATCAAACACAATATTGAAGTATATTTTCCCTTCAAAAGATAATTTGTACTCTGCATGATTAACTCATTTGTAAATAACAATGTATAGAGTATCAGAAGCATAAAAAATTTTTTTTTTAATCATGACAACTAATTATAAAATGTTCTCATATTGTTGTCATCAAATATATTTCTTTACAATTATTGGTATGTTTAACAACCTAATTTACCATCTCTAATCTAAGGTATGCAAAAATTTGGAAAAAACTTCATAGAATGATAAAATATGATGCAAATATTCAGACATATTGATTCAGACTAATCAAGATCAAGAAATCTCAACAATGCTCAAAAACATTGTTAACATTACATCATTTTAACTTTTTTTTCACAGCTCTATTTGCAATTGTGATCCACTTTAGAATGAATAAGACACAACAAATTGGGAAAAAACTTTGAAGACATAAGTTTACTTTCTGACTGCATGGAAGAATGATAAAATATGACGCAAATATTGATTGATTCAAGTCAAGAACAAATATCTCTCAAGCATCATGCTTTCATCAACACAATATTCACTGTCAAACTAATATTTGATAAAAAGCAGTCAGAACATTAAGATAATCAAAGGCATCGCGTATTGTTGAGAGATTGGATGGTATTACCTTAACATAACTAACCGAAACATGTGCACACCTCAACACGATATATACATATGTATTCTGACATACAGATAACAATAAGTCCCCCTTTTCTACAAATTCTATATACATATATCTTGGAGCAAAGTATTATATGGTACAAATAAAAATACTAAGCAAAGCAGAATGAAGAGAAAGTTTTTAAAAATACACGGTTCACCATTTACACATGCCAATTGTTTCAATTGATAGCCAGGATTAAAAAGTCATCAGACTATGAGAATTTATCAGGAGAATAGAAATAGATTATGAAAAAGGAATAGAATCATTTTGAAGAATATCACAGCCAACATCTATGATTACACATTCCAATTTGCGCACATTCAACACAAACGCACATTTCCACTTTATTTACAATACTGTACAGAAAGTGAATAAATAGTAGATAAGATGGAAATTTCTAGAGGATATCAGTAACCCAACTAGATTCAAAGAGGAAGCCAAACAGTACACATAGAGGAAGTGGGCATTTGGAAGTTTCTTAAAGTTTATACCAACACCAAACAAAATTCCATATACAGTATTAAAATAGAATAGCAAGATTTATCTCATATCTTAAGACAAAATAAAAATAAAGTATATATAATCCGACCCAATTATTTGTTAAATTTATCCAAACAACTTTCCAATAGGCTTTATATGGATAATTCAAATTTGAATCCTTGAGTTTATTATAACTGTTGTTCACTGACTTACAGATATATATATATATATATATATATATATATATATATATATTCTTATTATCTTTGCTTTCAATTCAGGGGTACAAATTACACTTTTGAATGCTCAATCTCAACATTTTTTCCCACAAGATACTATATCAGTGGAAATCACTTAAAACATTTCCCATTCTCTATCCTTTGGTCCATTACCTACAAGAGTTGCTCATTTGGAAAGGCATTGTTACATGGCCAAAGTCATAGCAACATAGGATCAAAGGACAAATTCATTCCACATAAATTACACAAAATATACAAATGCTTTAAAAATAAAAAGCATACCGATATGCAAATGTTCCAATGCCATATGAAGACAAAATGAATGAAATTCAGTTTTTCAGACGAAATATAAAGAACCAGTCTCCTTTCAACACAATAAATAAAAGCTCAAATATAGCTACACCTGATAAGATCACTAGCAGCCCCTCTACATAGAGCCATTATGTATACCGGTATGCAGCTTGTATATAAATCATATCACCTAAAACATCATGCATACACATATGAAACGCAGCTCATTGCCTTCCGCAGATCCTTTTTAAACATAATCAGCGATACTTCAAATAAATATAAAAACAGACTTAAAACCACTTACCCCAGCTCCTGAGGGGATGGCAGGGGATGGCGGGGGGGGGGGGGGGGGGGGGGGGGGGGGGGGAGGAATGTTACTTTAGTGGGAGTTTAGTAGCTGCAACAGAAAACCTTGACCATGCACATGTACATGTATCCAGTATAAGCACAGTTCTATAATCATAGTATGGTATTAGCCATTATTTGCCCGACATTTTGCGTAAGCGACTGGCAAAGTCTTTTATAATGTGCCATATGAGGGGGGGGAGGGGGGGGGGGGGGTGACATCAACCGTCAAATTATTTGGAAAATGAACAGTTCACCAATAGCCATGAATTACTGGCGTATGAGGTAATTGCCTTCATGGGGTTGTTTGGCGCAGATAATGATGTAATCAAAATGACACTTCGTGTGCAACAGACATTAGTCCTCCTCCCCTATAAATCTAAATGTTAACAAGCTCATACATTTATGGACATTTACAGCTACATGTTGAATGTGCCCTTCCAATACGGAATTTATATTTCATATCATCATTTTAAAAACACTACCTAATTTACTTTGCAGCATACCAATACATATTCCCAGAGGTTATTCTTATTGTAAAAATGCTGGTTCAAGGTGAAATTATATTGCAACCAAAAAACAAACACTTTACAAATTTCTCTATGATATGCCTGTAGGTATTTACAGCTAGTTTCAGCTAGTCAAAAAAGTTTACTTTGGTATTTTGTAAACCCGTACAATGCTTTAGTCGTGGAATTAAAATTTAAAATTAAAATTATAAAAAATAAAATTAAAAAAAAAAAGCATGGAACACTGTTTGTAACGAGACATAATGAAATGAATGATGATTTAAAATCTGCCTTTGGAATCTTGGTGGCAATATGTTTCTTAAATTGATTACACCGTAACTGTCAATACCTGACACCAGACATGTTTGCAGATAGTTTTTTTGTGACACACAAGTGTATTAAACATGTACCCTGTTGATTTTTGATGATTCCAGAACCTTGCAATACACATCAATACTTATTTGCTAGATGATCAATCTTTTCTGATAGATTCCATGTTTCTTTCACAATGCAATCACATGACCAGAACTTGTCTATACCTTTAACAAGATTGATAACTTCAGTTGGTTCACTTTGCCAACATGCATGTTATATACTGCATGACAATGCATGTAGACAAAAAAAAGATAAATCTACTACAGATAAGGTCACAAAGAAATAACAACATTCCATATTAGGACTCCACAATGTACAGAACCCATTTTTCTGAAAGTACACCAAATTTTCGAAAGATAAGCATTTTACCAACCTTAATTAAAGTCACCTATATGCAGCTTTTGCTATGGCACAAACGTATTTCAAAAGGTAATGGAGATGTCTTAACTTACAGGTAGGTGTCAAAACACGACAGCAATGCCATTTACTTTATTTCATTCAGCTAGACTTGTACCCCTATATCTCTGCTGATTCACATTCTTTCACTCACCGAGGCCATGTTTCATAAAGCTTGAGCTCAACAAATCATTCTATGACATATTTGCTCTCAGCAAATCAAATGCAATTATTTCAGTAGCTTATCGGTAGCCTAGCAGAGCCTGGGTAATACTGGAGCGCCTTGAGCACCTTGCATGGTGAACAGGTGCGCTATGAACATAACCAATTATTATTATTACAGTCAAACCTGCTTTAGTGACCACCTGTCTACAAAGACCACCTGTCTACAAGGACCACATTTGTTGTTTCCCTTTAAAATGGTTTCTTATTGAAACATGTACTAAAGGAACCTGTCTACAAAGACCACTTTTTGTGTTTCCCTTGGGCGGTCGCTATAGACAGGTTTGACTGTATCATCATAACAGTCACTGTAAACTAATTAAGCTTTATGAGAGAGGGCCCCGACAGATTGAGCAAGAAATGTTACTCAAACAGCGCTTTCATGTCAGCGAGGACTTGCAATAGATGATTGACATATCTCTGTGAGTTGGTGGTGGGGCAGGAGTGTTTAGAAGAAACGTGAAAGAAGATGCGGGTATCCTCTGGAATCATGTAAGCGATGCCGTAGCCCTGGTCCGATACAGGGGCAAAGCCTCCTCCTGGACAGGCCTGCAAGATGAAAAGAAACAAGAATTATCTCTGTGTGGGATTAGTATATTCCTCTACAATTACAAAGTATAACATGAAACCATGAATATCATATTGGTAATCTCTACCACTCTGTCTATACGAGAGGTTAATCACTTTTGTCAAAGCTATTTTATTGTCAACATAAATGCATAACAACAGTATTTTCAGTCTTTTGTATCCCCCCCCCCCCCCCCAAAGTAAACAAATACATCTATATCACATTTCTTGCGATTTCGTCTTGCATGATGTCATCAACAGACCATATGCTGCCAATAATCATCAGATCTCCATAAATCATGACCATCATACATTTAAAACGAGGATAGATCCTTCTAACTGAAACTGTATTAGAAGACAAATTAAAGGAACAATGCAGTAGAAAAGGATAGGGCTTTTATGACATGGAGCACTATGAAAGAAAAAATTGGAAATTAAAAAAAAAAAAAAAAAACACTTCTGAATAAGCGAGTTCGTAATTAGGATTTGCGCATGGGCTGATAAAGGTCATTCGTACCCAAATTGTAAAACCATTGAGACAAATACTCTGATCGTGCTCATGATAGTTATGTAATCAGTATTCATTTATGTACCAACAGTACATTTATCTGATACACAGGTGGAAGTATTTTTTTTCAAGTGGCAAACAAAAGGTATTCATGAAGCACCTCTATCACTTTGGCAGTGATTATTCTAAAATGCACACGTGGGAAGTATCCATCGTGTCTAAGATCTGTGGATATTTTGGGGTCATGCGGTCCAAAGCTATTTACGAACTCGCTTATTGTAAGTCATATGCTATCGACACCGACCTTGTCTTTGTATCCTGGAGCATTGACATTGACCCGACCTAGAATCTGATTCTGAGGAATCTGGCTCGTTGAAAGCGTCCATGGGAGTGTGAGGGCATGCTTCAAAAAGTCACATTCCTGTAATAAAGAGTCAATTAAATAGTTAATCGTAGGGCAACTTGGGTACTTTCCAATCTTTAATGAAGTAACTACAAATGTAAAATAAACCTTCGTAGAAATGTGGCTTGTAATGGAAGCAGTAAAAGCACTACAAATTTCAATGAAACTATGAGAAAACTCAGACACAATAATAAATCAGAATTATCAAATTTGAAAGTTGATATCACTAAAATGTCGTCTTTTCTAATTTTTTACTTAAAATATAAATTCAAAATATCAAATGTGATAAACTTACCAGGTTAGATCCTTTGCATGCCACAAAGAGAGCAAAGAGATGTCTATCCACTCCCTCAGCATTCATACAGCCACGGAACATCTCTTGATGTTTGGCGATTGATCGTTCAAGGTACATCTGTTTCTCTTTCTTACTCATCTTCTCATTTTCCATGGCTCTACGAGGAGAGATAATTTCATTTGTCAAAATGTACTGGGCAAACGAATTACTCAGGTAGAAATATACGATAAAGAAATGAAATTAATGAAGTAAAATTTACAAAAGTCTGAATTCCTTCGTTTTCGCTGAACCTAACTTTTGTTTGGTTATATAAACATATAGTTTGTGGAAGGACGAGTATACACTACTTCATTTTAAGCTGTACACAATACACATGTAATTTGATGCCTATTTCAGATCAAATATTTTTTAGTGTACATTCATGGCATTGATCTGAAATGTGACCGTTGTCAAGCGGAAAGAGAGGACCATCCAAAATGAAAGTACAGAAATAGACTTGCAATGAAACACAGAGCCCACTAAAATGTAACAAAACATAGCCCTTGAAATAAGAATATCGTCGCCTGGGTGGCAGAAGGGCGTTGGCTCGAATTTCAGGTAAAAAATGAAACGTTAAGCATAAGGGCGTTTGCACTAAATCGCCTCAAACTTTTTATAAAACTGACTTATTTCCAAAAAAAATTGTGGTCGTGTTCTACTTTAACATTTCTATTAGTCTTTCAAGTTTAAAACCAATTTTTGGGACGGAGAGCAGTTTAAATATAAAATAAATCTTCAAATGCGAATAATTCGAAAAGTAGTTTTCGAGTCGCTCACGTGCTAACGCCCTTCTGTCAGCCGGCCGACGATATCTTCAAAATCCACTGATTGATAATTTACAGGTGAGGCATTCTGCCCCAGGAGCATTGTACACATGTGTAATCATGGCCCATACTCTCTAATCAAATGAACCATCATGCCCATCAATGAAAGATTCATGGCTGATTTCTTAAAACGGGACTGCACTACTGGTAGCTACTTGCGCCCTCTACATAGCAAACAATGATGATGAGCTTATTTGATGAGATAACCACCTGCCAGTGACCACGCAGGGAGGTATAAACCCTCCTGGCCAAACTAGTGCAGATGGGCTTTAAAGCTTTCAGCAAACAGGTAAATCATCAGGTGGGTAAAGTACCTTCGTTACAACAAATTTTATGTGAGATATTTAACATGGACATAATTGATTAATGTTCATCGATACATTATATGGACCAATATGTAAGATATACTTGATTGAAAGTCACAATTTCTTTATAGCTTATATGTAAGAAGATATAGTCAGACGACTTTAAGAAGGTAACTCACAGGACATATTCCTTGCATTCTTTGGAGAATGATCGGACCGTCTCAGTCCTACCCTCTCGGTAAAGTCTGAGGGCGCAAGACTCGTAGGTCAGAGCATGCTTTCCAGCAGAGTCTCGGTAGTACGCCAGCTGAAGGGCAGCTTGGATAAAACCATCTGGACTCAACTAGAAAAAGAAAAAGAAACCAAGGAAAGGGATAATGTACATTAATGTTTAATATTCCAATAATTACAACATCGCTCTTGTCTGTTTGGACCTAGAGGAACACATACATTCCAACAGAGAATGAATGCCTTTCTGGCTCTCCACAGATGATACACCTGGGACCCGTTTCACAAAGCCTTTTTTCAACGACAAATGACAAAAATCAGTGACAAGTCTGCTGATAACCAATCAGAAGCAAGGATTTCACTAGCTTATAACAAAAACCGTCATTTGTCAGTCTCTGATGACAAGTTTTGTGAAATGGGGCCCAGAAGGATGACAACATTCCAATCAGTGGGAGATACATTTTAACTGAATAGTTCCCAAGAAACACGGCCAACATCAAAATTACTCTGAACCCTTTGATAGCTAATGTTGTTAACTGCAAAAGGTGTTACCCAGATGAGCTTGGAAAACAGTAATATTTCATGTTACATTCAACCTCATCAAAACATGTTTGTCAGATGAATTTTAAGAAGATTATGACTCTTGCCCCCCAATTAAATATACCCGGTAAATTGAGAGGGAAGTAAATACATGATGGCACCTTCACATATATCACTACCTTGAATACTCTGACAAAAGTAGAATGCCTACAGAGAGATATGGGGTCTCATTCAAAGTACCGTAAATCTCTGTGTATAAGGCACACTTTTTTGCCGCCGAAAAAAAAAGAAAAACAAGGGTGCGTCTTTTTGAAGTTTCGATTTATGTCCGGCGCTATGCCTGGCAATGTCTCCCAGCTCATTAATCTGTGTGTTGACTCACCACTTGGAAACTAAAACAACACTCAAATTTGTCTATCATCTTGGTTTGAAAGTAATCTTTCTAATAGATCTCAATATGTAGTTTATAATAATAATTCCTCAAATTTTCTTCTATAACATGGCATACCACAAGGTTCTATCCTAGGTACTCTACTGTTTTTAATTTACATTAATGATCTTACACATTCTTCTAAAAACGACATTGTTACTTTTATTTGTGACAAGTTCACAAGCACAAATCGACACCTTCAACTGCACCTCAATGTTAAATGAAAGTCCTTCCCCATGTGGGTTCTCGGCAACAAAACAAAATAGGGGTGCACCTTATACACAGGTGCGCCTTATACACGGAGATTTACGGTACAGGAAAACTATGGCTTACCTTGACAGTCTTCATGAATCCTTTCCCGCAGTCATCAGTATACACAACAACATGGTCAATATCGGCGACTTTCTGAAAGAAAAAATGTCAGTATGTTTTGTTATACAATATGTATTTATTACTGAATTCAAATTTGAATTTTATTTCTTGTATTTTTACTGCTGAAAGGCTCTGCTGTAAACAAGCAGAGTTGGATTTGGCTTTCTTTGTTTAAAAAAATCACATCATTTCACGTCATGTCACGTCACATTGCATCAAAATACATAGAATCAAATCAAATCAAATCAAATCAAGTCATATTATATATATTTTAGCAAATCATATCAAATCAAATCATATCAAGTCAAATCAAATCAAATCAAGTCATATTATATATATTTTAGCAAATCATATTAAATCAAATCATATCAAGTCAAATCAAATCAAATCAAGTCATATTATATATATTTTAGCAAATCATATCAAATCAAATCATATCAAGTCAAATCAAATCAAAAGATAACAAATCAAATCAAGTTACATAAACTCAAATTCAATCAAATCATATCAAATCAAACCCATTTTTATACCTTAACATGTATGTCCTTGGCTTCCAAGATAATCTTGCTTAGTATATTGTCCACCTCCCATACCATAGGCTGAGGCTCATGGCCTGTACGACTGGCTCTGTCTTTGGGTGGGGCACAACTGCCTTCAGGTGTGTACAGACTAGGATCTAAGTGCCTAAGACGGAGGATGAGGAGAAGATATAAAAAGGTGATAAATATGGTGATGGACGAGTGAAACATATTAATAATATTTAAGGAATCTCTCCTTTTCATGTAAAATCAACTATTATAGCCAGACATGTAGAATTAACTCTTAATTCGCTGCAGAATGATTGCCCAGACTGCCACATACATGTAGGTACAAGAGTATATGCTCCATTCCATATACACTGTTTGTGTGACAGAAGTCGACTGTGGCAATCCACCGTTTGGTGAATGAGTTGACCAAAACAGACAAAGAGTTAGCATCAAACAGAAATTCCTAAAATTCTTGCATTCACTATTGAGGTAAAGGGGTCACAAGAATCACATTTTCATCATTATTATTACAGAAATAAAGTTACGCTTTAAAATGGTGTGCAACTTTCAATTCCCATATAATTCAAGAATCAGACTAAAACAAGCCAAACTAAAAGCAAGTAAAGGCTTACTCTTCCATGAGTGAGTACTCAAACATGTGAGCCGTGACGAGGCCGTCGCCCCAAGAATGCTCAATGTTGGCACCGATTTTGCCGTCGGCAAAGACCAGAATGTGAAAACACTTGTCAAACCAGATACTGCTTCCATCGCCACTCATAGAGTACTTGCCTCGACTGCTCATGTCAGGCCAACTTGTGGTTTCAAGGCTCAACTGATTCGGGAAGATATGATGAAGTAAACACAGTGAATCAAAAAGCTCATATTATTCTATTTTTCCTAAGTACTTTTTTAAAGTAGCATAGCAAATTGTCATAGCATAGTAAATATCTGGAGCTTTAAAATTCATAATTTTTGGTAATATTGGTGCATGTGAAAGTATATCAAAATGAACTCTGACAGATAATTTCTGCATTTTGTAGCCCAATCAAAAAGTTCCACGTTCATGAACATACTAACTCTAGATCCTAATATGTCCTAACATCCTAACATTATCAATTTAAAGATTTAGTACTGCCATAATGATCTAACTAAATCACACAAAGCTGTTTTGACTTATTCAACAGTACCAAACTGGAACGGGACTAAACAGAACTTACATACCAACAAAACAAAACAAAAAGAAAAGATTCTAAAAATGGGTTCCACCGAAGGATAAATACATGGGTTGTATAAAAATGAATTTGTACTAATTTAAATATCCGGTAGCTGACCATGGTAAATGTAAGTTCAGATTTAAGATTTAAAACTGGTGTATGATTTACACTACCACAACAAAATAGAATACTATTTTCAAAGGAGCAAATAAAATCTTCATGAATGCTCAAGTGTACACATTATAAGCATGATAATACTTACCAAGAATATGGAGGATTCCAGAATCTCCAATGACTGTGCATTAACGCCCGATCCAAACCAATGTCTGCGAATCTTAAACCATTCATTGCGCTTCATCGTAGTCAGTGAGGCAAGGTAATAGCCAGCCTTTGCCTCTTCAGAATCTGTCACCAGGAATAAAATGATGGAAATCATCTTTTAAAATTCACAAATCGACGCTGACAAAATCAAAAGCAAAAAATGAACTACAGAGCAAGTTTTCTATATGCTACATCTTAAAGGGATTGAGGCTTTACTCATACAATAGTTGCAAACCACTGTGTCTTTAATTCTTAACACAGATTTCTAGGGATGCATCTGTGTATATAAATAATACTGCTTGAAATGGCTCTTTGTGAATAGACACATAACAAAATGGGAGTTGGTAATTCACAATAAAATAATTTTTGATTATACTACAAATTGTATACAATTAAAATCTGCATTGACTACATCATCCAATATACACTGGCAAAGAGGTAACAAAACAAAACAAAAATCATCGTTATTGCATTATATTCGATAAAATCCAACATTTATCAGGCAAACACTTTGCATTACATCAGAATTGTCCTTTTTTTTCTCATTTTCTATATACTATTTTTCATGTCCTTGCATGCCTTCTGAAACACCCAGTTTCATATGGCTGCACTCTGACTGTACTAAACCAAGTATAAAAGCTTTGTTTCTGTGACAAACTGAGCCTAGACTTCACTTTTTACAAATGTCTAGTTCACAAGTTAAGGACTCAGAAAATAAATTTATTCATTGGCAATTTTCGTTTGGGTGTGTCAAACACGGTCTTCCTAGCGGATGCGTATATATATTAAAGAGTATGCTTGTTGCTCTCAAAATATTGCAAATATCATGAATGACAAAGAGGATTTACATATCCACTTTCACTGTCTAGATGGATGGATGGACATATGGGGGTGATAGATGGATGGATGGATAGATGGATAGATGGATGGATAGATGGATGGACGGATTGATAGAAAGATGAACTGATGAATGGATGGGTGAATAGATAGAACGATGGATGAATGGATGGATAGATGGAGGTGATGGATAGGTGGATGGTTAAATAGATGGATGGATGGATTGATGGATAGATGGAGGGATAGATGGGTGGATAGATTGACAGATAAATGGATGGATGGATGGATGAATAGATGGGTGGATGGATAGATTGGATAGATAGATAGATGGGTGATTGGATGAATGTATAGACAGGTGGATTAAATGCAGTCCTGTTAAGTTATCCTCACCTTCTCTCTTATCTGCATCTTCAATGATCCATTCTATTTGTTTCTGAATAGCGAAGGCTGAGATTAGCTTGCCTTGGCTGTTATGGGTGTCTACCTTGTAATACAAACCCTTCCTGAAGACCACAACATGCTGTATAAACAATTAAAATGACAAAAATGAATTCCTTTATTCAAAATTGATAAATCAATAAGAAAAGACAAGAACAAATATGGTATTATCATTGCCTTGTAAATGAATATAGCTAGTGTACATCTGTAGATGTACCACACACATATTGGTATATTTGAAATACCTCTATTTCACAAGATTGAGATTAAAAATCAAAACATTAAAAAAAATTCCAACTCATCATAATGCATGTGATATATATAATTTGCTCAATATCTTGAACATATACATGATGAGGTGATCTTTCAACCAAAAAGGCATATAAAGAGAAGGTAATGGAGACTTTCATACACTTCTAAAAAAGTATGTTTCTTTTTTCTTCATAACATAATGCAGACCTGCCAACCTCTGGAGTTCAAAAACTGTATTCTTTAGTCACGAAAGTTGTATTTTACTGACAAAAGTTGTATTCTTGAAAATAAACATGGATTTTTACGCGGATCACTGCCTCTTACAGTTTCTACCTACAGGAAGAATTTTTTTTATTGATCATTGGTTGAATATGATTTTGTCATGACTGGTGTGTTCGATGAACCAATGAACATCCCCAAATTGTCGATGTGAGATACTTGTAGGATACTTTACAGGACAGAATGGACATTTTGCCATTGAAAATGGCGGACGCACACACAAAATATTAATTAAATTTTTTTTTTTTTAAATCGTATTTTATTAAGGAAAATCGTACTGTCGTATTTGCTTCTAAAAATCGTACTAAATACGACTAAATCGTACTGGTTGGCAGGTCTGCATAATGTACCAGAAGTACATGTTGTAGATTTTGTATTAATCTATCCATCTATCCATTCTACACCATACCTTGTATGGTAAGAGCGTCAATAATGTTGTTTACTTTAAATAATACCCCTCACAGAAAACAAAAAGGGTATTTTGCATTGTACTACTCTTCATTCAAATAGTTTTTAACAAAAAAAAAACAACTATCTCACTCTTCCACGAACTAAAAGGTGTATGTTTATCACATTGCATTATTACATTTACCATGAAATATTAAACTTTTACTTGATTTTTACCAAATAAACCCAAACTGTCATCAATTTATTATTTATTGCCATACACGTACCTTGGATAGATCATAATGAACAATTTCATCGCATTCCTCCCCAGGTATCCTGCAATTAAAAACAAATATGTTAAAAAAAATAAACATTTATAGAAGAAATTATAACATGGCAGACTATAAATATGACCACTTTCAGCAGAAATTCATACGGTAGAACTTGTAAAGTGAACAATAGCATAATTAACATGAAGACATTTTTCATTGCCATTTCAATTCTTTTCGTTAATTTGTAAGAATATCTGACAATTTCATATACACCAAATGCTTTTTCACTCCCCTAATAGGTAATAGCACCATCATTATCAATTACTATATATTTAATTGGGTGGTTGCTATGGAACCCAGTAGATGACAGAGTTGGTAACCATGGAAACGCACCTGGTAGTTGATAGGCATCTTTCATACTGGCTCATACACATAGGGATGGTGTTCCTAACCCAGATAGGCTGTAGCTTCTCTCTTTCCAACTCCATCTTGAAAAGCATCTCACGATGGATAACCATTGCAGATCTGTCAAAGACACCAAGACCATGGTTTAGTTTATTACTCCTTACCACACCATGGAGAGAATATTGCATCCAAAAGACTTAACAAGAAAATTAGATTAATACTGAGCTCTGAATAGCTAGAATTGTCTTCCTGAAAATGAACCAGGTATTTGGTGTTTGATATACAAGATATTGCCATGCTTAGAGGAGCAATGAGACATAGAATGAAAACAAACAACTGACTTTTGAAGATTACTATATGTATGATATGCGTACCGGAATATAATGTTGTTGACACAAAAAAGGGTCAAGGAGATAGATAGAAGGGGATTAAAAAGATTTAGAATGAAAGAGCATACATACATGTACATGTAGTCTAAAGGAGACAAAGATTTTTAAAAAGATGATGGAGGATAAAAATAGAGAAAGAAAGTGAAAGACATGTAGAGGGAGACAAACAATGAAAATAAGAGAAAGAAAGATAATTACACTATCATCATTTTTTGTTTTAATTGAACAAAAATTGTATATAGCAAGGTGCTCGTTCTTGTTCGGAGTAATCACTAAAACCATTTTGTTTTTACACTTTTAACAAATCTATTTTGTGAATGTTCATTGCAACACTGTACACGTACCTTGCTGCTTGATTAAGAGTAGGTTGGAAGTTACAGAAATCCAGGCAGTAGTAGTTGGAGTACATCGGGATGGCCTCTCGACTGGACAGGTACACATACTTCTCCCTGAAAGCAAATGACAGAATTTCAGCTTAAAGGGATAGTTGAGTTCTGTTGCAGAGGGCGCTACACAAAATAATTATTTTGTGAGATAATGAAAAAACTGAGTGTCAAATTTGAAAGAACATACAATTTAAATGACAAAAATCATCTTTGTTTGATCAAAATCGGTTCAGAGACAGCTGAAATATCCATAAATATAACAATTTATAATATTTGTGTACCACCACAAATATTCAATAATTTGAATCAGCCGTTGAAAAAATGAAATAGCGCCTTGTACGTTGTAATGCCGATGTTGGCTTTTTTGTTGGCCCTTTCGTGTTGGTTATATTACGCACAACCAGCCGCCCATATGTATTGTTATTATTAATTAATTAATTAATAAACGGTCACTGTATTTATTTGAAAGTGGAGCTGAATTGGTATGATCGTATAGAGCAATAACCATGCACTTTGAAGGCATTTGCCGTCTGGAAACAAAACTCAACTATCCCTTTAATTTGCTACTTTACCATCAGAAAAGTAAGTCCCATTCAGAATTTGATGCAATAATAACCACATTGAATGAATGGCAAACAGTCAAAGCGCCAAAAACAAAAATATGAGAAACTGCTTTTTTTTATCATCTCATATTTACTGGTCGTCAATATCATAAGTGAAAATGTGTAGCTAGTTCTAGCTATCTCTCTTTTTACAATTTCCTTAAGGGATACATTCTCATTTGAATACTTCAGCCGTATAAGATGGGCATTTTCATTTTGTTTGCATCATGACATAAAAACATATGGTAAGATTAGAGTTGAGCTTGTGAGAGGTAGAGAAACATACCACCAATCAGTGACGTAGTTTGAGGCCCACCAGGATTTCAACTGGAGTAGTTTCTGCATCTTGGGGCCATCACCAGCTTCAAATGCCTAGGAGCAGAAAGAGCGATTTAATCAACTAACAAGACGGTAATCTGATATTTGCACTAGCAACAACTGCTTAGGGCTCTAACCCATATTAGTTCAGTTTTCTTATTTTCTAACTCAATCAGTTTTTCCTCTTTAAATTGTCAATGATTAATCTTTTCATTTCCACTCCATCATAGTTTGAAAAATATAAACATTTTTATCAAATCAATCAATGTGAGAAAAACAATCGCAAAATCTAATCAAAATATTGTACACAAAAATAGTAATTCATCAAACAAATTTGACACCTATATATTTTCTAATTCAATCAGTTCTTCCCTCTTTAAATTGTCAGCAATTAATTTTATTATTTCCACTCTGTGCACTAACTAAAAGCGCCAACAAATTGCTATTCCCCAGAAGAATTTTGATTGAATTGAATTGTTGATTGTGGCAATCTTTCATGTGATAAATGATTTTGTGAGATAATTGTGTGAGATATCAAATAAGAGAAGTACTAGAACTGGACCAATATCATTTTAGCAAGTCATAAAGATTTCTGCACAAGCGGTTGCTGTATATAACAGTTTCTGAGTTTACAATAAATTCCATGAATTGATATTTCTCATATGCACCAAGATAGCAATTGAATACATTAAATGAAGAAAGCAAGTCCAAATTTGAGTTACCGATATCAAGGGAAGAAAAACAAGGTTTAAACAACAGAACGTTTTCATCTTCATGCATATTCATATATTTCCTGTTTCCTTGAAATATTAGATTTGTCCAAAATACCTAAATAAGGTTGTGCCCTATTTCCTTTCATGTATCCAACCACAAACTTACCTTGGCTTGACATTTAAGCTTCTCGAACTCTTCCTCATCTATCAAATGTTCGACAGATTCCAGGAACTTGGCAATGGTTGTTTCTAGGGCAGGCACGGGCTGTCGCGGAAGGCACATCTGCTGGCTGTAGGTCGTTGGGTGACGGCTACAGATCATTCGGAGGATGAGTCCCCACACTTTGGTGGTATTACTCAGCTGACGAGGGGGCTCATCTGAAGATTCAGGAAATATGATGCCATTATTGTCATTTTCATTATCATTATCATCATCATCACTGGCCTGACATGAGCAGTCGAGGCAAATAGTCTATGAGTGGCGATGGAAGCAGTATCTGGTTTGACACTGACAACATCCAAACATCATTATTACCACTGCTATTACTCAATATCATCATCATAATAATTATTCTGACCTTTAATATTCAGACCCAAAATCCTCGTCATCCTCATGATTCTCTGCCTAAAGTCATCATCCTCTTCCTCCTCCTTATCATCACCATCACTATCAACATCATCATCAATTTTTATCATCGAAATCAAACTCTTGTTTTATAAGACTCCGTCTCAAGAATATTTCCTAATGTCCTTTCAAAAGTTTAAACATGAATAACATAGGAAAGCCTTTGATGAACTTACACATCCATCTTCTGTACTTGAGTAGCACTCTCATGAGGAGACGTCTAAAGTGGATCAGTAAGATGAAGTAGACCACGCCCACTGTTGTTGAGACAATGGCCACCTGAGTGAACTCTGGCAGACCTGTAAGAAGAAAAATATACAACATTTTTTAAAGGAGGAAAAAAAATGGAACATTATTTCACACTTTAAAGCAAGCAACCCTTCAGATACTATGTCCCTTTTGCAGCCAACATCAGATTCTGTAAAAATTTGCAGGAATTATGAATATGTCATGTATGTCCCACATGTATCTGTGAAATTCAAACATTAGCAGTGTCCTAATATCCAAATTATGCAAGGAAACCTGTTTAACTTCTAGACTTCACTGTTATACACTATTGATTGACAGACTGACATCTTTTTTCTTTAATGATAACATACATAAAATGAGCTGTAGCAGGTACTTCAATAACCAACTACTGCAAACTTGATATGGCCAAAATTAAACTGATTGAATCTTTGTGCAGCAAAAAACGTAGGACCATAAGGCCTAAAATAAAAACTTGTTGTATTGCCCTTTGCGACCGAACCAGAAATCTCAAAATCTACGGTCGGCATTTAAAAAAAGTTTTTTTTACCGTTTTTTAGATTTTTTTAAAATTAATGAATAATATAACATGTATTTTATTTGTTTAAATGGGATATAAATGCATAATCAAATTATTTCAAAATTCTCACTCGTGAAACCATGGATAATTATGAGATGAAAAAGATATCAATGGAATGACGACGATGTATTAAAGCACTAAAAAAACTGAGAAATATCAGCCAAAAGAGGGCGGGGAAACAAGAAGAAAAAACAAAAACAATAACATTCAAATCTGAAAAATATTGGCCAAAAAAGAGGGCGACAAAAAAGAAGTTTAAAAAAATGACAGCTTTTCCGATCGACCGACCCATGTTTTGGCACCCAAAGGGCAATACAACAAGTTTTTATTTTAGGCCTAATACCAGGGTCACAAGGTACAAGGGTCTGAAAATTCAGACTATTACTTAGGTGATTGCAATCACTAAGGTCGTTTTGACATCCAATGGTCATTATTTTCCCACTAAAAGCCATTTTTAAACCCTTTTATTTTAAGGGAAGTTTTTAAGGGAAGTTCTAAATAAATATTGCCTTTCAAATGCCGTTGGAATTAAACCTTTTCATTTTGTTGGCCTGCAATGGGACATGGTACCTTTAAACATGGCTTGACACTAACATGAGCCTGGTCAGGCCTGACCATGGGGCAGGACGGCTCCAAATGAGTCTTACAGGCGGTGTGACCCTTTTGCAGGATGAAAATATAAACTTGTGTGACTCCTGACCTAAACTAGCCTTTTGACAAGGCCTCGTGACTCTGGCTAAGTGGCTGAGATGAGTCTAGATACCCGGGGTGAACGCGCGACTGCCACGAGAGCCTTTTGCAATCTAGATATTACCGCTCCGCATGAATTATTCATAGTATCATTCATAACGGCTATCCCCCAGTTGGCTTCGTTCGTGATTCGTTCATTATCAAAACATGTGAGAAAAGGTAAAAGACGTAAATACGTTTTGCTTACGTGTGTGTGTGTGATGGATACTACATGCTGACGTAATGCGAGGATACGTTCAGTGATTCAACGCTACCATTTCACTAGAGAATTCCAGTCGGAAACACAGGTTAACATAAGAAATCCAAACCAGATTACCAAAGGCTAACTGGCTGTGATTCTCGCTCTGTCGTTCATTAGGGCTTTCGCGATTAGTCTCTTTTTAGTCGCTCGGCGTCTATCAGACATGTGGCCTTGTTCAAAGGCTAGACCTAAACAAGAGACAATTCCAACTAAAAACTCCCCTGAAAAGATTAATTAGCACTGGTAATTGCCTCTCTGTGGAATTATATACGTTGACCATTAGGAGTTTTCGCAACGCGTTTCAACAATTATGCGTAGAAAATGTACCGTAAGGTCATATGGTTTGTGCTGCGCAAAGATGCCAAAGGTTCAATCATCTAAATTTTGGCCATTACAAGAAGTGGGTTATTGATGTGTACAAATGCTCATGTACCCTATACAGCTATTCTATGTATGTTATTACCAAGGAAAAAAAGAAGTCAGTCAGTTACTCGATAGTGTCTGACAATGAGTCTAAAAAGTACACTTCAAATGTTTAAAAATCACAGAGCTACAACCCAAACCTCTTCATTTTTGTCCAGACAGCTTTTCTACTTCTGTAAGAGGATTATTCTATTTCTGTGAGAGGCAATGAGTTCACATCTAATAAAACAAGAAGCTCTTAATAATCACTAAGAACATGACTGACAAAGAAAGCGGACAAAATATACAGTTCCTCAGGTACATGTAGACAAAGGAACATCCCTTCACTGCTATTATGTAAAAATGTGTAGAACAGGTGTCACATGCATTTGTATTCACGTTTTTACATAATAGCAGTGAAGGAATGTTCCTTTATCTACCTGAGGAACTGTATATTTTGTCCGCTTTCTTTGTCTGTCATATTCATAGTGAATGCTCTATAAGCAGGAAAGCCTACAACCGGACTGCTTTATACAAATCAAATAGATTGCAAAATCTGAACTGAATACTGATTATACAAGTGCTTGTTATATCTACACATATATTTCACATCATTTACATGAGATATTCAGTTCTAATTTTTATCATACAAATCTCCACCAGGGCTGATTATGCTGCAGTCTACTCTTATCATCCTTATTTGTACATTTGAGATATTTCAATTTTAATTTTCGTCGATGAAAGCCACATTATCAGTAATGGATTGGCAGCTTATCAGTATTAGATTGCTAGTGCACACATGTCAAAAAAGGTAAGTTCACACCAAATTATGTCTCTCAAAAGATAAGACTAAATAAATTGTCTGTCTTATCGGAAATGTAAACTACTAAACTATACATGTATGAATTCATAAATTTAAATTAAGTGTGATAAAAAAAGATGTAACACAAGTGTACATATACAGTGTAGACTTTACATGATAAATCACTTAATAGACAGTACATGCTTACACCCTCTTTCTACAGGCTTACATCGAAAGGGTGCTTTGCGGTGTGGTATAGGTATAAATGTACATTAATATTTTAAAGGTAATGCAAAGTTTTTGAAATTTTGAAAATTGGATGGATAGTAATTCTTTAAAATTTTGATATATTTGGATGCCCCTGTGGATGTATTATTATAAGCACAAAAAAATTAGCCCCTAAAACACTTCAGCTTTTGAGCAAATTGAAAAATCAAAATTTACCGGTGCTCCTGGTAAATTTCAAATATAAAGCAATATCAGTCTTGAGAGGGAGCTACACAACTAAAGTGTTTAATATTTACAATTTCATCGCTTTAGACTTTATTTCAACCGTGATAACGATCAGTAAATATTGTAAAATCGCATATGCTTCCACATGGCCATTTGAACCAAATTCATGACATCATACCAAAACTTTGTATTACCTTTAACTTGAGGCTATTGAGCTGGAAATTACTTTAATTCTCTCCCTTAATGTAATCGATATGAACTCTTTGTGTATTTCATGGCTGCAATACATCTTCAATCATAATTGATATACATGTACATGTAAGTACCAGCACTTTTACACCGACATGTACATGTACTTACAACCAGAATACAATTCCGCAATGACTGAGAGATTGTTTAAATCTTATCATCTTATTCCTGAGGAGGGGAGGTGCTAAGGTGTGGCTTGTATTGTAATTGAGTTGGCTCTCTATGTAAAATGTTATTGTACATGTATGACAATCAAATTGAGTTAAACAGTCTGTGGTCAACATGTCGGCATATTGTTGTTTCAACCATGACTTGTATTGTGTACACGTAATTAAGGGTGTATTAACCACACTTTTTTTGCCACTTTTTTTGCTTTTTTGGGGTGCGTCTTATACACGGTACACCAAAAAAAAAATAATTAAAGTTTCGATTTATGCCCCTCCACCTGGCGCTATGCCTGGCAATGTCTCCCAGCTCAGTAATCGGTGTGTTGACTCACCTCTCGGAAACTAGAACAACACTCAAATTTGTCTGTCATCTTGGTTTGAAAGTAATCTTTCTGATAGATTTCAATATGTAGTTTATAATACTAATTCCTCCAATTTTTCTTCTATTACATGGCGACGGCGTACCACAAGGTTCTGTCCTAGGTCCTCTACAGTTTTTTAATTTACATTAATGATCTTATACACATTCAGCTTCACCTCTCAGTTAAATGAAAGGCCTTCCCGCGTGGGTTTTTTAACACGGACTTGGCTTGCTGCCGACAGAGTCAGCAAAAAAAAGAAAAAGAGGGGTGCGGTTAAAACACGAGGGCAGTTTATACACTGTTGATTACGGTAATGCAGGGACTTGGGATAAGTCCCTGGGTAATGTATATAAATTTGCTTAATACACAAGAGGTATCTTGTATGCACTGCATGAGCCATGTTGAATTCTTTGGGGTCATGAATTTGGTTCAAATTAACATTCAAAGCATATGTGATTTTATAATATCCATGGTCGTTGGCACGGTTGAAATCGAGTCTAAAGTGATGAAATTGTATAAACTCTTTATGTTGTCTCCCTCTCAAGACTGATATTTCTTTAGCTTTCAAACAATGTTTCTAGACTACAATCGACCGATTTGCAATTCTCGTTTGAAAAATAGGCTACCAGTAATAAAACAACACGTTTCCTAGAACTTGAGATTTTCCCCACTTGGAATGCATAATGTCTATCGATTGGTCATGTCCCTGGTCACAGCCCAGTGCAGATTTTTGTGCATAAAACGATAGACTTCAATTGAAGTGGAAACCAATTGCCTTGCAGAGGTCAGTGATTACAGTATGTCTATTTCCTGTTGTAAGCTGCTAGACATATATAACAGGTGATAAGGGCTACTCTATGCCATATTAGGACAGCAATAGCTGGTTAACCATAGCAACTCTTTATCTCAATAGACTGCATGTAAAAAAAACTGATTTTCTGCAAACCCGTTTTGTCAAGCTACAACGTAAAGGACGATTCTATGTCGTAATGTGTCCCGTACAAAAATCTTTTTTCCCCTTATTTATTTCATCTAAAACATCAAACATCATGTAACCATGTGATATCAGACAGAACCATTGATCAGTCAATGTTCACAGTTCACACCAAGAGATTATCACTTTTTAATGTAATAAACTGATAAAGGCCATACCATAGGGTAAACATTACACATTGCACCCTAAAATGGCAAGAATGATCTTAGGCCAAATAAAAAAAAAAAACATGTTTAGCGTCCTGTTTTTTCGAAAAATAGGAAGGAGGAGGCCCTTTTTTTTCTTCTTTTTTTTAAAATCAGAAATAGATCCATTTGAGCAGTGTTTTTCATGTTTTTTTTCTTTAAAAAAAAAATTTTCAAAAAAAAAATTCAAAAAAAAAAAAAAAAATAGGTGGCCCCCCAAAAGGAAGCAGGCGGGGACGCTAAACATGTATATTTTTTTTACATGGCCTTATATGAATGCCATTTAAATATAACTTAGAAGCAGAATTACCCTACAAAAAAAAATTCTAAAACATTTCTTTTTTTAAGAAGAAGATGAGCAGATACAAGGTCATCTTCACAATGTTGTTGACCAACCCTGGTTACATAACCATGATGACACACTTTGCTTTAACTCCAAGATATATTTTTATCAATGAGACACTAGTCTAAAGTCAACATACTGATACTACTATGAATGGGTTATATTTGCATTGTGAAGTGTGTGTAAGAGGTGTGTGGGTATGGAGTAATGTACATATCCTCATGTACATGTCGCTGATAAAACATATTCCATGTAAAGAAGAATTATCTAAATCTTGATCTTATAGTTTAATCAGAACTAGATAACGAGATTTCCGTAATTAGCTCCATCCCTCGGTTAGACTTGACCACATATTAAACCTACATGTACATGTATTAAGTTGCGTTGTCCCATAAGATGATTGTTTGGTAATCCTAAATGTATACCGGTAAGTACTAGTTCAGTGATGTGGTCAAATGTTCCGACCGTCCATGGCACTATTCATTTTCAATTTGACACTTTCGTTTACAGAATTTTTTTTTTTTTTTAATTGATTTTTATTGGAAAATGAAAAGAAATCACAATATTTACAAACGATTTTCATAAACAGAAACAAAATCACTTAACCAAAACAGAGACTTTACCATCGGGCATGCATTGGAACAATGACTGGGTTTCACTTTGTTTAAGAAGCTAACAAATCAAGTTTTGCCGACATTATCTTGAAGTCAGCATTAGTCAGTCCTGACTTGTAATGTTGAATTGCAGAGGAAGAATCTACACGAACCCACATGACTGATGCCATGGAGCTGATAATTTGAGTGCTCATCAACATAAATATAATATATATCATAGAAATTTTACATCATTTCTGCTCAAACTGCTCAAAATTCTCTCCCATTTTCCCCCTAATGTCCCTATCTATATTATATCAGTACACAACATGATTTTAAGTTGAATATTTCATCTTCTTCATACTGTGATCTTACACACACCACTTCCCATCTTAAGGCACACTTAAAAAGCAAAAATAGAATGCAATCTGCGCTCAAGTTTGCCACATGAAGTTCATAACACACACATGTACATGTAGGCTAGGCTTCTTCAACGTTCAATTGAATATTTTATACCTAATATGTGGGTGTCTAAAAATATGCCAGACAAATAATTTATTTTTTGAAGATTATATCATTTCAATGTCCAGTGGGCACAGTCACGTAGAACGCAGTCATTCCTCTTTTCACAATGTTTGTATTTGCCAAAGCTCTCAATTGAGGCAAACATGACCTTTGGATCTACATAAGTTGTTGACTCAAATGAAAATGCTCAAATGTTAAACAATGGGTTCACATGAATGTCATGAATTATATTAACTACTGACGATTTTTTGTTTTAGGGGGTGGGGGGAGGGGGCAAAGATTGAATTGACTACTAAACCTTCATTTATCTTGAGCAAATAAAATTGTGAGTTAGAACATTTTGAATGATGTAAATTTAATAAAGAAAAGAATGTACTGTAGGCTCTCGAATTAACTTTGTTGCTATGTACATTTTTAAAGATTATATCATCTCAACGTCCTGTGGGTAGGCCTACAGTCATGTGGAACGCAGTCATGCCTCTGTTCAAAATATTTGTATTTGCCTAAGCTCTCAATTAACACAAACATTACCTTTGGTTCTATGTATATTTTGCTGACTTGATGGAAATGCTCAACTGTGTAAGAATGGGTTCACATCAATGTCATAATTCATATAACTACTCAAGGATTTTGGCGGAGGGGGGGGGGGGGGCAAAGATTGAATTGAATGCTATACCCTTCGTTTATCTTGAGCAAATAAAATTGAAGGTTACTAAATGTTAAGTAATGTAGGTTAAAGATAAAGTTGAGTACGGTCATGCGATTGCATTGTGAAAGAAAAGGTTTGGAATGGATCACAAAAAAATTATCATGTAGCATGTAAGTATTGGTGTGTACTGCAAGGTTCTGGAGTCATCAAAATCATAATACATTTGGCCCAGTCTTTGTAAAGTAATAAGCACTGTACACAGAGAGATGGACTACACGAATGGTGTCAGGCCTGACAGGCTGACAATAATTAGCCAGTTCGTAAATAGCTTAGGAATGCATGACCCCCAAATATCCACAGATCTTTTACACGATGGAAACGTCCCACGTGCATTTTAGAATAATCACTGCCGAAGTGATGGAGGTGCTTCATGAATACCTTTTGTTTGCCTCTTGAGAAGAATACTTCCACCTGTGTATCAGATAAATGTACTGTCGGTGCATAAGAGAGTACTGATTACATAACTTTCATGAGCACGATACCAGAATTCGTCTCGCTGGTTTTACTATTTGGGAACGTACATGTACAGTATGACCTAGACCTTTATCTGCCCATGCGCAAATCCTAATTACGAACTCGCTTATTGATTTCCTGTATCAGTATACACTATTCCTTAGCCAGTATACATTTTCTACCAAAATTGTTTAGCAAATGACATTTATTTGTAATCTTGAACATTCTGTGTAAGTTTCGTTTGATTCTGTGAGAATTCATTTTCTTTTTTTACCAGAACTCATGTTTATCTTTAATACAGAAGAGTATGAACCGTCTGGGTCTTTTTTTGTTGCTCCCTCTAATTTACTTTGTTGTTATGTAGTATGTACATGTAAATTGTTTATTGAGTTTAAACCAAGTTCGTATCTCACATCAGGTTTTATGAAACAGGGCCAAAACCATCTACAGACTGAACAGACAATGACATTACCCCTAGCGGCCCCAAATTATTTCGTTTTGGAGTTGGCCTCCAGTCTGTCGGTTTGCCGATGTGACTGAGGTATTATTTACAATGGTGGTTGGAAAGTCATTGTACGTGTCATGGCTGATCTAGATTCTATACAATTATCTTGCCAATTGCAATACTTCAATGCTTCCATAATATTATTACACCTAGAGCCGGCTTAGATTTCAATGAAATCGGTTCTAAATTGATCATTTGGATCATTGGATGTGATGTGGGACTTGTAAAATACTACAATAACAATTATTCACATTTGCAATATTACATCATTTATAAGCATGATGAGTTCTGAATTAACCAGAACAATTGGTATGTAGTTTGAACATGTACCTTTAAACTTTGAGCCCAGCTTGAACCCCAAATCCCTTGTACCCCTCTCAAGGTCGTTCAATATTGAATACATAGACTGCACAATGCACATATTAAAGTACATAATACATTTATGTATAATACAATAGTACATCAGCATCAAGGTTGGATAACAAAAAAAGAACATTTTATAATATCCTGCATGATCTGCATCAAAGATTTATTGGTTTTTGATTGTTTGAGAGTTCTTCAAGTGACCAGAAATATTACAACCATTTTAAGGTTGCTCTGAAAAAGTACTATTTGGGAGTACTCTTTGGGAGTTGAAAATTCAGTGAGCGTGCAAACTACGCTGTGCCGCAGTCTAATTAACTGCGCTGCACTACTGCAGTTGAGTTATTCTGCTTGATTATACATTTTTGATGGAGGATAAAAACAAATATACTCTGCCTTCTTTTTGAGGTACTGGTACAAACTATGGGCCTCGGTGGCTCCAATAGTACTATTGCCATTGGGATGACTCCTCGTGCCCATAGTTTTAACCAGAACCTCTCAAGACGGTGTATACATTAAATTTGTATACTACATGCAGGCGCGTATGCAGGGGGGGGGTTGGGGGTTGAACCCCCTCCCCTTTACCTTTTTTGTTGTTGTGTGTTTTGAAGGAGAAAAAAACCTTTAATTTTTTTTTTTTTTTTTAAATTGTGGTAATAGGTGACCAAAAAAAAGCTGTCCTTACCCCCCCCCCCTACGAAACCAAATATTGATCGGCCAAATTTTGGAACCCCCCCCCCCCTCCTAAAAAAAAAAGTCCTCTTAGCCCCCCCCCCCCCCCTTCCCCCTCCCCCTCCCCCCACGCTTAATTCAGCAGCTGGCTGAGTTGTTGTGAAATTTTCGGCGCGATTTAAAAAAAATTAAAATCCCCTCCTTGCTAAAATCCTGACTACTGGTATGTGTATCAACCAATTGCATTTGGGAACCAACTGGCTCCTGTATTAAAGCCTATGGGGTAAATGGCCTTCAGTGGTCAATTGGTTAACAACTATTAGTTCAATCAATACCTTCACATATGTTGAGAGAGCTGGCCACCCTCCACAGGGCATCATGGATGGGCTGAAGGAACGAGATGTTGATCATCATGATAAAGGAGATGGATATAATGGCGATGCACAGGTTCCAGGGAGAAGTAGGCCACAGACCATTCATGATCAGATTCCTAAAAGGAGATGAAGAGAAGAAGAAATAAAATAAAAGCTCCCTTTTATCCCTTCCTTCATGATCATTTTGTCATCAAAATGAAATCCTTGAAATGGGGTTAACTGAAAGATTCATACTGTGAGCCCAGGCATAATTATTGCAGCTTTCTATTATTAAATAAGACGGTTTAAACTTAAAGAGAAGGTTGAGTTCTGGGATGAGGTAAAAAATAATTTGTGAGCGTTATAATTGTGATTATGCAAGGGTGGAAGAACATCAGATTAAACATGTTCCCGGAAAAGCATGGCTCTTTAAATGCCTTCATATTCTAAATACGAAATGAAACATCGTAAAACTCGGGGGTAGGTTTTTTTCGCCATGTGTTCGTGTACATCATTCTGTGTACAGTGCTTGTAACTTTGCCAAGATTTGGCCAAATTTCTTATCATTTTGATGATTCCAGAACCTTGCAATACACATGAATACTTATATACTAGATGATCAACCTTTTCTGATAGATTCCACGCCGTTTTTTCACAATGCAATCACATGACCAGAACTCAACTTTATCTTTAAAGAAGAAAATGGTCATAAATGGTAAATAACACCATCATTTTCATCATAAATGGAACCACCACCATCATCATCTTTGTAAAGTTGTAATCAGAATCATGATGATCATCAATATTTTCATTATCACAATCATCACCATCATCACCCCCACCACCAATGTTATCATTATCTCCACTAATATCACGTTCATCCCCTACCCATGTTTAAGGGTCATTTTAGCAGATTTTTCTTGAGGAAAAGCCCATTTTTCAAATGTTTGGGGCCTAGGGTGTTTATGTTAAAGGTAAAGACCAGTTTTGGAAATGCCCCCCTCTCAAAAAATGAATTGGAAACTTGATCATGTGAAAGAATGTGTTTTGACCAATACGTAATCATACAAATTTTGCTGGGAAACCGCTTACTAATTGATATATTTGGTATATTATTATATCTATTTGGACCTGATAGATATAACGTACGTGTCGCATAGACCCATATACATCTTTTTGTGTACAGTTACAAAGACTGGGCCAAATTTCTTATCATTTTGATGATTCCAGAACCTTGCAGTACACACCAAATTATGCTAGATGATCAACCTTTCTGATCAATTCCATGCAATTCCATGCAATTGCATGACCATAACTGGTCTTCATCTTTAAAAATGGGACCCATGATTAGAGATTTTTGTGTGCAACAGATACCCATTAGGCATTAGAGCGGCACATCCCTGTTTGTAATAATACATGTATGTGAGTACCCCCCCTCCCCCAATATATTTAGGCTGTATATATAGGCCTGTATAGTTAGGCTTGTAATACTCTACTAGTAGGCTGAAACTAGCCTCATTTTCACTTCTAATACAGCGTTATTTATCCACACATGTGTGTGGTGAGTTTTTTTAACACAGAATTCAGAATAAGTAATGAATTATATACATCACCAGGATAACAAATTTGTATAGAAGAATTATTACGCACCGAGTTCGGTATAGATTTCTGACCGAGCTCCGCTTGTATTTCTCGAATCTACTTTCCCAGGTATTCTCCCTCGTGCTGGTAAAGTAGTCCACTTTAGGCTCCGTCTCATCCGCAGCACTCCTGGCTTCGGCCATGTTGGTCAGCAAGTAGAGCTCAACGAAATGAATTCCAAATTGAACGTTACTCAAGTTCAATGATTAGTCTAAATGAAAACAAATGTCACCAGAACAGAGCGCGGTGCAACCAGTACCAGGTCAGTTATTCTGATCATGCATGCACGCATAAAGCACATGCACGTAACGTAAGTCAACGCTATCGCGACGAAAAACAAGCAGTGAAACTGAAAGCGGCTGGCTATCGTAAGAATAGATGACGATTATTTATTATTGTGAGTTCAACCATGGTTCAACCATGGGCTGGAGCACATGTTGTTTGGCCTAGTAACTACCTGCTTGGACAATACATTCAGGATTCAGGACAATCGCTGGAGGACCACGCTGAGCTGACCGGACCCGATGAATGATCGACCGCGCCCATCTGTAGTCTAATTCACAGACCTTGTTTGTCATGCATGACCAGCTGTACAACTGGGGGTGTGCGGGGGGTGTGTCGAGCGCGCGATGACAATGTGCGCCTGAAGCTACCTGTGTTCTCGTGTCATTCGGAATAAATTGTCATTGTCATTGTCATATAACTCCCCAAACTCAATATACATGGCAGCATTAGACTGAAGAAGAAGAAGCATCAGAAGGATAAAAAGAACCAGTTGAAGAAGGAGAAGAAGAAGGAGGAGGAGGAAGAAGAAAAAGAAGGATAAGTCGAAGGAGAAGAACGAGGAGGAGGATGAGGAGGAGGGAGAAAAAGAAGGAGAAGAGGAAGAAGAAGAAGAACTTTAGGAAGAATAAAGGAAAAACAAACAAAAAGGGAAAGCCACAGAAGATTTTCAAATGCCTTTTAGGGTAGGACACTCTTGAAAGGCGATGCAACGGACTCGAACGGAGCGCGGTATTGAAGGGGATGGCATTTTGTTTTTTATCGTCTCCTCATGACTGTTATGCCACATTATGAAAAGGGGCACGGGTCGGTGTCCCCATGTACACCCCCTAACACACTACTGATGAATGGTGTGGATGGAACGAATGCAGAAATACAGAAATGCATGTTATGGGCACAGGCACGGATCCAGGATTTCTTAGGGGAGGGGGCCCAACTTTTTTTTTTTTTGCTCCCGAAACTTTGAAAACCGCGCCGGCCGAAAAGTCGCTCAGTGGAGGGGGGGGGGGGGAGGGGGGAGGGGGGGGAGGGGGGAGGGGGTAGTGAGCACAATTTTTTTTTTTTGGTGCTCGAAATTTTTTCAATTTGCACCCCCTCCCCCCTTGAGCGCCAGGGGGGGGGGGGGCCCAACCCCCCCCCCCCAAAAAAAAGGTAAAAATCACGTGATTTTACATGAATTTTTTTCTCAAGGGGGGGGGGGGCCGCCCCCCCCCCTGGATCCGCCACTTTATGGGCATGCCTTGGGGCGAACGGGCCTGAGATCATCTTGCTCTCATGTCGCCCAGCCTGGGCCCCGTGGTCAAAAAATAAATTTGTTCCCAAGAGTTGCTGCTTTCTTCACATACTCATTAATAGTAGAATTTTAAAATATTTTACTTTTTCATAGTTGTTTGGTTTTTTAAAATGATTCGGTAAGACGGTAACAATGTTGAAGGTTGATAAAAAAAACTGTGTAATTTGTGTATGAAATGTTATTATATTCCTACCTTTTACTGTACTAACCCTCTAACATGCAAACAATTCTGAAAATATTTTCAAACCCCAAAGATATTTATGGTTTTCTTTGAAGACGTCACTGTGCAACACCCTCTATAACAGTAAATTCTCCCAACCATTTTTGAATTTTCCCAACCGTTTACCATGAAAATAAGAAATAAGACAGGCTTTAACAATCTTTCAACACCTCAATGTCTGGAATGGTTTAAAGACCCAATTCATTGCTTTGTGACGATTAACAGTAGTCTAAAATGTAATTAAATTGTAATAATATAGTTTGGAGAATTAAGGAATCGATCAGATCAGTTTTCCCCAATTTTTATCATGGTCTGACTTTTTACTCAAACTTTCAGATTATCTTTGTTTGTATACAATACATCTAGCATTGAAGTCACTACCTTAGCGCCATTTATTCTCATCTTTATATGTTACCAAGTCCCTTTAATCAGGGCTTTGCATGAGAAAAAATAAGGACAGTGTTTTTTTTTTAAGGGATTGATCAACCAATGCGATTATCATTTTTTTATATTTTTCCTTCTTCATCATGGACTCTTCTGTTTGGGAGTATATGGAACAATCAGGCGCGTACGCAGGGGGGGGGGGGGGGGGTTGAACCCCCCTTTGGTATTTTTATGTGTGTTTTTTTTAGGAAAACCCCTCTAAAACCCCCTCCCCCCCCCTTTGTTTTTTAATCGTGCCCATGGCTGACCTAAAAAAGAGGTGGCCTTACCCCCCCCCCCCAACGAAGAAAAATGTCAAATTTCGAGACCAAAAAAAAAAGTGTCCTCTTACCCCCCCCCCCCCCCCCCCCGCTTATTCAGCGGCTGGCTGAGTCGTTGCGATTTTTTTTTGAGACCCCCTCAAAAAAAAGTGTCAACATAATACGTTGACAATAAAAATATGAGAGAAATGATCCATCTGTTTCTAAAACATCGTTTACGAAACATACCCCCTTAACACACCAATACAAAATAAATTAACTTGTATTCTAGGATTATTCCAAAGGGATTGACATCTACATTGAATTGAGTAAAAGGCCATGTAATACCTCTCCCCAAAATGGGTTGCGCATTTATAGTGGCTAATTATTCTTTGTAATATTCAGCCCCCATGAATAACTGAAGAGATGTATACGATGGAGGCAAGAATGATTGGACCATATTATGAAGAGTGAAATTTTCAGAACAAATATATCTTCTTATTCATGATATTTTAAGTGATTTAGAATGCATAAAAATGTTAGGCATTTTAACCCGACCATCATCGTCCAATATTGCCCCATTTGTTTCCTACTCATTTTTTCACGTTTGCCATGCCATGTAAATTCGAGAAAACATCAATCGATATACTTCATAATTTCTAATTTTGCTTCTGGAAGAGATTAAAAATAGGTGATTCAATTTGGGTACAAATAAGGATTTTACTATGGTTACTCTCTTTAAGGGAGTAAAATGTTCTTATAAACCATATCGTCATCTGATCTCTTGAACCTTTTCTTGACAAATTATTGTGATCAAGCATTTCTGATAATTTAACTGAAAAGTCTATGCCCAAGTACCTCAAACGTCCTTCAGATCGATGCTTTGTTGTCAAGTTAATAATGAAATACCCTTACCCGAATTCTTCAAATTGGAACGTTTATAATACGAAGAATTTCGAATTCATGGAGTTTATCTAGAGGCCAAACATAATTATAGAGATTGTGCAAATATTCGACGTAAGATGGCGACATAATAACTCGTTGGATTTACACTCATGGACCGCGTACCTGCAATTTCAATTAGAGTAAAGCTTTCCCACTCTGTTATCTTGTTTGTATTTTGGAGTAGGGATGCAGATTTTGTGTTTTACCCAGCAGGGTATCATAATCCCTAGATATACGCCACTAGTTTGCTTTACCCCTACCCGAAGGCATGAAATGCTCAAGAAAAATAATGCAACCCATTCTTTGTTTTTGGCTCGCTTGTCATATATTTCTTGTCACCTCGCCCCCTACTTTTCTCACTGTGTCTTTTCCCCTTCTCATATTGTGTGTTTGTGACTTTTATCACTGATCCGACAATCGCTATGGTGAAATAGACACAGAACAAATTTGATTAAATAATGTCATGATGATATATATATGCCTAATCATTTTGGTCAGTTTTATTGTATTATTCAATTATGAACACCATAAACATTAATTTTGACCAATCAGGGCACCTTAATCTTTTGACTCGCCTGCAACTGATTCCATTATACATCTTTTCTATGACAATCAAATCACATTTTTGTTATAAGCTAGTATAATGAAATCCTTGCTTCTGATTGGTTTAATATCAGCAGATTAAATTGTCACAGATTTTTGTAATTTTGTCATTGGAAAAAGGCTTTGAGAAACGGGTCCTAGGAAGTTCAATCTCACTTCATTAACTATAGCGTGTCAAGGGAGGGGGGCATTGGGGATGAAGGACACTAACTTGCTCGTAAAATGTCGTTGTTTATGAGACAGAGGAATACATGTTGTTGACTTTTCTGAGCACCAAATTATTATTTTCTTAATTGATTTTATATCAAGTGCCATAGTAACTGAACAGGATTTCAAATAACATTATCAATCCCGTGTTTATTTCATAAATGTATGCCAAACTGCGTCAATAATACGGCTGAATTAATCGGATACAGAACCAGTTAGATTCAATTCAAATTCAAATTCAATTCAAATTTAATTCAACACTCTTCATAAAAACATTAAAAACATACAAATACAGAATGGAATAATAAAAAACAAGAAAGTGATAACAAATAGCATTTTATAAAGAGCATTTGGGATAGGCAGAAAGGAAGGATTCCTTATATGAAAGCCTACCCCTAAAAAAACTCACAAAGGACAAAAAGAAACAAGAACAAAAGAAAAGAACAAAAAACATACTAAAACTACAACTATACTAATACTCTATAATCAGAGTAAAAAAAAGTGTCAAACTTGCCCATGCTGATTAATATTGTTTATATTTTTAAAAGATTATGAGTTTTTTGCATTTTTTGATTTCCTGAGGTATACTATTCCATATTAATGGTCCTTTAACAAATAGTGAGCTTTGACCGAATTGGGTTGATAGTAAACGGCATGTCATGCCAGAGAACTTCAAATCAAACGTAAGTTGAGGTTGGAAAATAAGAAGATTTTTTTTTTTTGTCCAATTTTTAGGAAATAATTATGTTGAAAAATGTATTTAAAAAAGCTCAAATTATGCCAGACATAATGCCAGATGCTAAAAGGGTCAAAATTATCAATTAGACTATGCCAGAAAGCATAATCATGCCAGATCTGGCAACGGTATCTTGATCACTACCAGTCCCACCCACCTGTATCGGCCTTGAGCCCTTTGCAATTTTGGACCCGGAAGTGTATTCATACTCTATGACCTTCATGCGCTGGCGCTGGTGACATCATTCACGCGAGACTCTGCATTAGCTGCATGCATAAGATACGTGTATCAACTATCGAGTATCATAGAAAAATTCATAGGCCTACGCTAAATATTGGAAGCATACGTCGTCTAAAAATCCGGCTTTTACGTGAAAGTTGGAAATTGAAATCAACATGGTTTGTGGAGGGTTCTCGTGTAGTAGAAATGCGCTGATTGCGCTTAACAGTCTATATATTGTGAGTATATCCAGCCTCTTTGTGACTTATTTTAAGTTGAAATTGAGATAAAAAAATAAAATAAAATAAAGTCTAGCCTAGATCTAGACCTATGAGAGAATAAGAAAATAAACGAGAGAATTTTGATGTATGACTATGAACTATGATTGAATATGGTGGAGAACATAATAATTTTATATTCCTCCAGGCTCTAATGCTTAAACGAGACCTCTACATTAATTATTCCTTATTTTTACCTTCAAAAGTCGAGAGTATCGCTTCAAAATTTGAGAAAGACACAACGACCCAACAACTTAAAAAATTGAAGATAAAGTAAACAAGTACTTTTCGTTTTAGCCAAAGGATTCGATTAGGTGATATATTCAATATTGATGTCGCCTAGCCTTATTAAATTGGCACCTAGAGGTCTACTGCGTGTAGACAGCAATAACCATCTGATTTGGGTCATTTCTTTAATAAAACTGACATTTGTTGTCATTCCCCAATACAGATGGCAACCCAGAGATCTCGTACCGTGGGGGTAGCTATAGCCAACAATGGCAGCTTTTTGTGTCAAAACATTTTCTCCCCGATTTTCTTTATTTAGATCTAATTTTCTGATTTCTAAATCAGATGTAAATTAGGTCGGTATGTCATTTGTCCTAATTACAGTTATCAAAATTTGATAACTTAATATTAAATGTATAATTTACGGACTTACTTATATGAATTATCCAATTTGTATTTCCGAACTGTGAAACGGTACGTTCATGCATTTGAAATATTACCCGGCGGCCGATATATTTCCGGGTCCACCTACCAAAACATAGCCAAATGGCCAATCAGAGCACTCGTTTCGTGGGAGTTCGTTGGTCAAGCTGGGCCGACTCGTACGTAGCTACGGTAGCTATTGGACGTTTGAAAAGAAAAAATGAATATTCATCAACTAAAACCAAGACGGATAATGTTGACGACGAGACTTTCTCGGATTAATCATTAATTTAGGATCTAAATGAGCAAGCTATCGTAAGTCAAATAAGCTATATATATGTTATTTTTAATTTGTGTTGTAATTTCAGCAGTTATGAGGATGTAAAGAGTGAAAATCTCGTTGCATATCTCATTCATCGCGGTCCGGTCGAACCGAACCATTTGTTCCGTAAAAGGCCTCACAGAAAGAGGTCCCCAGACTTCAGTCTCTGTAATCGGAGGTCTAGTGGAGCCAGACGTAGTCTCAGTGGAACAACCGACGATTAGAGAGACTGAAGTTTTCGGTCTATACTGCGTGAAGAGTTGTGTAAACAAAACCTAAAATGCGTCGTAATCAAACTAATTCCCGCACCTGACAAACCTTCCAAACTACCTATAGAGGTCTAGGCTCCAGATTTCGCTAATGTCAATGGACTCTTCTTTCTTCTCATACTCATAGGCCTATAGCACTTTGAAATCGGTCAAGAATTTAACCAAAAGTGTGAAAATTTGACACTGGACTCTGGAGTGATACTGATTGCGATTTGCTTACGGTAGGCGGTAGCGTACCTCCCACGTTTACCTGATGATGAGCGAACAAGTAACATGCAGTTTACATATAGATCTACGCTGATCTCCCATAGGTTGTGTACACTAAAAAAGCTGTTTTCAAGTTGCCAATTTGGTACTTTGAGATAATAGTGATTTGTTGAGTGTACTAAGGCCAGGGCAGGCACAAGCACGCGTAGGGTTTGTGTTTAGTGCAGGAAGTTGATGATATTTTTTATAATTTTATAGTAACAATTCAGTGAGCTCAGCTCAGACACATTTTAAAACCTACTGTGGGTGAGGTACTGGTTACAAGTTGGATTTTACAAGTTTTTATTAAAAATACAGGGTTCAAGTGAATATTAAGTATATTTAGGAGATAGGTCTAGTGAGATTTTTTTTGATGAATTAAATTTTTGTTCTTACAATTTTATTTTGTATTCCCCATGCAGATTGTGGCACTCATTCTAATCATAGTCCCATCTCTAGCCAAATCTGGATCGTACGTCTCCAGTCTTTATATCATCGGTGGTATCATAGCCTGTGGAATCTTCCTTTTCATCGTAGCTGTAGCAGGTTTGATTGGAGCTATCAAACATCATCAAGTCTGTCTTTTCTTTGTATCCTTTGACAACAACAAAATCCTGTGCGTGCTCGAGCTACAGTGTATCAGTTTAATCAGCGTTTGTCGTCTTGTAATCATTTAGGTCACCCCTCCTGTTCCAATTTTATTATTTTTATTATTGGAAAAGTGAGCATTCCTTTACAGAGCTTACAGAAACGAACGTAGAAACACACTTTACAAATTGAATTAGCTATGGTGATCTACCTCTAAAATGTTGTTTGAAATGCTATTTTATCAATGTGCTGTCTTTTCTTCCCTTAATTAATATCTTTGGGAGCAAAATCAACAAGCTTAATTCTTTTATTATTAGGCCTAAACAAAAAAGATGTTGTATTGCCCTTTGCGACCGACCCCAAAATGTTGAAATCGACGGTCGGCTTTTTTTAATTTTTTTTTTTTTTTTTTACAGTTTTTTGGAGAAAAAAATATATTAAAGCATTCAAAACTGAGAAATATCGGTCCAAAGAGGGAGTTTTAAAAAAAAAATTAAAAAAGATTTCCGACCGACCGACCCATGTTTTGGCACCGAAAGGACAAAACAGCATATTTTTTTTAAGGCCTTACTAAGCATACATGTAGTTGGTCATGATTTCAAACAAATGCAATTACGGTACATGTACATTCAGAGTCCTAAGTGTAGATACTCTTCAGTATTTTTGCAGTTGTGGTTTTATTCTTAAATTTCAGACCTCATGCCAACATCTGACCCTTGGTATAATGTATACATATCTATGCTGCGATGACATTGTGTATGCTTTCCTTGACAGCGTCCAACCAGTACATGCTCGTTCTGTTCTTGGTCTTCCTAATTCAGTTCTCTGTATCCATAGCAGCACTGGCCTGTGGGAAAGACCAGAGGGAAAAGCTGGTCAGACTCTCATGGGAACACTCGAGTAACGAAACAAAAACAGACATTCAGAATGGCTTATGCTGCTGTGGCTTTGATAAAAATGATACCAGTCATCCTACCTGTCCAACTGTCAGGAATGATGTGGTGAGTATAAAGGACAGCAGGGTCATTAGAAGGAGGGGTAAGGGTCAGGGAGCAGTTTGTCTGTCCAGACATGTTTCTAAAAAAAAAGATGAAAGTGCAGTCACTGGTTGCCTTGCAGGTTAGGGGATCATTTACCATACATAAATATGAGACCTGATTCTTAAAAGATTTACCTTAGGCTTTGTCTTCCAAAATAATTCATTTGGGGTGACCCCCCCCCCCCCTAAAACAAAAAACAGGGACCTTTAAAAGTAGTTTCCTATTACAGTTAACTGAAACGTTATGCTCCCTCTAACCTGGGCCCTGTTTCATAAAACTTGTTATAAATAACTGATATAAGCTACTAATATCGTGGCTATTGATTGGCTGAGATCAAATTTGTCATAAGAAATTAGCAAGTTTTATGACATGGGGCCCTGTGTAAGGTCTGGAAATGCCATTGAGCAGAGTTCTCGTCAATGCGTAACACCGTTCAATAAGCAAAATTGCTTTTGTCTTCGTAATTCATCCCCTGAGTTTGCCCAAGAATATTTTTCACTTAGTTTAGACCAAGGGTGAACAAATCCCTGCCCCCTGCCCCCTGCCCCCTGCCCCCTGCCCCCTGCCCCCTTTCAAAGTGTGAAGGACAGAGATCACGTTTTTCATTGATAATATTCTTCCTCTGCAACAGTAATAATACCAGATAGCATCTGTTAACTTGTACGGCCATAATTCTTTGGAGGTTGAACAGGTCATTTTAAGAGAAGATTTTTTTTTCCCCCCTACAGAAATGTGGAGACCAAACTTGCCAGGACAAGATGGATGAAGGTTATGCACAGGGATTAAAAATATCAGGAGCAGTAGGGCTTTTCTTCAGTTTAACAGAGGTGAGTGTGTATTAAGGCTGTGCATAACTGTGTAATGAGGTACTCGAGTACACTCTCATGCTTACAGGCGAATACTCAAATACTCGGACGCTGTTTTTTTTTAAAACCACCATACATACTATGGCAGAGAAGTATCCCAGGTCCGTCATCGAAGTGTCCCGCGATTTTACTTCGATTTCCTGTTGAAGGCGCTGATTTAATAATAATAATAAATAATAGTAAACAATGCTGTTTTTAAAACCAAAGATGACAGACTTCTTTACCTCAGAGTCCAAACAGAAATCCGGAAATTTGGTCCCAGTTTCTGAGTGGTGAGTTGACGGTGATTGAGCGGGGAAACATTTTTACAGATACCAATTTCTTACCATGATCAGATACTACAACAATCTGAGATGTTGTTGGATGGATTTGCTTGGATACCAGTTCAAACTGTGTACTTCTGAGTCTTCTATTATTTGTACAGTATGGGAATCATTTATGTGATGAGGAATCAATACATTTTTGTAATGTTATAGATTTATGCATATTCATATTGAACTGACTATCTCATTATCTTTGCCATATGTGCATTTGGTTTTGAATTTACAATTCATGTACCATGCTGTTAATTGGTAATATTCCTATGTATACCTCTCTCAAATAGATCAATCTTTGTAATCTGAAAATGTGTGTGACAGCTGATGTGATCATTTAATTTCTGCAAATTGTAGTATTTACTCTTTGAGCTGATATAATAGCTAACCACAATTTGCAAGTGTCCATACACCTGTACATGTACATCTGTATTTTGCATTATTCGTACCACTTGTTTTTAAATCACTTACTAGATTCATTCAATATTTTACAATGTGTATGAATTAAGTAAATTCTCATTATTTGTTTAAATACATATATTGTACATGTACTCTTTCATCAAAATATAATGCTGAAAATTGTATTTGTATGTATGTTTGTTTGTTAACATTATCATTCTTTTAAATTTTACAAATACTACATACATGTACATATTTCAATTGAGCAAAAATGGTTTATTTCACAGTAAACTACATCTTGTACATATTTATTAACAATACATATTATACAGGGTTATTTGTGTGGATGATATACCTGTGAGATACAGAAATGAGAAGCGCGTTACAATTAACAAAAAACACTGCAGTTTACCAGGTCATATTTGAACAAGCTTTTAGAAGTCTCTTCATGTATTTTGAGACGGGTAGTCATTGTGTATTTGTTTTTCTGGTCTTCCACATTTGCTCCAGCAACATTCAAGCTCTGTGCCAAGTTGGTGTTAGGATTGCCATTGAGTTTTAGGTTAACTTTTCGGTAATAGGTCAGGGTTTGAATATGAAATTGATCATGGAGCATTTGTCTCTGGATCTTTTTATTTTGTTAATGTGGAGCTTTGCATATTTACATTAAGGGTTTATTACATGTATCTCTTGTGTTTATTAATTTGCTCATCTCTTTTCACTGTATCATTTCAATTTCTGCCGATTGTGTGCTACAACTTGTAACAAATTTTGTTTCATTTCCTTCTTTGAATCCACACCCCTTTCTTTCTGTCCCGGGCTGTCTATCCCTGTCCCCTCCTCCTTCTCCTCCCCCTCCCCATCCCCATCCCTCCTCTTGGTTCAATCAACGTTTGTCTTCCCTTTCCTCCTGCCCCCCCCCCCCTTTACCCCATAAATGTACCAATATATGATACATGTACATGCATGCACAACCTGTATGGTGACCACGTGTTTGATCTGTAATTATGCTGTTCATGTAAATTAATTTCTCCATTTTTCCTTCCAAACCATCAAACATTTCTAAACATATCCAAATTCATGATTTAATGAAATTGCATACAATTGAACACTTAATATATATATACATTTTATTATATTCAATGATCATATACTTTATAAATGGAATCCTTGACCCATTATCTCACACAATGCTTTTTCTGATTAATTTTTAATTAATTAATCTGCTTCCATTGTTTGCCTTTACAACCTGTATGTACATGTACCATACAAATCTGCATGAATTGGTTCCTTCAACCTTCTTCATTATGACTCTTAATCACCTTGTAAAATATATTTATACTGGTGCAATTGCTTTGCTTTGCAATGTAACATTTCTAAATCCCCAAACCTCTGTATGTTCACCTATCCCTTCCCTCAAAAATGATCACCGTTGCTATCATTGCATCATCATTCTTATATCCTTTTCTTCCCATTCATCCTCAACATTCCTCTTATTTCCTCTTCATCCTTTTCCCACTTCCCCACTGGTATACATGTATCTCACCTTGTACTCTTTCCTGGTATACCCTTCACCTCATTCAAATGTACCCCCTCCCCCTCCCCCCCACCCCCTGCTCATTCCTACCTATCCCTACCCCTACCCTTTATCCCTACATTTAACACATGCCATCATCCCTATCCCATGCCCCATCCCTACCTCGTCCCCCAACATCCCATAATCCCTTCCCTATGCCCCATGCCTACCCCCTCCTCGTCATCCCATAATCCCTACCCCATGCCCCATGCCTACCCCCTCCTCGTCATCCCATAATCCCTACCCCATGCCCCATGCCTACCCCCTCCTCGTCATCCCATAATCCCTACCCCATGCCCCATCCCTATGTAACCAATGCACGGTCCATCCCATAGCTGATAGGGGTGTGGTTAGCTGTTAAGTTCAGGAATCAGAAGGATCCCAGGGCCAACCCCAGCGCCTTCCTGTAACAGAGGATCTTGCCTGCTCACCCAATCCTGTTGCTCTCCGCTTGCTTCGCTAAATCAAACAAGTATGCAAACAAATTTCAAGAAAATACAAATCCATCTTACCTATATGCAAATTGAATATTTTGTTATGAAATATTTCTTAAATGCCCCCGAAATCAGTTTCTGTCTTTCCCTTTGTAATTCTTAGTTTTTGTGATCATGTGAATGTACAGTATGTTGGTGTATATATTCTACACTTGCACTAATTCTACTTTTACACTTTCTGTAGTTGAAAACAAAGAAATTAATTATTTACACTTACTACATACATGTACTAACAAAACATACACCATGAGAAGATTACATTTGTTTTAATCCATTCTTTTATTTAATTTGGCAAATGTTGCAAACAAACTAGTGGAAACTGATAAAGAAGTCACAATAGATTATCAGTACATTTCTCAATAAAAAGATAAAAGAATAATCCCTATTATACATCATGTTACTTAATCTGTAGATTATTCATGATTATAAATGAAACAACAGTGTCATCTACCACTCTCAGATCAGTAAGATGTAGGTGATTTTAATAGGGCGCTTGTATTTCTTATAACCTTTTAATCATGTCTGAATATATACACTTGGGAAGGAAAAGGAACTAAATAACATTTGCTCTAAATATATAAATAGCTTGCTTTTTTTTGTCAAAGTGAGGAAAATCTATTCTGTTTGTGATGATAATATCTGAAATGTTCACCTGGGGTTTGTATTATGTGTAACCAATTTACATATATATATCATTTCCATTATGATAGCAAAACAAATTGAAACTGCTTATCTGTATTGTGCTATAAATATAAACTATTTCACTATATTTTTGTCATGCTATATATCAGCATCACACATTTGCTGTTTACTAGCTGTGTGAATATATATTCTTTCAATTCAGCTCACAGAAATAGATGTCTGAATTCAAAGTTTTCCTCTATAAACCGGATATCCATGTATATCTAGTAATCTGACATTCGCTCTGGCGACAATTCCTCTGGGCTTGTTTCATCAAATCTGACTCAAAGGGGTTTATATTAGGATTGCAGTTAGGTTTATAGCTAGGGTTGAAATTGCGTTTAAGAATACATGTAGGTTTGAGATTAATGTCGGGTATAGTATTATTAGGTTCAGTGTTTAAGTTTAGAAGTTGGTTAGTTAGGAAATTGACACAGAGCAATTGTCGCTGGGGCAGGTGTTGTACAGCCATACACATGGAAATTAAACTAATGCTAGACAGTAGACACGGTTTCTAATCCCATATATCATATTGATCTGGTTACCGGTATATCTAATCCCGTCCCTGTATTAAAGCTATCTGTTTCTAATCCATTGACTATCTACCACCTGCCTTTCTGCACCTGCCATGAATTATTCTCCAAACACCTTCATCAATTATGGTTTCATTGTGTGCTCCGGTACTGCTCTCTATACAGGCTGGAGTGTATATCGGTACTATTAATATTTCATCTATTTACATTACACCCTCTCATCACTGAAGCCAGTGTAATTGAGGGTTTCATACATGTACAATGTATGTACATGTATGTGTGTAATATAGTTGCATTTAAACAGAGTGAAGAGTATTGAGGCTGGTTTTTAAACAAATGAGCTTGCTTTTTAGACAAATGAGCTTGCTTTTTAGGAGAATTAAAGGGTGGGTTTATCAGGGCTTGCCACTAGATACATGTATGTACATATCGTACCCCACTATCAAACCCCACTATCGAACCCCACTATACAATTGTGATTTGCGGGATGTCGCGTTTATCGTCCCTTCACGATTCAAAATAAAGGCCTTGTGTCTGCCCAGCTGTTTTGACCCAGGAAGCAGACAGTTTCTCGGAGGTCAACTTCACACACATGCTTGTACACAACACCTGGGTGGTCCTATTCGTATGTGAGGTTCAAAACAGCTTTGCGTTTATCGATCTCTCAGAAACGTGATTCTGGCTGTATGTCACATTCAAAACACACCTTTTTGCGTCTTTAGATATGCCCATATCTAAAGACATTTGAAAAAGGCTTTGCGTTTATCACCTTCTAAATTTGCCTGAAAGACGTTTGAGAAACCTGATTCTAGCCAAAATTCTGGTCGATAAACGCAACCAAACATAGCCATGTAATGATTTCATTGAAGTGGTGTACAACTGTACATGTATCTTGTAAATCTTTTCTTCAAAATCAAGAACATTTTACAAAGGTACAATAGCACGATAAAACGGTATTATTTTAAGTGCAATGGTTTTTTCTTCTTCAATACACATGCTGCAAATTCAACGAAACTTAATCTTGTCCTTTTAATAATGTACACATTTTGAACGCATGACATACATGTAAGTACCAATGGATTTTTACAAGTTCTACCATCGTCTCCATCCCACTTGTTTTGCAATATGTTAAACACCCAAATACTGTATGGTTATAAATCTGTAACTGCATTGTACTTAGCAACATCATGTGTAAAATGGCGACTGGCTGGAATGCTCCCCAGGGAGTGGAGAATGTGCATACCTTGTGTGCGGGTAAGCCTGGATCCGATGACCGGGGTAATAATATGTTCCGCGCCTAGAAACGTAGTATTAGGCGCATTATAAATGTGAGCTATTATTATTATTATTATCAGTGTGAAGTTCCAGCGAGAAAGGTTGAAAAGGGCAACGAAGCAGTTGAAAATACTAATTTAGGAGTCAAGGGGGGGGGGGGGGGCTAATTTGATAGCCGTCCTACTAGTATTTGACCACCAGGATTAAATTAAGAGAGGCAAGAACTCAGGGGCTGGCTTATAGAGCCTCTGTAATTATGTTACGGGTTTCCTAGTGACTGCATCTTCAGCGTCTGCTGCATGCTTGCAGGGTTGGAGAAAATAAGAAGGAAAGAGTCGCATTTGAAATGGATGGAGAAGTGTTGCATTGGAAAAGGGATGAAGATTCTCTTCTTTTTTTGGGGGGGGGGGGGAGAGAAGAGACATAATAGAAAGTATTCAGAGCGTCAAACATTGCAAACATGGGGCAGAATTTGAATTCAGAAGATATAAAGTAGTATCACAAAGTGTCAAGTTATTCATATGTTTAGGGGTCTAGTGAATTTACATATTTTTTGAATAACCTCTGTCTTGTAAGTAAAAACGAAAATTTGATCATCCTCCTACTAGTATTTGACCACCAGGATTAAATCAAGAGAGGCAAGAACTCAGGGGTTGGCTTATAGAGCCTCTGTAATTATGTTAGGGGTTTCCTAGTGACTGCATTTTTGGCGTCTGCTGCATGCTTGCAGGGCTGGAGTCCTCTCGATGGACTGTATTCTAGAGGATAAAGAGATAGAGAAAATAAGAACAAAAGAGTCGCATGTGAAATGGATGGAGAAGTGTTGCATTAATTGGAAAAGGGATGAAGATTTTTTTTTGGGGGGGGGGGGGGAGGGGAGAGAAGAGCATCAAACATTGCAAACATGGGGCAAACTTGGGATAAGCATGTCTCCAATCCCTCACCACTTGCCTGTGTCACAGAATTTGAATTCAGAGGATATACAATGTGTATATAAAGTAGTAACACAAACTGTCAAGTTATTCATATTTTTTTGAGTTTAGTGAGTTTATATATATTTTTTAATTACCTCCATCTCGTTAGTAAAATATATGAAAATTATTATAGTTTTTCAACAGCAGTAATGCTCATCTTCTATGGTTGATTGTACTGATAAATTTATCTAAAGAAGATCACAAATTCTTCTGGCTTCTGTATCTACATGTAATGCGCATATGAAAAAATTATCCTCATATCTCCAATATTCCTCCCCTCTGCTCTTAACTGGCGGGCCCCTTCGGTTGAGGATAATGACTAGAGGGGCTTTATATGACTTTTCACACCATGAGCTGGGAGGCGGTTAAGGGGTTGTGGTGAACATTGCATATTTTGATTTAATATTATCCTTAGGGATAGAACATCATGTGGAACAGGAAATTAGTTTTAACATTGTTTTTTCTGCCTAGCCGATAATGAGCACTGTGGGCCAAGGGAGGATTGTGATTACGAAAACTCTCAAGCCTAATGAACAAACAGTACTGTGCATACTTATCTCTCTCTCTCTCTAAGCTACCGTATGTAATATGCAGGGTGTGCTACATGTACTGACACATTGTATCCAGAAGTATGTGTGACCGATATGTATGATTCATGTCGATGAGTGTGCTGTAATATGATCCTGAATTCATAGCAACTACTATTAGTATGACTTGAAGGTACTTGATACTATCAGCTGTATTATTAATTCACTGTGGATTTAAAGATAGCAGTTAAATCTTTGAATGAGATATACTGTACTGCACAGGAGAAGAGTAATAGGGAAACGGAAAATGTATTGTATGCAAATTATCCTGCAAATGTTCTGGATATATTTCCTGCTCAGCCATAGATCATACTACAGAGATAGCCACTTATGTATATTGACATTGAGGAAAAGACCCTTAAGAATACCAGTTGATGGCATAATTGAAAAAAGGGAATGTCATTGTGTATCAAATGAATGAATGGTTATGAATGGTTATAAATGGAAAATGTGTGATACATTGATACACAATTTAAAATCATATGAAGAGATATAATACCAAGAAACAAATAAATGAATGAGTAAATGAATGAATAAATAAATTAAAAAAATAAAAAAATAAAGGAATGAATGAATGAACGCTTGAATGAATGCTTGAATGAATGCTTGAATGAATGAATGCATGTAAAATTATTAGGAACCAGACAATATCTTTAGTATGAAACGAGTGTTGTACATGTTCCTGGTTGTTTAAACAGAAACAACAAAGAGTCATTTGGACTACTGAAAATGAGGGCAGGAACATTGAAATCGTGATTAGCATCATGGAGTCTGTAAATGAAAGTTGTAATCTATTGAAAATTATTGTTCAGCACATTTCTTTCTTTTTTTCTTTCTACCCCCTCTCTCTTTCTCTCTCCCCCTCTTTCTCTCTATCCTCTCTCGCCCCCTCCTCTCTCCCCCCTTATCTCTCTCTCCCCTGTCTCTTCCTTGCCCTCTTCTTGTCAAGATGTATTTTACCTTTGAAATGCTGCCGAATAAAAGAATTTAATGATATAATATTTTCTTTGTCTTTCTCATCTTTTTCCTTTTCACCTTTTCACCCTGCAGTTTGTTGGAGTTTTTGTCACCTACCGGTATCGGAACCTGAAGGATCCTAGGGCCAATCCCAACGCATTCCTCTGATCTGACAACATCTCAAAATCATCCTAGAGGATACATTTATAGATTCTTTTAAAAATTCATAACTTTAGATTGATTTGCACAAAATAGTGCAACATTTTTAGATAAAAGATTGAGCAGTGCGATATAAACTAAACGTAAATATATTCATGATGTGGTTTTTATATCATTAATGACTACTGCCAATTTGTGGCAGGTTATATTAATCATACCATTATTCTATATTCATTTATGAGTTTGTACTTTCCATTTGAAGAACACTACAAATTGATTTAAGTTTTTCTGTGTGGCCTGTGGTTACTCACTCCAATAAATTATGATGTGCTTGTTTTTGTAATTTGATATTTTTTTCAGCGTTCAGTTCAGACAAAGTGAGAGAGTGAAGATTTTTCCAACAAAGAAAAAAATAGGAGGATATAAAAATGGAACATTTCTGTAGCAAATTTTCATTTTAAATTAGGGAAGCTTTAGTACATGCAAGATCCAATGATTTTAAGATTTCTTGGCCTGTAGAGCTGCTGATTTGTTGTGATCAGCATAGGGTTTGTTAAAATGACATTTATATTATTATGGTGGTAGTAATGATTTGCTCCAGTGGCATACAGTATTACAAAAGTTTCCTTTGCGTGCAAATTACAAGTAATTTTATGATAGTAGTAAATTTTCATTTTAAAGGAGGGAAGTTTTTTAATATATGGATCATTAAAAACAAAATAAAAAAATATTTAGAACCCATCAACAAGCTACATGTAGGTGATAGAATATTCAACTTTGTTATTCAATGGAAATGATTTGCTGCACAATGGCATATCCATACCACTAACTTCTAACTTACTCTCTTAATTTTTGGAATGGAAAATAACTTTTGTGGAAGCCAAATTATTGATCACTTCCTGTGGGCTTTGGAATAGAATCCACTCCTTTTTTAGTGGAATTCACTCCAAGAGAGTGATTGAATTGAGAGGGAGATTTATAATATCCCCTAAAAGTAAATTTCCATTCCTGTACTTTACGAGGGTGCTATTGTAGGTGTAGGTGACATGTCTGTTCTGCTGCAGTCACAGTATCACTCAATCGAAGCCTAGCCTTGAGGGTCATGTTTGGTTTGTATAGGGCCCCTGTATAGCACAATAAACACCCAATGGAGGCCATATTCTAATAGTGAACTCTCCACCCAAGACCCTCCTTCAAATTTACTCTATCCATCATGAAATGCCACACACTAAACTTTAATAACTGCCATGTAATATCACATACATTGTACATTAATGTGCCGTAGCTATGGGCACTGCTGACAGTTCCTCGAAAAACATTGTTCTTTTTAAGATTTTCTGTACAGTGAGTACTATGGACATCCTCCTCCCTATCCCAAAATGGCCCTTATTGGCCTCTAGGCTTCACAGGATGATGTGACCGCAGCATGATGCAGAAGGATACACAGATCTTATATGATATTTAGATCTTATTTGATAGGAAGTGATCTTCTGCTGATTTTATTTCATGTATCATTTAATTACTTTTCATCTTTCTTTTCCTTCCTAGACCGATATATCAATGTTATGTGGCAATATGAGGTGTGTAGATTTTTCCATTAGAAGTTTAATTGGACTGTATATAATTCTTTGGTAATTTGAGATGGTAAAGAGCTTTTTTATTTATTTCTTGTAATTGGGTGTATTCTGCCAGTGTATATTCCACACTGTATTTAGGTGGGTGCTGAGTTTTCAAAATTGTACTCATGTTGTAAGGAGCAATCCGTATGTACTCTGCTTGCCAATGTCAAGCTATATTTACCAGAAAATATTATTAGATGATATGTATGATGTCAGACGCTAGCTCAAGATAAGTATATTTAGGGAAATTACTGTCGTTCATTCAAAGCTAATAGAATCCATGCTTATTTTGTAGGTGTGACACAGATAGAGGATCGTGTAGTTGCATTGGTTTTAACATGGTCTGCTAACAACCAGAAGGATGTTAACTCATTTACATGAACACAGAGTTAACATCCTTCTGCCTCTGAACAGACAATCTATGTTCTGACCAATGTATACTTGTAGCACAGGGCTAAATGTGTGTGAAGTAATCAAACAGATTTAGTCATACATGATATCTGTAGAAACATAAGGTGGCAATTCTGAAAGATATTGTTTGTCAGTTGAGCTGAATTAAGGAAGGAACTAGATTTTATGTCAAAGCGACAAAAAAATATTAAAATCACTGCTTATATATAATATTATATAAAGAGGAATAACATAACCCTGTTTATGTTCAAATATGATATTGTACCAAAATTCTTAGTTCAGTTTATCAAAGTAGTATTTAATCTTTAGGCAATCCTTTCCTAATTAATTTTTTTAATACAAATTCTCACACTGGTTCGAGTTATATGAGGTGAAGACTATATTTATCGAAATGCTACATATTAGAATTGCTTGTCTATAGGGTTTCGGGTGCTCTCTTGGGTTCTGTCATTGGTGTATAATGTGTAGAGTTGTATGGGAGATGTATCGCTTAGTAATAAAGGAGGATGAATGTAAGATATTCAGGTAGTACTATAAACTGTTCATATACTCCTTATTCATTTCAGTAAATTTCAGATTTAGATTTTTGCCTTTCGTAATTTATTAACTTTGTTTTTCAAATGAGTGCGAGATGACTGTGTCAACTTCTTGTCATAAACTGGTGGTAATTTGTTTAGAAATTCATGTAAATATTTGATAATATGGCTGCTGAAAAGTAGATTTGTTCTTGAATATAGGGAAAGGGTACTTAGCTTTTGATTCCTATATGTGTGCATGTATTAGATTGAAGATTTTTCTCACCAAACAGGATGAGATGGATAACAGTAATGTAAAGAGGGTCAACATCATCTCCTGGAGCGTTGTATGTTTTGGGTAGAGTTATAGATCACCAACTTTATTGTAAACAATCTTTCATTTGCTCATTTCAATTAGATTGATGCTGTCTCTACAACTGTAAGGTTTTTTGACAGTGTGACAACTTTGTAAATGCTCACACATTCATAATAATTCAATTGAGCTGCATTTACATGATGATGATGATGTATTTTGATAATATACCGGTAATCCCCACCAAAAGCTTAAAAGTTGCAATTACATCTATATCGAACCTCTGGTGAAGAGTTACCGTTTTGAATCTTGTGTCTTAACAAAACATAATGATTTATGTTCAGGTTGGTCTATTATGCATCCACTGTATTCCATGGTTTTGGATGATGACATAGTGATACTAGTAATATTTGCCAAGATGCTGGACACAAATATTTTTTCTATCGGTGAAGAATGGTCAGGTTGTGTAACTTGCCATTTTCTTTGTTATTGCAAACCAAATTATTTGCAATACCAATGCTAATTAATCATTGATCTGAAGTTTGATCTGTTGTCCATGTGTTTTGTTTAAAGAGATATGAATGAACTTTGCATACAATTAAGATTTGGTTGGAATCATTTAAGATTATCACGACTATAAAGGATACGTGTAAAAGAAGTAATTCACTACCGATCATGTTTACAGACTAAAACATAACCCACACATAAGGCAGTCCAAGTAAAAGTTATTGAAATGAAACGCTACATTTATTATAGTGGATTTGAAGTAGAAAAAAAAAGACATTGGAGATTTGAAATGCTCGACTAATCTTCCAAACTTAAGGGTTAAAAAAAGTGGAAATCTCACTGTTTGTTTCTGCTTTATTTATGAACCAATGCCCTTCCCTTTGTTCTACACCCTTGGTTCTATACATGTAATTATTTTCTATGACAATTTCCTTCGTACATTCCTTCCTAGTCGCAATGTGTATACGCTTAATGTAGCTGAAGCATTTATGACGCACCCCTAAAACGAATGGAATATGCCATCTGATTGCATGGTGTGTTATGAATTCTAAAATGTAACAGGTATGTTCCATTCTTTCTGGAGGGTTGATCTTGACTTTTGGCATTTACATATGAATATTAAATTGATATTGAATTTCATATATGGTCTATTGGTTTTTATTTATCTAAAACTGTTAAATTGTACGCTTGTACTATCACTGTGAATGAAGTAATGCATATATAATTAGTAAAATACTGGTGTAGAAGATATAGAAAATGCAAGTCAAACAGGAAGAGAGAGAGAGAAAGAAAGAGAGGGGGGCAATAGTAAATTGATATTGAATTTCGTATACTGGGTATGTTTTATTGGTTGTATTTAACTAAAACTGAACTAGAGTTTGACATGTATTACCACCGTGAATTAAGTAAAGAATATGAGATTTGTAAAATACTGTTGAAGAAGATGTTAAACGTGTAAGTCAAACAGGGAGAGAGAGAGAGAGAGAGAGTGTGTGCGTGTGTGTGTGTGTGTGTGGTGTGTGCGTGTGTGTGTGTGTTTTGGTGGTGGAGGGGAGGGGGTAGAGCTAAAGCTATGGGAGGGGTGAGGTGGAAGTGAGAGCTGTGTACAGTTTGTTGAGGATGACGAAGAATAATGGAATCAATCCAAATAATTATTTATATTATTATTATTTCCACATGATGACATGTACCCACCATACATTCCTCGGTACAAGGCAGCGATTGACTTATTTGTAATACTTTCTTCCTTATTGTTCTTTTCATTCCTCCTAATTCCCATATCTAGCCAATATAATGCTGTTTCCTTACATGATTTCTGCTTCTTACTATCATCCCATATCCATAATTTGAATCATGACCTTGTTAATAGCATGCAGTTACCTGCATCATATATATTTATATTCCAAGTGCGGTGAAATATAGCCAAGTTCATACCTATACAAAGAACATAGTCAAGGTAAAAACACAATATTGCTTATTTCAGATTTATTACATGGATTACATTCTTTGCCGGATGGATGACAATTCATTTCATATAAACCAGAACCCATGGCTCTTAAATCGAAGTACTTTCTCGTCATGATCTTCAATCCAATTATTATGCACAATCACGGGCTTCACGGTCTGTGTCCTCCTCCACTTATCATCAAAATAAAGCGCTCCATTCGGGAAAAGAGCCGAATCAAGAACCTTAACTCTCAGATCCCCAAAGTTCTCTTCCAGGAGTTCGTTCAGTATTTTCTGATCGGGAATGTTATCCCTTGCCTTATGAATTCGGTCTATCCACTCCCAGACAAACGCTCGCGATGCATTGGTTGCGCGAAAGAAGATAAACCCAGCGCAATAGACAACCTTCGGTACTCGTAAATCTACCTGAAGCACGACGTCGTAGTCGCCATCGAGGTGCGGGAGAGGATCTTTCAACCAAACGGTGTCCACGTCACTGAATAGCACATCCCTGCCCTTTGCTAGCAGCCGATAGATGTACACCGGTCGCTTGTTGATGAGGACGTTGTAATCATGTGAGAGATAGGCCAACCTCTTCTGCGGCGATACAGCTCTCTGTGTCATAACCGTCGTAACGTCAGGATACCTCAAGAAAGTCCTATACGCCACCATGTCTTCCGCGATGGCAAAAATATTTAGACGACTTTCCAGACGGTGGACACTCTCTAACCAGTTCTCGGCAAAGTCCATGAACGCTTTGTTGCTCGTAATGAGGACGAGTGGCCCGTCATTAGATATGTTGAGTTTGTAACGGATGTTGAATTGCTCTGGTGATATCGACGGTTGTGTCGTCAAACGAGTTTGTTCGGAGACAATCGGTTTCTTTTTTGCTGGTGGTTGTTTATCAGGAACATGGGACTGCTGCAATACTACAAGACAATAGAAACAACGACGTAAAAACTTTTGAATGGGTGCATACAAACGTTCATTTTTTTTTAAATATCCCTTTCCATCAAATACGACAAAACTAAATTGAAATTCGTCAGCCTTTCGTCACCCTTTTCGTCACGAACTATCTTGTTGACGTCCGAAGATATAGTATACAAATAATGAATGGTTATGAGTTCAATAGTGCGAATATGTTCATGAGTTGAAAGATTAACATTCTATTCAACGAGGCGTCAGCCGAGTTGAATAGAATTAACGTTAATCTTTCAACGAATGAACATATTTGCACTATTAAACGAATGAAAAACATTCATTATTTGTTTTATACAACATCGAAGAAGACCTAATAGAACGTTAATCAACAAATTTTGCTTTACTCCTTATAAAGATAAATTAAAGTTGGAGTCAAGCCTTCTCGATCTCGATTACATGCAGATTGCCTTCGCGTCAGATACACGCAGGGATACGCGCACATGCAGCAGAGAGGTACGCAGTCTGCATATAACCAAAAATGCACGGCGCATATAACCAAAAATGCACGACCGTGCAATATACCATCTATTGAATATCATGTGACCAACAATTGTCCAATCAAATGACAAGGATCCACGTAGGTGTTGTATAAAATAGAATATTTTATGAACCCCTATGAAAAAAAGCATCTAATTAATGCCAACTATTCCATTAGGACCAAACCACTCAAATTCAATCATCAGCAGGATGTCTCACTTTTTTTTCTTCTTCTTTTGTATAAACCGAAAACTTTTCAGATTACTAAGGTGAATGGCGATTGTATTATAACTAGCCATGCATATCCATATTTTGCTAAATTGATAGTTATTAGATTTCAATTAGAACTCTGAAGAACATTCAAGAAAAAAACAAGAGTTGAGTAAACTTATTTTGTGATGAAACTGATTGTTGAGTCTGAGCCTGGAAAACGATTTTTTTTTTTTTTTTACTTAGGCTATTATCTACGTCCTCAAAAAAGTAATATTAATTTCACTGGAAAGTTGTTATACATAATTTACTTAACATTTGAAAGGAAGTCCTTTTCAGGAAATAAATCACGTGAATAGAGTACAACCTAATGAGTTATATTGATATTTGTTTGATCCGGATCGTTCAATTTTTCAAATGCAAACATGTGGATATCATTATTTTGTGTATTCATTCAGCGTAGAAGCATTTAACACAGTTAATATCAATTGTTCTGTAGGGCATTCACAAACAAAAAATACTCGAGACCACAATAATTACATGAGACAGAGATATGCGTATTTTTAAGTAAGTCTTGAAAACAATATTAGTCTTTTTGTGTTTTGTTTTGATATGACACAGAAGTCGTAAGGGCTAAAAACTAACTATACTCTTTCATTTTCACGACTTATTTTACTGCATTTTAAAAATAACCGGGAAAGTAACTAACTTAATATGAGTTGCCGGTTTAGCTTACCATATAGTCTGACGCAGACGTAGCATAGTGCCATCATCGTCGAGATAACGATAGAGGGAAGGCGTCTTCCGCGGTACCTTGAGAATAGTGATAAGAAGAGGATTGTAACCATACCGAATAACTCTTTGGGGGATTTTAGATTTGTTCTTTTTATATACCATTTTGATTCATGTAAAATATTCATCACGCGGAAGTGAGAGCTAAAAAAGGGTTCTTCGGTAGGCTCTTGTAAAATACTAATTTTCAAATCAACTGAAAAAAGGAAATGAAATAAAACAAATCACAACATAGCTCCCTTTTATATACTGCACTTCAGTTTTCCTTATTATTGACAATGCGAAAGAAGACTATATCTCTCTATCTCTCTTTCAGAAACGATATTATTACGAATCAGGCCAACTATGTCCTGGTACCGGTAACTAAGAGGTCATCATTGTTACAGTATTGAAGTGACATGGTTTCTTGGTTCGAAGAAAATCCCCACAGTCTTAACAAATGAATTGTAATTTTTGTACAATAGCAAAAACGAAAGCATTACGTATATATAGGTAGTAAATGTAACTGAATACAACATTGTAAATATTCATCATAATTTTGAACTGATTTAGATTACGGTAGAAATTTGAAATACAATAGGTAAGGAGAGTCTTAAATCTTTGGATGAATTATTAATGGTTACGAATATTGCTTTGAAAATTGTTAATGTGATAAATAAGAATTAATTAATATATTTCGTGATTCATATTCTAGAGAAAATAACAATTATCACCAAAATTATAAGATTAAAAAAAACAGATTTTCAATGTACTTAAAACAAGAGAATATGCACTTTTACATTTTCGTAAAGAAAGAGGAAAAAGAAAGAATATTTAAAAAGAGAAAATAATTATCAAATTACAAAATCACAAAACAATGATATGATTTATACAAAGAACTTGTCATACCATCTGCGTGTCATTATCGTCAAACTCTCGTAGGCAGTCTTGTACAATCGGAGAGACCGGATCCTGATCATAAAGGATAAAACAAAGGATAAATAGTGATACATTAACCAGAACATCAAACATAAAGGTATAATACAACTATCTGTAAAGTATGGTAAATGTAATGTGCAAGACAAGACATCAGCACGGTAGTTCAGTTGTGATACCATTCTCAAGACATACGTAGGTTTGTGGGCTTTTGAAAGTTAGAAAGTCATAGTTAAAAAGCAAAGTTATATATTGACTGTTGCGTCAGGTTACGGTGAGTGTTGATTGAAATATGATTACAGAACTTCAGTTAACTTACATCATAACGAATCGGTTGGCTTTAAAGATTTCGTCAGGGAATGGGCCTAGGCCTTTACTAATTTAAATCATGTGCTGTAAAATTGCTGTTAAACTTCCAGCAAGTGGTCATCACAAAACCCAGAATATGATGAAGAATAACTTTTGAACCGGATAAATGATCCAATATCAACATTCAATATATACTAAGAAATTTAGTGGTGAATTACAACATGTAATTATTGTCAAACGTGAGTTCATCAACCGACCAATAAACTAATGACCTATGTTTTGGCTGACACCATATTAACCCCAAGAGTCAAGACAAACCAGAGTCAAGACGAACAAAATCAAATAATTTACATTTCGTGGCAAATCCAATGAACACGACCTGCACACACATACTGCGAGTTGGAAAAATAATTTATATGAAATTCGTTGACTTGAAAGTATAAGACATCATGCTGAATATTTAAAAGAAATTAAGACGTATCGCTTACCTGTATTTTTAATCACCGTCTGTTTGATCTAGCTATAGTTCTTAGAGAAAACAATTGGGCCTACTTTTTTCATAGGTATAAGATCTCATGAAATAATGACTCAAGTCAAAATGTAAACAGAACAGTACTGATGAAACACACAGGTAGACCTATGAATAAGGCAAGGTTATGTCTTACGTGTAAACTATATAAGGGAAAAGTGCATAGAACTGCGTCGATTGATTACAAAAGAAAATATAACAATGAGATATTGATTAAATTTCTTCACCGACAGTTTCTTCGAACGGACAAGATGCTAGTCTTTTTCCAAGGAAGTATTCATTTAAATGCTATATTAGAGTTAAGTTTATTTGCTGGAAAAAAACTATCAGGCTAATGGGTACAATAATTATATAGGAGTGATATTAGGTGGGGGGGGGGGCGCACAGAGGACTATTGCTCCTAATGATTTTCAAATCATATACTCGCTCCAGAAGTGACAACCCTTATCCCTTATCGCTTTTCTTTCTTTCGTTGATTATTGCTTTCTTCTTTAAACAAAAAAATCATTATCACCCTTTATTTTTGCTCGTCAGAAATCATTGAAACTTGTGCCCTCTGGAAAATACTCTGGCTATACTTAAAATGAGACTTGATATTAAACAATAAAACGGAGCATCGGGAACGTGGACGAGGAAGTTTTCTTCGCATATTTTGATAGAGTTAATCTCTATAGAAAGACACTTACAGGCAGAAAGGAAAGAGAACAAGAAATGAGCGAAAAAGATAATACAGAAAGATAAGAGAGAAGAGGAGAGAGGAAGAGGAGGAGGAAGAAGAAGATCAACAACAACATCAAGAATAGGAAAATAAGGAAAAAGAAAAACAAATCGGAGAAAAATAAAGAAGAGTAAGAAGATGGGAATGAAGAAAAATGTGAATTTAATTACAAGATTTCACATTCTTAAAGAGAGAATTAAGAGATTTAAGAAATAGGAAAAAATGTATTCCAACATTACTTTATATAATGTGGCTAAACTAACATTCCCCAATGACCGACCTTCTGTCAAGTAGACTGATTCATTTCATCATTTAATTCGTTCTATTTCATTTCCATTATCTCTGTTACTTTTATATTGCCCTGAAAAGAACATTCATTAATTATTTTGTACAGAAATATTTTGTTTTGAAACAATTATTTTCAGAAACTATTTTATTTTAAAAGGAAACATATTTTTGTTAAAGTGATGCTGTTCCATTACCAGTTTCACACAAACGGTTGTCGGCAAAGTAATTTATAACTTGTGTAAACCGTTTCCATTCCACGTCAGCCTAATAAATTCCACTCACCGTCTCAAATAACCTTCTTAACCAGCCCAAACGCTAACAAGGTTTTGTTCCATTAATGGATTCCGTTTTCACGTATCAATACAACATTTACTAAACCACTACTATGCTTTATCAAGTGTGTAAATACACCAGTCGATCCTACATAATAAATGCATGTTAAATCGCGACGAATCTATAACAATGGTATCTTCATAAACTGATATTTTGTCAAATAGGATAAATGTCCGTATGCTTGTTAATACTATTAACATAAAAATGAATTTCCATTAAATTTACATAAAACTTGAGTATCATTTAATACATTCTTTCATAGCCTAGCGATTCTTTTACTAATATTGAGGTCACTCTGTCACGACAACCGTAATGCTATACACACTTAATCCCTTCCAATAATCAGCCAATTAAAATGAAAGGAGCAGAAGGCCTAATGTATACCAGACTGATTAAAAGGGGAGGTCTACGTCGGCATGATAATGAGGGTTTTGTTTTTTATGGGGGAATAGCATAAAAAGTTGCCGACTAATGATTGTTTTATTTTATAATTTATGATTTTTGTTGTTGAAGCCCTGCGTTGCGTTTTTCCATCCCTACCAGGCCGATCAGCCGATATGGACTTTTAAAATTGTGTACCCTTTTTAGTGATATTTGTATTTTCAATCGATTACCCCTCTTGGTGCCGCATTGATTCCCGAATTTGACCCTCACCATCCCCCCTGGTAAACGAGATTGCTCAGGATTATCTTGAACAAAAAATGTTTTGCCCGTCTGGTATAATTTTTACCCTACGACAAAATTTCGATTTGACGCCCTTAGCCGATATAGATAGATATAGATAGATATAGAGTGGGATAGGAAGGGGAAGGGGTCACTTCACCCCTCACCCTAATCATATACCAACGCCCCTAGCTGCATCAAGGTTCTAAGATGTAGAAGGATTGGGTCCAAACATGCCTACCGTTGTTATTAGCAAAGACAAATATGAAGAAAGGATTTTCGCCGCAGTTGTGATGTCATCGAGAAACGATAGTTGAAATAAGATCTCGCATCGATATTTGCATGGTGTGTACGTTTACTGTCCAGAAGTGGTAAAATCACCGTTGAATTCAAATACCATCTTATGACTTAAAGGCATCGTTTAACAATGTTAAATCTGAGATGCACGGCCCTACGTGTTATCAGTTTCTGTGTTATGGTATAATATTGAAGCCCTAAGAAAATCGCGCTTCAAAATGACCAAGAAGTGCCTCCCCCCAAAAAAATCTCCAATAGACTGTAGTGTTATGAAAACAGTTAGGAAAACGCAAAATTTGGTTTCGATTTCCAATCATAAATATCTTGATAATCAGACTAGCGATCGGCATGTAAAAGTCATGGGGTCTCTGACTGACCTAAAGCTGGTTTATAATTATCATTGCAGCATGAGCTAAATCCAGGATTTTGGTTCAGAATCTGAGACAAAGTTACCGGATCCCTTTAAAGACACCAACATGTTGGAAGTCTAGAGAAACAGTAGGTCCATCGCTAAGAGGTTAATGGGTCAGGCTCCTCATCAGACCCGATCTTGTGATTGAGCATGTTTGCTTGTCAATACCTCTTTATGAGGTATTCAAGTGCTTCTCTTGTCATCCGAGGTACATTAATGCCCTCCATTGGTGGAAAGATGCTTACTTTGCGTAACCACTGGATACGCATAAACTAAAAACATAAGTCGCTGAATTATCATTAAATACATAAGCATCACTAGCTCTTTATGGGGGCGGCATTCCAAATCAAATGGGAATCATATTTCTAACACGATATTATATTTCTAACACGATCTACATTTGCCACACTCAACCCAGGTGTTGTAAATGGGTACCTGGCAGGAATTAATTCCTTGAAATGCTAGAGCGCCGTAGTGGCCGCCTTGCTAAAGCCAGGGTAATAATCGGGGCAGCGCCAGGAGCGTCATGACGTGACGGACATGCGCTATAAGAAGCCACCATTATTATTATTATTAAAAGCGCCGAAATCTCGATGGATGCACTAATTCGCTATGCTAATAGGTCCACTTGCTATTGAACATTAATCAAGAAAAGGCCTGGGGTATACAATGTGATTAAACGTTTTTCTTAATAAGATTTATTACAACATTCAAATTCTCGAATAATAATTTTAGGGGGCAGGGTTTAATGTCCCCTGTTCTTGTCGCAGTGACCTAATACTGGGCTATGATTTGAATGGCGACATGAATCCTTGTATGTTAATAGGTCGATATCGATGATATAAGTGGGTTAAGGAAGGGTAGCTCGGGACAACGAAAGAAAGGGTAAAATATGAACAGTCGGTGCACTAAAGACCAAGTACAACACGCCGTCCAAAAGTAGATGTAGACACACTTCTTGTGGATTACGTAGAGGGGGTGAAAGGGTGGCGATGTTGTCTCAACTCATTAGTAGGGTCGTGGTATACCTTTAAAAAAAAACAGGCTCGAGAGAACAAAAGAGCTTGTTTAAGGAAGATTTAATAGACCACGTCATAGCTTCTTCTCGCCCAATGAAGGGTATTGTGACAAGTTTGGAGAAAGAGAGAGAGAGAGAGAGAGAGAGAGAGAGAAGGGAAATGTTCTGTGATCGAAAGTTTGTCGCGGATACACACTATTCAGATGGCTGAGCGGCGTTATGTAAGGACGTCTTTCCCTCGATCTCCCGCCGTATCGTTGGAACTGATATAGGCTACAGGGAAAAGGAAATCTAACTTACCATCTGATATGGGAGCCTTATGACATTCCTCAGGTAAGCTCAAATAAAACATTTGCACAAAAAAAATTATATTGGTAACCACCAATCAAAACATCGAGTCTACTTTGGAGTTTTAATTAGAAGGCAAGCTTTAAAGCAGCAAAGCGGTTTTAAAGATTGAGTGAAAATCACCTGGCTTGAGAAACGGTCCATATTAGTGGATGAAAGCGTAACTGAATTTCACGGTTGGTAGGTGTTAAATCATAATCATCGTAACTTTTGTCTTAAAAAGGTATGGTTACTAAAAGTTCATAAAGCCAAATATCTAGTTCTCGAAAACTCAATGTTATTTTTCACTTCCTCACAGCCATTTTTTCTCAGATCAATTCAGGATTATTGTATGCTTTATCCTATGATAATAATAGCACCCTCCTTTTGATTAACTTAATATTGTTAATCATAATGCAGTTTAGTAAGATAAAGCCTTGTTCATTTACGAAAAAAATATGAAATCATCCTATGAATTTAACGATGTTTCCTTCGATCTCTTTTCTTTCAGAGGCGTGTCTCTTTACAAATAGTTATCGCTTCCACAAAGCAGCTATAAACTTGCCATTCACGTAAGTTTGATATTATTTGATAATTTACTATCCTTTAAATAAATGTATACGTCATGTATGCGTCATGCAAAGAACAGGTGAAACTAACGCATGTACAAATGTATTTCTTAAACCCGTTTTCCATCATCAAAGGAAGTCTCTATAATTTTCTTTTGATGATTTAACATTTTCTGAAAAGCTGGAAATAAAAGAAATGAACATTAAAACGTGTTTTTCTGTAGTTGTCATGAACGATAGTTCATTTTTATTGGTGATACATTATCACATTTGTATTGAGATCAAAGTTTATTTCCCAGACACTGACACAGTTTTGTCGATACCAGAAGGGTAAATGCTAAACTTAAAGGGATCCGGTAACTTTATCTCAGATTCTGAAACAAAATCCTGGATTTAGCTCATGCTGCAATGATAATTATAAACCTTTAGGTCAGTCAGGAACCCCATGACTTTTACAAGCCGATCGCCTGTCTGATTATCAAGATATTTATGATTGGAATTACAAGTTTTGAAAACCGTTTGCCAAACGGTTTTCATAACACTACAGTCTTTTGGGAAAAGCGTTTTTTTTAGGGCTTCAATATTACACCATATCACAGACACTGATAACAGTGCATCTCAGATTTAACATTGTTAAACGATGCCTTTAAAATAAGTTGAGTGAATGGCTTTCGTGATAGGGTGCACATTACCTGAAAGGGAAGAGATTTTTGTTTTTGTTTAGAAATAGTCATCACATTTTATTAGGGTATAGCATAATCATGATTCATCTCATTACAACGGTACTTAACATTAATGGTATTTAACAATTTCGAGTGGTTAAATCCTCGTATACTTTCAATATTCCCTTAAACACTGGAGGATGGAGAGGGGGCATACTACGTACCCCTTGAAATCCGTGTAGTACCCATTAAGTACGTGAGAGTGCCCCTAATTATTGTGTTTTTTGTAATTACATCCTCTTTTAACTGTCAGGCCCCAAATTCGATGGATTTTGTTGTTGTCTTGTCAGCAATTTTTTTTCTGTGAAGTGTGTCACTTTCCCCAAAGCCTGGATCCGCCCCGGGTTATATAGCACATAATAAATGATGTTACTGTAACGAGTCAAGCAATACAGACGCAGGATACAAAAATTCCATTAGGTTCCATATTTATTGATAGGTTCAAACTTAAACAGCCATTTCTGTATCTCTCAATATACATGTAGGTCCTGCAAAGGACACATCAAAATTAAACATAGAGTCTTGCGTGTACAAGCACCTCCTTTTTAGAGCCCACCAAGACATGTCTCTCGATCTCTATACCAACATGACCGAGGAGCTAATTACACTCGTTCCCGTTTCATTCTAACTCAAAAAGTATTCAAACAGTGTTAGAATTTCGAAATAACAATGAAGCCTTACACTATTTGCAGGCCTACACCTAAATGGTAAACACATATTCAAATCAACCACTGTACCTTGTGTAAGCCATGGCTTAAACAATCAGGGTAAAAGTACATCGACAGTGTATACAGAGAAGGTATGCATTAACCTGCATAGACACATGTAGTCATATCACTACAACTCCCCCATTGACTATCTCCTCCTGGAGATCACACAAATCACCACAAAATTATCATTTCAGAACCTAATACTCTCACTACTTGCATAGCTTATGAAGTTAGCATGAAATATTTTTTTGCAAACTCTATATTTCATGCATGATAATAATATAATAAAAGTTTTAAACAAATAAGTACCATTCTAGGGTGGGAAAACAAAAAGGCTTTAATTTACATACTTTTTTTTTTCTTCATTGAACAACTATTACAAAAAACACTGATTCTCGCTTTGTACCGGTATAGCTCAAGTACATTCTGTATAATCAGTATCATTAAATCAAGTCAAATAGTCGATATATATATATATATATATATATATATATAATGGACTGACAAAGTTCACTGATTTCTTTTGCGGCAAATGAATTACAAATCAGTTGTGCAACTAAATCAATATCAAATTTCACAGTTGGTTAAGTTTTTGATTTAAACTTTTGTTATCAGCAATTTATGTGGTACCACCATAATGTTATTACTCCAGATACACACACAAAATACTACATACACATATCTTTTTTCTTACGAATTATGATATACCCTATACCACATCAAACCTTTACATCTCAAGCACAGACATAGGCGCCGGAAGTGGGGGCAGGGGTCGGTCGCCCCTCTCCCCCCATCGAAAAAACAATTAAAAAAACACACACACAACAAAAAGGTATACATTAATCTGCATAAACACTTGTAGTCATAATCACTAGAGCATTGAGATCAAAGTTTATTTCTCAGACACTGAACAAGTTTTGTCGATACTAGAAGGGTGTATGCTAACTTAAAGTAAGTTGAGTGAATGGTTTTCGTGATAGGATGCACATTACTTGAAAGAAAATAATTTTGTTTTTGTTCAGAAATAGTCTTCACATTTTATTAGGGTATAACATAATTATGATTAATCTCATTACCACAGTATTTAACATTAATGGTATTTAACAACTGGAGGATGGAGAGGGGGGCATACGTATGTTCCCTTGAAACCCATTTAGTACCCATTAAGTACATGAGAGTGCCCCTAATTATTGTGTTTTTGTACTTACATCCTCTTTCAACTGTTAGGCCCAAAATTTAGTGGATTTTGTTGCTGTCTTGTCAGCATTTTGTGTGTGAGCTGTGCCTCGGCCTCTCCCCAAAACCTTGGATCCGCCCCGGGGTTAATCATAGCTCATATTAAATTATGTTACATTTTGTGAAGTAATACTCTAATAATCAATATAATAGTCTATAAAAATCAATTAATGTCTACTATCAAGTTATTATTAATTATTATTAAAACATTCAAATAATTGTGATGAATATTTCATTTAAAATTGACAGCATGACGCGGATGTTCAAGAGATGGATTTCTCTACTCGTTTGTATGTTTCTGCCCACCATGATGTTTTCCTTTTTATACCACAGAAATGGTGAGTTTCTTATCAATGGTAGACCTACCTGACTCGATGTAAAGAATCATGTAAACAAAATAGAAGAAATCAGGAGAGAGTGAGAGAAAGAGAGAGGGGAGAAAGAGAGAGGGAGAGAGAGGGATGGATAAATTACACAGAGATATTTATTATTTTTATCATTATTGTTATGATCATCATCATTATTATTTTTATTATCATTATAACTTTTATTGTTATTGTTATTACTATTCCATTCTTATTATCATCATCATCATTATTATATTATCTTTATTATTATTACAATTATAACCATTATCTTTATTATTATTATTGATATTATCGTTATTATTACTGTTATTACTATAATTATCGTTATTACGAGATGAGAGAAAAGTAAATAATTTATTAATCCTAGCCGCTTCACTGTCATGTTGTTCTCCTATATGCATGCAGAAATATTGCAGAAGAAAATTGCCAACTCTATTCAACTAGATCAGCGGTTGTTCCCTAAATCATTACCAGCCGATGAGACTTCCGGTTCTATCTTGCAACGTCTTGTGTTCCCAACACCATACTACCGTGTGGAGAGAGATCTTGATGAGCAGATGTGGTTGCCGATGTCGATGTCGGGGATGGCATCGAGGGAAGTCATACGAAGTACATTGACAACGAAGAAAATGATCACCACAAGAACAGCAATAGAAGTACACTCGTCGCGAGAGACGAAGGAAACTCTTGGAACAGCCGAGAGGAACGTTATTATCGCTACAGGAAATGATGTGAGTGGAGCAGAAAAACCATCGAAAGACATAAAGAAGCGACCGAGTAAGCGCTCTCGAAGAACGAACAAAAGATCACCTGTACACCCTCAAGAATTACCTCAACAAGTTAGGGAAGTTAAACCTATTACATCAGTTGGAGTTGCGGGAAAATTTAATGATAAACAAATGATCCCGACTCCTGCACCGGTCGCCAGGGTCCCTTCTTTTCAAAACAACATAGAAGAATTTGCCGAAGTATCCGAAAAGCTTGATGGTTTGACCATTGCATCACATGTCGAATCCGTTGATCCGGTATCAAGAACTGCAACTGCGGCACCTGTCAAAATGATACGCCAAAAAGTTGAGGAAGTTAAACCTATCAAATCAGTTGGAGTAGCGGGAAAAGTTGATGATAAACAAATAATCCCGACTTCGGCACCGGTCACCAGGGTCCCTTCTTTTCAAAACAACATAGAAGAATTTGTCAAAGTATCCGAAAAGCTTGATGGTTTGGCCATTGCATCACATGTCGAATCGGTTGATCCGGTACCAAGAACTGTAACTGCGGCACCTGTCAAAATGATACGTCAACCAGTTGGGGAAGTTAAACCTTTTAAATCAGTTGGAGTAGCGGGAAAATTTGATGATAAACAAATAATCCCGACTTCGGCACCGGTCACCAGGGTCCCTTCTTTTCAAAACAACATAGAAGAATTTGCCAAAGTATCCGAAAAGCTTGATGGTTTGGCCATCGCATCACATGTCGAATCCGTTGATCCGTTACCAAGTACTGCAGCTGCGGCACCTGTCAAAATGATACGCCAAAAAGTTGAGGAAGTTAAACCTATCAAATCAGTTGGAGTTGCGGGAAAAGTTGATGATAAACAAATAATCCCGACTCCTGCACCGGTCACCAGGGTCCCTTCTTTTCAAAACAACATAGAAGAATTTGCCAAAGTATCCGAAAAGCTTGATGGTTTGGCCATCGCATCACATGTCGAATCCGTTGATCCGTTACCAAGTACTGCAGCTGCGGCACCTGTCAAAATGATACGCCAAAAAGTTGAGGAAGTTAAACCTATCAAATCAGTTGGAGTTGCGGGAAAAGTTGATGATAAACAAATAATCCCGACTCCTGCACCGGTCACCAGGGTCCCTTCTTTTCAAAACAACATAGAAGAATTTGCCAAAGTATCCGAAAAGCTTGATGGTTTGGCCATTGCATCACATGTCGAATCCGTTGATCCGGGATCAAGAACTGCAGTTGCGGCACCTGCCAAAATTGTTCTTCGGTTAACCGCTGAGACAAAAAACATTACCGAATTAACCGAAATTGCGAATGATAATCTTGATATGAAATCGGTGAATGAGACGAGCTTCGGTGAATCCATACAGGCATCCAATCTAGAAAAACCGTCAGAGCAGAATAGTCCATCTGCGTTGTCTGCTCCAACCAAACGAAAGTCAAAGAAAAAACAAGAGAAATCAAAGAAAACAAATGATAAAATCGATGTTCAAGTTATGAATATAGAACAAAAGTTTGATGAAATGAAATTAGATACTAAGGAAAAAGTTATGAATATGACTGACAAAAAGGATGAGGTAGTTCGAACAATGGAGGAACAACAAGAAAATAATGTACCTGTGAAACCGCCATCCAGGAAAGAAGATACGAAGAGAAAACGAGATCGTAAATCAAGGACTAGGCATAAATCTCATCCAAAGGAGGAAGAAGTGAACGTACCGGTCACTTTATCTCTTAATTTCAACTTAAATGATTCCAAATCACACTCACCTGTGATCCTTGTATCCACTAACAAAGCTTTCTTGAACTTCACCGACAACTGGTTGGAGAGTGTGAAGCGTTCTGGTATCCGATCTGGAGTGACCCTGGTAGCAGAGGATCGTGAAGCGTTCAACTACCTGAACAACAGAACTGATATCGAGCTCAACGTTGTCCTCAATGACGTATCCGAATCACCGGGTGAACGTCTTCTCTTCGACTCACCCGCCTACAAGCAGCTAGTCAACAAGCGACCGAGCTACATCCTACAGCTTCTGTCCAGCGGACACGATGTCCTGTTCTCCGATGTTGACATCGTGTGGCTCAAGAATCCTCTGCCGTACTTCACAAACGACACCAACGACATCTGGCTGCAGGAGGACCTTCACGAACCCACTGTGTACTGCGCAGGATTCACTTTCTACCGCTCATCACCTGCAACCATAGCTCTGGTGACAGAGTGGGTGCAGACTCTGGCCTTACATCCCACCTACCCCGACCAAAGAGTCCTAAATGGACTCCTCAAGAAGAAACGATGGGCAGGAGATTACATCAAAAGAGCTGTCATGGATTCGCGCTTGTTCCCGAGTGGGCGTCTGTATTTTGATCCGGATTGGCGTGAAGCTAATAAGGACACTGAACAGGTGATGGTTCACAATAACTGGATCAAAGGACATGATCGCAAGGTGGAACGCTTCAGGAACGAAGGGTTATGGTACTTAGATGATAAGGAAACAGGACAAAGCTATCAATGAACCACGATATGAATGCATTCTGCTATTGAACACGCATATTTTGAACATCCACCGAAGGATTTTACTTTCTAAGGCATATTTTAAAAGACAAAAGCGATGTCATAATGGTTGCTGATGATCTTTGGCAATATCAATGCGGACTTTGTCAAGCTTTTCTCCTGAAATCACCTAAGTTAAAATAAAATATTGCAAGACCCTGTACATAATCATATCGTTCATGGTTTACATATTTTGATTTCAAATTCATTTATTTTATAGGTCAATAGATTCCATACGGAAATTAATAAATTGACAACAGAATTGTTCATTGGATGACTTGAGTACAGGGTGATATTTTTACGGTTACACCGTGTGAGAGGGGGAGGATTGGGAATCCTGGAAAGGACTGTTGGTAATCATTTTTGAGTGTGTGTGTAGTACTGAAGAGGACTGTTGATAGTCCTGAGGAAGACTGTTGGTAATCTTTCTCGTGCTTATAGTTCTAAAGAGAACTATAGCGACGGTTGGAGAGGATGGGTGGTAGGAGGGCCTCGACGTTTCGAACTGGTTTATATAATCATGTTAACATCTGCACATCCCTGAGAGCCCCTAACTTTGTTTCTTTTTATATTTCACCCGGAAACAATAATTATGAAGACGCCGTTTGTTTACGACGGTAGCCACAATTCAAACGTTGGGTCGGTTTGGCAAATCAAAAGACACTTTGACATTATATCTGCCAGCTGACAGTGATTATCGGCAGTGCCACTTTTAAAGCTATTGTGCATACTTTATTAACACATAGTACAAAATGCGCCCTCTTTCGAATTCGTTAGAAAGAAAGAAAGAGGAAGAGAGATAGATAGAGAGAGAGAGAGAGAGAGAGAGAGAGAGAGAGAAGGGGGAAGATAGAGCCTGAGGGGGGGGGGGTAGAAAGGAAGAAAGAAGGAGAGATAGATAGAGAGAGAGAGAGAGAGAGAGGAGAAAGATAAAAACGAAAACAGCGAGAGAAAAAAAATAGAGAAGAAAAAAATAAATATAGGCACAGACAGGAAGTGAGAGAGAGTAAAGAAAGAGCAAGCGAGAGAGAGAGAGAGAGAGAGAGAGAGAGAGAGAGAGAGAGATGGGAGGGGGTGGAGAAAGAAAAAGAGAGATGACAAAATAATTGTGTAGATTGAAAATGAATCTTTGTCTTTCCATGAAGAAGAAAAAAATTACGATCTCTACCAACCCGCTTTAAAAACTTCATTTGTATTCAAGTACAATATTGATACACGGTACACTTGTTATGAAACATACTTAGTAGTACATGTAGTAGTAGTATTATTTCCTCCTCCTTCTAAATCTTTGGTAGTTACACCAAAGATTTAGAAGGAGGAGGAAATAATACTACTACTAAATGTACTACTAATAATAGTGGGTTCTTGTATAGCGCTCATGTCTGTCAAACTTCACACTACTACCCCGACTTTAGCACGGCTGTCATTATGGCGCTCTATAAAGCATTCCAATAAATCAATTTTCCCCCACTTTTCTCGCAGTTCGCCCCCATCGTGTAGATGATTATGTCGTTCACTCCTTTAAAATATATCAGTACACCATTTGACGACCTGAATGTATAATAATAATCAAACACAATAAAAAAATAGACTGATAAACAATTATTAAACAAAACAAAACAAAAGTGCAAATAAACATATAAATTATAATGTATATGAAATACATCAATGTGAACAGAGTAAGTTAATCATCAAAAGCAATTTTGAATGGGCTTTGACGCCAACCCACATTTTGGTTTTTAAAGGTATAGACCAGTTTGGGAAACGCCCCCCCCCCCTCTCAAAATATGAAATGGAAGTTCTTATTACCAATCATGTGAAAGAATATTCACTAATACGTGATGATACAAATTTTGCCGGAAAACCGCCTTCTAATTGATATATTTGGTAAATTATTATATCTATCCGGATTGGATAGATATAGGGTAGTCCCATATTCATCTTTCAGTGTACAGTGATTGCAACTTTACCAAGACCGGGCCAAATTTCTTATCATTTTGATGATTCCAGAACCTTGCTGTACACACCTCTACGATGATCAACCTTTTCTGATCGATTCCACAACGTTTCTTTCACAATGCAATCGCATGACCTTTAAGTTGACTTGAAAGTACTGTCTGAAAAACAGTCACCTTGTCAATATTACGAAGCGTCACAGATCTATTTAGCCAAACGATTAAATTCATGTTCAACACTTTGAGCTTTTTACAAAAGGTCAATATGAAAGTCTTACTGTGGTGCGACACAAGAAGTCGAAGAATTTCTTTCCAAAATAATACACTTCACGTAGAAAGTAACGGTAAGCATAGACAGTGATGCGCAAGAGCTAGACTTCTTTCGATTGTGGTACGGCGCTATTTCGAAGATGTCACTCTCGATGGTGCGTTAAAGATACCATGTCCCTTTTGCAGCCAACATCAAATACTGTAGAACTTTGCAGGAATTATGAATATGTCATGTATGTCCTATCTGTGAAATTTAAACTTGAGCAGTGTCCTAATATTCAAATTATGCAAGGAAACCCGTTTACTTGCTAGACTTCACTGTCAGACACTATTGAGTGACTGACTGGCTTCTTTCATCTTTGGTAATAACATACATAGCTGTAAATGGTACTTGAGCATTATTTTGTCTACATCAATATAACCAACTTCTTGTAATGGCCAAAATTAAACTGATTGAATCTTTGCGCAGCATAAAACGTCCGATCATTCGGTACAATGGTTTGAAAAATCAGACTATTACTTACTGGCGCTATAGCTCTAATAAACTAATAGTCATTATTTTCCCACTTAAAAGACATTTTCAAGCCCCCCCCCCCCCCCTTTTTTTAGGGAAGTTCTAAATTAGTATTGTCCTTCAAATGCCATTAGAATTTAACCTTTTCATTTGTTTGGCCTGCAAATGGGACATAGTACCTTTAAAGGTCACACTAGTCACTTAGTGACGCAGTCTTACGTCAAGCGATTAACGCCAAGACGTGTGCAACGGGATTTTTAAAAAGTGTCGAAAGAAAATTACCAGTTTTCTGCTAAGCTTTGTGTAGGTTATATTCAGTTTAATCAAGTCTAGAGTGGGTCATTGTTTGAGCGTATGTGCTTAGAATGTGATTATGAAAAAGTACTGTCTATTTCGGATAAACAAATATAAGTTTCGCGAGAATGAAGCACCCCAAAATTTAACTTTCATGGTAATCATAATCTGACTGGAAAGCCAAAGCGTCACACTTGCTTTAATTAATCAAGCAAGTCATTTTTTTAAAGGGTAGGGGAGGGGCGGGGGTGGGGGGTTATGTCAAAAGGACTCGACAGATTCATTCATATAATACACCATGCTAAACGTGGGATTTTTTATATAAAATAACATTTATTCATTATTTCTCTTCTATTATTTAGTTTACATAGTGCTTACATGTACAATATAATAAGCACAGTGATACTAAAATATGCATACTTTTTAAGAAATGGCTTACAGAATTCACATGAACTTTACAATGATCGGTAACAGGAAATGATCTGCTTTAAGACCCATGAGTAGCGAAACATGTTTTAATCAAGAGAATATGACATTCATATCACTATATAGAAATAATGTCACATAGTCCAATTTAAACTACTATCGCTGGCCATAATTAGATAATAAACAAATAGCTTTAAAAAAAAACGATATCTGATTTAAAAATGTAAAGGGAACAAAACAGCGTATTATGGATTTTTCTAAAGACGTCAATAATTGACTAAATTAGAAACCTGTCGATTATAATTTGCAATATGTATGAGTGAAGCTACAAGCGTTGGAGCTGCAAATCACATTATAAAAACATAAATGCATGTGAAATTCTGTGTATTTTTTTACAGGGCATTCGGCACAAAATATTTGGTGTCACAATGTTTATGTGATACTATTCTCTGATGCCTGATGCTTTCATTCTGTTATATTATACCAATTTTGGCTGAAGACTTGAAAAAGAATAGGCCTACGCTAAACATGATACACATGATAGACTTTTTACCCTGAAGAAGTCTTTAAGGGGATACAAAGTTTTGGTATGGGGTCATGAATTTGGTTCGAATGAACATATTGAAAGCATATACGATCCTACAATATTCAGTGACCGTTGTCGCGGTCGAAATCGACTCTAAAGTTATGAAATTTTAAATAATAAACATTTTATGTTGAATAGCTCCCTCTCAAGGTCTAGATATTAATTAAGCTATAAAAAAATGTTTATTGACTAAAATCGACCGATTAGCTATTCTCGTTCTGAAATTATATACCACAACTACATACTCTGAGATTTTCATGGTCGCAGCTACCATTAGGCCTAAAATAAAAAGTTGTTGTATTGCCCTTTGCGACCGACCCAAAAATCTGAAAATCTACGGTCGGCATTTAAAAAAAAAAAAAAAATGTATTTTGTTTGTTTAAATGGGATATAAATGCATAAAATCAAATTATTCCAAAATTCTCACTCGTGCAAACCATGGATAATTATGAGGTGAAAAGGATATAAATGGAATGATGACGCTGAAACACATGTATTAAAGCATTAAAAACTGAGAAATATCAGCTAAAAGAGGGCGGGAAAAAGAAAAAGAAAACATTCAAATCTGAAAATATCGGCTCAAAGAGGGCGACAAAAAAAAAACTTTCCGACCGACCGACCAATGTTTTGGCACCCAAAGGGCAATACAACAAGTTTTTATTTTAGGCCTTATACGGCCGTAGGAGCTATTTGAAATTTATCAAAATTTACCGGGAGCACCGGTAAATCTTTATATTCAATTTTTCTCGAAAGCAAAAGTGTTTTAGGGGCTAAAATATTTGGTGTTTTTAATACATCCACAGGGGCATCCTAATATATCAAAATTGTAAAGAATCACTATCCACCCATTTTTTCAACATTTCCCAAAACTTTGTAATACCTTTAAGTTTACACATCATGAAAATAGTTTTGATCCGGCTCGTTCGTTTAATTTCAACAAAATTGCCTTTTCGAAGTAATTGCTCTCAATTAATCTTGTCGAAACCTGTAATACACCTGTAATCCTAAGCATGCAACTTCTCAGTCAGCGTTTTCATCATTTGTGTACCCACATCGTTTCCGGAATTGGGAGCCTTTGGAATAGTGAACTTCGGATTTATGAAATTTCAGAGTAATGCTTCAAATGCTCAGCAAAATGAACCCTATTTTAATTTCCTGAATTTTGAAATCCCTGGTATGAACCTTTGGAAAAAGGAACCATCGGAAAAACGAGTAAAGTAAAGCCTGGGTATATACCGAGTACGCTATAGTTCTATTTCTTACACTGAGTACTACCATATAAATATTTTATATCGCCACAATAGTCTACAGATCAGGATGGATTCGCTTCTTAAAGTACTAGTCATTTCACCTACTTTCTTGCTGTCCTAACTGTTTTGAAAATGATTAGCTTGACAATCTTATACATGAAAGAAATGTTTTCATAGGAATGTACACAAAATATAAAAGGGGACAATATAATATATATACCTTTATAAATACAAGTACCAAATGAAGTAATATAAAACTATGAAACATATAGAGTAGGCCTATCATTTTCTTTATCGGTGTAGTGGCCAGAAAGCATAGCTTTGTTTTACACAAGGATGGGCACGTTGTTAACATTTGTAATCTTCGAAACAGTGTGTTAACTTTACATGCTTTGCTTTTAAACTGAAATCTACGATCATTTTGTATCAAAATACATTTCGTGCAATCACGACGTGGGTATTTCGGCGCGTCGTGTCGTATGTTTCCATAAAAACAAAATTAGCATTTTTTATACAACTAGTTTTTTGTCATTTCAATCAATACTCGGAAATAGCTCATGTGTTTTCAAATACAATTTATGTTTTCATATATACGGCTTTTGGTTTATTAAATTCATGGAATGTATAGTAATTCTCACAAGATGGAAATGGAATGTAATGTTTTATTACTGTGTTCTATACACTGTCAAGTACATAAAAACAAACATTCATTTAGGGTATGATGATAAAAGGCATACAGGACTCGTAAAATATGAATTTCAGGTGTTAAGGCTTGATCTTGAGTAAGCATTGATGTAAAACATAAAAATAGGCCGATGCATGAAATCTACAGTGGATACCAAAAGTGTCACAAGAGGGTGTGTGGGGGGGGGGGGGGGGGGGGGCTGGTACCCCCTCCCCCCCCAAAAAAAAAAAAAAACTGTCGGCACAATCCCAATATTTTGAGCCTTGTCGAGCAAATAGCAAAAATATTATTGGTGACGCTTTTTCTTTTTTCTTTCTTTCTTTAGATGTTCCTCAAACTTCCTTGTTATCTTTCTTTCTTTCTTTCTTTTTTCTTTACTGGAGTTGTGTGATTGTTTGGCTATCTCGTAGGCAAACTTGGTCCGACATCTAGCTATCCCCTATCAAAATGGTGTCTAGCGACGTCTCTAGTGGGCTCTACTAAAGCATCGCCATTTTTTCCAAAGTGATGTTTCAGGACATTTTTTAGTGTGCCAAGTTCAAAAGAAATATCTCTCCCTTCAAAGATAGTCTATTAATACAATGATTTAGTAGGATCTGTCAAGTGATTGTTCGACCTAAGAAATCCTCAGAGTCCGTCCAGCCCCCTCAATCGGCGATCTAGGAATAGACGGTCGAGATAATCTCAAGAAAAGCGGGACACTACTAACAAAGCTTGGAAATCCGACTCTAATATTGCTAAATCTTTGTCCGTTTTGTTGCACAATGCACGGAGATGCCTCTGTCAATGGCGTCGATTTCAGTTAGCGTGACTGTTTGACTTATTGCGTTTTATTCGGCACCGGTAGCGGAGATCTTGGACTAAATCCCACCAGGTTCTTTGGGATACATTTGCTTTGCTATCGAGAAGAAGTCCTCTGCAATGTCCAATGATATAAGTCGGTCCTGAAAGATAGAAAGCGAGAAATATAGGAAATAATTGTTATGTTTCTTATACCAATTTGAATTGGACATCCATCCGGGAATGTCTCCTTTTGGTCAAAACCTCAAGTTCAAATGACAACTTGATTTTTTTTGCTATTTTGAACCCCCATAAATGACGTTTTCCTGGCATCTACTAACATCTACTAATACTGTGTGCAAGGGCGTCAATCGGGAAGGACACGACCCCCACGATTTTTCCTAGGGGGGGGGGGGGCATCATATCAAATGTCCCCCTATGTTTTGTCAGAAAAGAAGGGGGACCACCCATTTTGACCCCATTTTGATTTTGATTTTGATTTTTTTTTTAAACTTTGTGCTCACAACCCCCCCCCCACAAACACACACACTGAGTGAAAGAATTTTTCTTTTTTAGTGCTCACTACCCCCCCCCCCCCCCACCCCCTATTCATAGGCTGGCTGATTCGCCGATTGTGTCCCCTCCATGCTCAAGGTCGGATCGATGCCCTTGACTGTGTGGGTCTGGACACAATCATGATGGCGTATTCCTATATGCACATCACATTTTCACTTGGTAACCCAAGGGGGGGGGGGGGGTAAACCCCCTACCTCCCCCCACCCCCTTAGATCCGCCCCTGGGTCGTAAAAGTGAAGTCCATTTTTGGTATTTGACAACACCTGTGTTGGGGTACACCCTAAAGGAGTGAAATTCCCCATGAGACCATTATGAGCCTTTAAGCTAACATTTCACTTACCAGGATTATTCCATATCTCCTGTCTTGTACTTCAGCATCACTGAATAGATCGGTCTGGTATACGATGGCTTGATGAAGATTGAGAGCTTGTTCAGATGGCGGTTCAGGTTGCGTCATTCCCGAGGCAGAACTGACCCGAACAAGGTGTTCGGCCTGAGCATCAAAGCCTGAACACAAAGTTGAGATTGACATACAGAAAAATTAATCTTCTCTTATTTTTTTCATTTTCAAACTGAAATGAAAATTGTAAATTTTATTACGAAACTTTAAAGATAAAGGTGAGTTCTGGTCAAACAAAAGAAAATGACTTCTCATAGAATCAAACGAAAATTACACTGAATGTTCAAGATTACAAATAAATGTCAGTTGCCAAACAATTTTGGTAGAAAATGTATACTGGCTGAGAAATGAGCATAGAAAGATTAGAAAATCAAGGTTAGTAGTCCCGACACCATTAATTTTGTTTAGTCTCATATACATCTTTCTGTGTACAGTGCTTGTTACATGTACTTTACGAAGACTGGGCCAAATTTATTATGATTTCGATGACTCCAGAACTTTGCAGTACACACCAATACTTACATGCTACATGATCAACTTTTTCTGATCCATTCCACACCTTTTCTTTCACAATGCAATCTTTAAAAGAATAAAAGTACATACATATTTTTTCAATTTCTCCCTCTTGACCAATCTTACCTAATTTTTCTAAGCCTTTCCGCCATCTATCTTGAACGCGTTTCCTCTGTAACCGAATGGCCTGCACTTTCTCGTATGTGACTTTCTTCTCCTAAAGATCAGGAAGAGAAGAATCCCATATGAAATGAATGGTTGAAAACCAAGACATTGAATCAATAAATTAATTGGTAGAATAGATATTGCTAAATGAGGTAGATATTAATAGTTTTTAAAGCACAAAGTCTCTTTCATTTTTTCTTCTTTATTCAATTAATGATTTGTTTATTTACTTTTAATTAAATAATTAATAAATGTATTTATTCATTCATGAATCTTCTCTCTCTCTCTCTCTCTCTCTCTCTCTCTCTCCCAACCTCTTTCTTTCTCTCTTTCTCTCTCTGTCTCTCATCTCATCTAATTTGTTTCATCATGTGTCGCACTCTGTCTTCTTTTTCATTTTCTCTAACAGGTTCTCACTTTCTCTCTCGTCCTCTCTTTCCTCTGTCGAAAGCGATTGAAAAATTGGGCTATGTATATTAATTTTCAGTGCTAATTCATCGCTATTTCTGATGTCGCATTCGTTTTTATTCTCAAGTCAGTGTCCTTTTTTCTGTTTTTTATCATCACTATCATATAAGGTTTTTATAATATCGAGGGTTATAGATGAGGAGGCAAAGAATGCCGTATCTAAAACTAGTAAATGAATAGCTGGTCAATTATCAGCCAGCCTAAATTTGCGTTGAATAAAAGAGTACTATATAATTATATGGAATCTATAATATGCACGCAATATTTTCTGTACCCATGGACTTGTATACAATAATAGCTTTGCTCTAACAGAACATTATTAGAGGAATTCTAACATAAGTACATGTAAACTGTGAACGTGAGGATAAACATGTGATGTGGGTGCAGAGGAGTCACAATACATGGGGGAGGGGTGGGTTGAGACCGACGGAATAACATCCCATTCAGGAATCTGTAGGCAAATCTCATATTTTCAAATGTTTAAAATATGGGTTTCTTTCTTCTCCTTTTATGTTTTGCTTGTTGAAAATACTCAAGCAAAATATATGATTTTGTTTTAAGGTATTCCAGTGGTACCCTTTGCGGAGGGGTTGTAACGTGAGTGGGATGGGAGGGGTGCTCGTCGTTCATGTATGTTATTCAATTAAAAGGGCATCAAGAATAAAATTCTAGCGCTTACGTGCAATTTGACACAAAGCAAAACAAGCATAATCTCACCGATGATACTTCTTTTTGGAATGTATATTGGACTTTGGACTTGAAATCAATTATCCCATATCATTAGACTAAACAGAGTTTATATTAACCCAAAGAATCACCTAATATTTGAAATAAATAAATACCATTCCTGGTAATCATGCGACTTTGATCTTTAAACCTCCCGCACGTGATAAAACAAAATAGTCAGATTTTCTTTCTTTTGTAGACATTTCATGCACGAAGGACGTTGGAGCTCATGCATTATTCCATTATCTTTCTGTATATTAACTAATGATTATAGCTGCATGTTGAGACTGATAACATTGTTTTAAAACGAACTTGGATTGTCTCCGGTAGATTTTTGTTCCATTTAGATAAGTTCAAAGGATGATTTTCCAGTCATCATTCAGGGGCAAAAAGAAAAGAAGCACTATCACTTACACAAAGTAATGTTTATGTTCTATGGATACAGTTTGTTCTATCATCAATATTTAAAAAAATTGTTATTACTGTAAACAACAGATAGAAAATTATTTCTTCCCTTAACATAATTTCGGTAGGAGACTCACATGACATTGATCTCACCTTCAAAATAATATTCATCATTTTCATATCTTTTTTTGTTTGTTTGATTATGATAGAAACGCTTGCTGACCTGCTTCTTTTCTCTTCTATTTTCTAAAGGTATTATTTCGAATCGAATAATAAACTTTTAATCATAATTTTTATAAAAGTTTTGTTGAGGCAGATTTTACCATGTTTGTCGTTGCTTTTCTCCAATCTCGGATGAGTCCATCAAGTTCTTTGTCTTGGCTTATCCTGGTGTGTGTGACGTCATAGGGGTCAGACCAAAGGTTAATGTCATCTTCCCAAGATCTGTAGCTGGCTTTATAGGCATCGACCAAACAACCGCCTCTGTAGCGAAAAGACGTATGTCTTGAAATTAAAATAAAATTGATATATAGTATGGAATTATGATCTGTAGCTAGCTATAACAATTATATGGGCATTGACCAAACATTCGTCAGTAGCAGAAAGACATATGACTTGATATTAAAAAAAATTGATATATATGATGGGACTGTGATCTGTAGCTAGCTATAATAGGCATTGACCAAACAACCGTCTCTGTAGCAGAAAGACGTATGTCTTGAAATTAAGAAAAGTTAATACATGTATGCAGTATCGGATTATGATCTGTAGCTTGCTATAATATATGCATTGACCAAACAACCGTCTCTGTATAGCAGAAAGACGTTTGTCTTAAAATAAAGAAAATTTGATATGCAGGATCGGATTATGATCTCTACTGAGCTAGCTATAGGCCTATAAATATCGACCAAGCAACTTTCTCAGAAGCAAACAAAAGTATGTCTTGAAATATAAAAACCCGTATAATCATGCAGAATCGGATAATTGAAGTAGCATTAGTAGTAGTAGTAGAAAAAGAAGAAGAGGTAGAAGAAGTAAAATGGCAATATGATGATATTAACAATAATGATAATAATTATAAGATGAAGAAAAAGCAAAAGAAGCAGAAGAATTAGACCAATAATCATGATAATGGGTTGATCACTGGATGGAAAGTAGCAATAAAGTTTAATGTTTTGCCAAAGATCAGTGTCGCTTGCACCTCTGTGATCATATTAATCTTTAGATGAGCGAAAATCTTTGACACCATGCACCAGGTAGGAAATTTTGCAAATGGATTTTATAAAAAATAAAAAGATTTAACTAAATATTCCATATTTAGAAGGGAAACACCCCCCCCCCAATTTGATTCTGTCAAAGAGCATTCGATCAATCGGTACATGATTACAACACACACCCCCAGTCAACTATCAAGCCTACGTATTAATTTAGTTTATAACTATCTTATCACTATGAACATGACAGACAATGAAAGCGGACAAAATATACAGTTCCTCAGGTAGACAAAGGAACATCCCTTGACTGCTATTATGTAAAATGTGTAGAACAGGTGAATATGCATGTGACACCTGTTCTACACATTTTTACATAATAGCAGTGAAGGGATGTTCCTTTGTCTACCTAAGGAACTGTATATTTTGTCCGCTTTCATTGTCTGTCATATTCATAGTGTATACCACTTATAATCTCATATTACACTAAACGGATTCTTACCCGTTTTTCAGTAATGCAGACGTTTCTGTAGCTCCCGGTCTGTTTATATTCGTGTCCTGGTCATCAATATCATCATAATGTCTGTGCTTTCTCGACATCCACGGGCAACAAATAGCCATTTTCATTAACAGACCAATGATGGCACTTTGTTAGTCAGAAGGATTCGGCTTCACCTTACCAAGTATTCAACAGTTTCAGCGCAGTAATGATTCGAAACAGATACTATATGAAACACTAACTTGTTATAATGACGTGTCAATCATTGTCTGCGATTGGAAAATAAAATTATTGGTTCCATTACAATTTGTTTTTCCCCGTGTATGTAAGCGAAGAGGTTACCAAACTTGCAGATATCGAGAGCCGTCAACGCGCGTTGAGTACACACATAGACGGGGTCGTGCTATGCAAATATTAACACTTAACCCAAGTTCATTCAAAATGGAGATCTTGTTACGTAATTGTATCATCAAAACATATCCTCCATGTTAGCCATACAATAGTCACAACTTAAATCGCGACGGAAGAAACAATACAGCATTGGTGCGTCAATTTAGGGCGTCATGGCGACGACGTTACGAGTTTTCTTTTCTGTTACTTCTTTGGTTCACTGGACAATTGAAACAAGTTTTTCGTGACACATAAAACGTGTGAAACCAAATTGTAGTCGTCTGATTACGAATTAAACAGATTGAGCTTAAATATTGATGACTGAAAACTTAGAACACTTCTACCGCAAAAGAATGTTATCGTGAAACTTGTGTAGTACCAGATTATGTTCTTCAAGTTGTGGATGAGCCTCATACAAGTCATGTCATGCAATGCCAATGTTTACCGTCTATATTGATTGAGAGGACGTGTCAAGATGATTCAGTAATTTTCGACTACGCATGATTTAAGAAAATCTCCTTTAATTACTCTATTACTTTTAAAAGGCTGAGACCAATTGCCGCATAATTTGAACTGTGAAAAATTACAGTATGTCTCGTTGCTTTCTCGCTGTGAATCTCACGTGCATCCTTCTTCCCCGTGATTTCCTATGTCAGATGTGAGCTCTATCACGATCCTAGTGGTATTCTAGACAGCATAGAATAACACATGCAATCAGAGAATAATACACGACGATAATATCACAGTCATAGAACAAGATATTCCACAAAGAACCAAACAATCCAGATTGAGCAGTAGTCTCTTTCCCAACCTGTATACATCAGACTATTATGCTTACCACACTTCACAAGTCATGTATGGTAGTGAAGCAGTCAGAATATATAGAACTTATTATTTGGTCGTATAAAGAATCATTGACGCAATAATTACCTTTATGAGTCAAACTTTGGTTCCCTATTCGTTGCGGAAGTATGCCTTAATTTTTAGAGATACCGTATTTCAAACAGGAGTTTGTAGTTTATGATGCGAAGCCTCTTTTATCTAACTTGATAATGTTAATTTTTGATGCAGTATTGATAGAGTAATCCCTTTAGCAGCTCACTCAGGAAGCAGGAGAAACATGTAACAATAATGAATTCCTGGGCTCGCTCGACAGTCCCATTTCCTGGAGCCCCTGGTGAACACAATACACGGCAACTAGAATGCTTCTTTCCTCGGTATATTTCCCGATATATTCAAAATAGGAAGTTCGGAATAAGTATTTTTACTAGGAGACCCAAGACTACGCACACTGGCATGAGAGCAATGAAAAGAAATATGAACTATCAACTGAAACTGATGAGCATATTTATTTTACTCCAATGTCGCGTTTGTGAATAAGAAGTGTGTGAAATATATGTAGTTTAGTTATCAAGTGCATTCTATTTTTGAGATCCTAACTTCCTACATCACATTGTGTGTGGGAATTTTTTGTTGACTATTATATAGTTGAATGCAAGGGCTTGGACATGTCTTTATGATTCATATACAGAGTAGAACCGAAAGTAATCATGCAAGAAATGAAGGAGTGCTAAATACAAAACAAGAACCAGCCCCAACCCCAACCCTGCAAAAAGAATTAGAAAAGGAAAAAAAAAAATCAAAGTTAAACACAGACATGCACACACTCACACCAACAATAAAAAAACAACAACAACTGTCCGGAATATTCTCTCTCGCCCTCTACCCCTCTCTCTTCTGTTCTCCCCTCGATTTTGTTGTTGTTGTTGTGTTTTCTCTCAATGCCTGCTCTTTGGAATAGTTCTGTTCACGTATTTCCCCCGACTGTCCGATTGCCCGTCTGTCTCTCTCTCTCTTTCTCTCTCTTTCTCTCTCTTTCTCTCTCTTTCTCACTCTTAATTAATAATTAATAATTAACAACATTTGTATAGCGCTTATCACAAAATATGTCTCTAAGCGCTTAAGAAAAATAGAAAGAGAAGGAATTACAGCCAAATATTAAGTTATACATATTAGATAGTGGACAATCGAGGGGGCTGCATATGCAAATGAAAAAGGCTATTTAACAAAAAAGTAGGTTTTTAACATGGATTTGAATTTGTCTGTTGAATCTGCTTGTTTTATACATTTAGGTAAATTGTTCCAGAGTTGAGGGGATGCTGCATAAAAAGTTCGGGAACCATAAGACTGTGGGTATTGGTGGCAGGAACTATGAAGAGTGATTTCTTGTTTGAGCGCAGGTTCTCTCTTTCTTTCTTTCTCTCTCTTTCTCTCTCTTTCTCTCTCTTTCTCATTCTCTCTCTCTCTCTCTTTCACGCTTAATCTTGATTGCATCCATATGGTACTTTGTATGATTGAATTAAACGACATCGCTTGACTGACTTTGATAAGGATGAACCATTCCACAGAATAACCCGTTGTAAAACAGGTTGAATTCTGGTAAATATAACATAATTTGTTAGCTTTTTTATTCTAATGATGTCATTTTGAAAGAATATGTCCCCTGAAAAGAATTACTCTAATACCCTCATATTCGGAATATGACGAGAAAGAGCTGATGCATTTGAACAAACAATCATGTCACATGCCACAAAGTAATCACATGACCAGAACTCAACTTTATCTTCGAAACAAATAACCTCAATATCACAACCTCTGCCTTGATGTCAATATTGTAAAATCAAGGCTATCGCGTCATTCAGCATCCTGATTATACATACACAATGTCTGGTGTCAAAGTCCCTCTGCAATCCTGCAATAGTTTTATTTACTCAAAATAAAAACCCTCGCGTAAACTTTTTTTCTTCAAACCTCAGATGATCTATTCTATAGAATAAACCACCGTACACATGGGCCCGAATTCACAAAGGAGGTTTGTCGACAAACCTTGGTTTTCGTACGTCATAATTATGACGCGTTTTACGCGTTTTTTACAAACCTGGTTTGTAAAGAACAAAAGGAGGTTTGGCGAAACAAAAGGAGGTTTGAGCCCCGGCCCCCCACTCAGGTTTCAAAATGACCGCATGCGTGTTGCCAAAATGTCCTTTTCGTAACAAAAGAAAAAGGTCGAGCCGTATTGACTTTACACACCGGACTTTTGCTAAAAAGGGGGGGGGGGGGATGCTGAAAAAGGCTCGTATACAAAAGAAAAAGGTCGAGCCGTATTGACTTTACACACCGGACTTTTGCTGAAAAGGGGGGGGGGGTCGGTAGGAACACGCATATGCGTACCCTAAATAACACTGAGTGGGGGGGGGGGGCCGGGGTTTGAGCTCAAACCTTGCTTTGTGAATTCGGGCCATAATGTGAAACATACAGTTACGATGAACATTATTATAGAGCAAATGATGGGTAACTGATCAGTTCTCATGAAACAGAGTAATTTTCTTTTTATCATGCATACCATTACTTTCAAGGAAAACAATATAATAGTAAAATAACACGTCACGATCACCAAAAATATGATAAAATAACTCAATGGCAAGTTCAATACCCTTTTTTGCACCCTATAGCAATCGTGTTCGAATTACGTAATAATCATCGAAATGCCTCTCATTCAATAGGTAAGGCATAATTAAGGCCATTAGAGGCATGAGGTTGGTTTTCCAGTCTTTGCGACATGATCGTGCTAAATATACATGATTGAACCCCCACGTAGGTTGCGTCATTATTTAAAACAGAATCGGGCTCACACAACAAGCAAATTAGGCCCTCATACTCTCACGTGTTATATTAATACTTTCTAGAAATATCAAATTTGATAAAGTTTTAATGGAATTCGTTCAAATGAGTAGAGACACAATGTAAAAATTTCCTCCATGTGGTGGCTCACTTTGGCATTTTCCCCGGCTCAAACAAAATTGGTAAAACCTGAAACACGGCTAACTGACATAACACTCGCCGACTCGCAAACAGGCAATTTTTGTAATGTAAACAAATTGAATGCATACGTCTTTGTGAAGTGCCTCAATACAAACTATTTCATTCACCTGATAATAATAATAGTATTTCAATAGACAGAATCCGAACTGCATACATTAATTGTTGCCAGGTAGGACAAACATTATGACTTGACCTACCTAGCAACACTTGATATATGCAGTTTGCATTCTGACTATTGAAATACTATTATTCTTATCAGGTGAATGAAATAATTTGTATTGAGGCACTTCACAAAGACTTATGGATTAAATTTGGTTACATTACGAAAATGGCCTATTGAAACAGTGAAAATGGCAGAGATGATGATTCTTTTGTGAACTCTTTAAAAGTATACAAAGACAAAGTAAGTTAGGCATAGCTCCAAAAGCGAGAAACATGAATAACAATTAAAAAAACAAAACATCATTTTACTATCTTAAAATCTACAACTTGTTCCCCCGAACAACTCCGTTCAATTAGTATATCAATATACCATATTTTAATAGTTTATTTATTAAACACACTTTGCACCTGCATCCCCTATGGCCAAATGTTGTCCCTACTCGGAAGAACCCACACTCGTTTTCAGCTTGGACGAATCATAATTGTAATTTCAAAATAAATGTCGAACAATTCAATGTCAAACTTCGAAATTTCTTCAAGTTGTAGATTTTGGTATAAGTTTAAATTTTGTTTTTATCAATCAAATTTAAAAGAATTGAAGAAAAGAGTCAGTGATACTTTACTGTAAATATGACGAGGTAACTTGATCATACCTAACATGCAATATATATCTATTTAATATCGATGTGTACATGAACTTATCCATTCCCAACAAAGCAATTTTAACCAATGTCGTCACTGTCTTCCACTTCATTTCAACTTCGGAACTTTGCACACCACTGCTTTCGGCATGCAGCAAGGACCCTCACCAAAACGACACTTCTCGCAGAGATGACACTTGTGTGGTGGTGTCGTCTTAGCTTTGTCATCTTTTTTCTGCTTCGTCTTTATTCCTAGATGACATCTTTTCATGCTAGATAAGAAAGATAAAAATACCAAAAAGAGCAGTTTTATACTCACCGTACAAATTTCAAACTTGAGATAAACTGTACTAATAAACATTTTCTTTTTGTTAAGAAAAAAAGATTGAGGTATGTCAAGAGGGGCAATTTGTTGTTTTACGGATAGAGTGAGTAAGCATGATAAACGCATGGTTGTAGGAAATAAAACATTTAATACTGACATGACATGTTGTTTCTCTAATTAGTTATTTGAACAAATTAACACACTGCCTATACTACGGGAACCGGTTGGTTCCTACATGTATTAAGTCGATTAAAAGGAGAAAATCAGTCGTCAACCGGTTAAGAACGTTAATCTCACAAAGAAATTTTAACAATTACAATAATGCTGTAAAAACCGATGTTACAGAAGAATGATGTCAATTTTGTTTCTTTACTACACCAATTTGATTTTATCTTCTTTTAACTTTATAGTTTTACTAGAATTTATATTGATTACTTTGTCCTTGATGAAAAGAGGGAAACATTGTCAGGGATATAGTATCGATGGATATGAATCATGTTAATGGATCAAATGAACAACACTAGAATGAGTGGAAGAGTATAATATTTCTTGATAGATTAGGGGTGATGATTGATTAATCGTAAACATATTTAAACATGTAGAGAAACAACGAAATGTTTCTAAACAGAGTATCACCTCAGTGTAACACTCTATTACCAACTGACTAAGTGCTTGATAATTTTTTTAATTTAAAGTGATGATTATTAATATCAAGTTTCTTCTACATTGTCACTTAATACTTTCCAATAGATCAAATCGATTATCTAGATTATCAATTGAAATGTCATAGTATAATGTTATATCATGATTTTACAGAATATTGCTCGTTAATCATTAGGTTACTAATGTAAATGCTCATTACTTTTTGTATGCATTTTTGATCATTTTAAATTCTTCCGAATTCAACGTCGCCGCAATGTTTGTTTTTAATCAAGAAAATATTTATCTATCTATCCATCTATTCCTTTTTCTGTCTATCTATCTATCTATCTTATTCCTGTCTACCCGGCTGTCTATATTGTGTGTATCAATCTATATTTATATGTATTCGTTTATTTATTTATTCATTTATCTATCTACCTATTTTTTAAAATCTATTTATATATCCTTCTATCCATGATTTATATGTTGTGTAATTGAAGTATATAAAAAAAAAAATACCTTTCAATTGCGTATTGGGTGATTCTTCTAAATTCATCTTCCGGCATCTGCATCTTGCATAACACGTCACACTTCGAACATTTCTGACGATATCGCTAGTAAACAAACGATATAAAATATGGATTACATACATGATAAGGGAGCGATTCCTTACATTTATATCATCTAAAAAGGAAAAAGTGTCTTTATGATGACCATTATGGCAGTGATACCAAGAAGAACAATAAGTAGGGGAACCCGGGGCAAAGTTATCTTTCGTGATAATTCGGCATAAACACAGTATTTTAGCAGACAATATACTTATCATTTTTTTATATTAATTATCGTTTTTTATGTATGAAAAACCGATATTTTCTGTAAAAGTACACTTAGCTGACGTATTCGCGCAACTCAGGTAAAAAACGATGCATCCTCGTTGCAGTGTTATTGGCACATGAACTTAGATAGATGGCAGCATTAACAAAAATTTACCGGGCGTGTTCACTTTGCCCCGGGTTCCCCTAAATGTTCAGACCAAGAGAGTTTCATTTTTGGATGAAATAAATGGATAAAAGTCATAAAATTATGTCGTACGGGAGACATTTCATACAATCGCCTATAATACTAAGTTACTATATACATGTACATAGTGTAAACAAAATATGCCACAGTATACTGTATAAATGCATTTAGTGCATTCGAGTTCATCCAAATTAATTATGGCATATATTCCTGCTACTCGAAGCCTGGGTTTCAGAGAATACTTTTTTTTGGGGGGGGGGGGGGGCGTGAATTTTGTACTTTACGACAACTTGAAACGGGTGCTGGCCATGTCAACCTCGATTTATATTTCTGGGTGGATAGTGGCAAATGTGGATTAGTAGGTTATAGCATACTGTATAATAAATGTATTATCTACAGACAAGGTTTCGCATTTCGGATAATTTCGCGGAATATTGCATAATTATGATAGAGGTCTTATTTACTAAGGTTATAGGTACATCGGTAAATAATAGGCCTATTGCTCTTTCTGCGGGCCTTGCAATATTAACCCCGGCCCAGCCTGCCAGGTACCCATTTAGTAGTAGCAAATGTGGATTAATGCATAGATTATAAATTACTTTCGCATCGGTCATGAATTTTTAATTCAGCATCAATCTTGGGGAATAATAACATCAGAGAGAATTTCATTTAACTTACTATCAAAGATTCCGGAGATTTGAAGTTGATGGTGACATGAGTGTAAGCACTTATCCATTTGCGACGACACTTCTGGCAAAATCCTTCTCCCAGTCCACGGACATCTCGTTTACAGCAATGATCCTTTATGCGGATAACTCGCAACGCTTGTTGTCTCTCCCATCGTGTGATCTCGTCTCTGATCAATGCGGGGTAGTTTATATTGGGTATAGGTCTAGATATGAAAAGATTAAAGATAATATTCGTCAATGTGTGTGTGTCTTTTTGTTAGGGAGAGGGGGAGGGGGTAGGTAGATGAGCGTGAGTGTTTTTTGTGTGTGTGGGTGTGAAAGAGGGGGAGAGGGAAAGAGGGGGAGAGGGAAAGAGAGACAGATAAAGACAGGGAAAGAGAGAGAAAGAGAGAGAGAGAGAGAGAGAGAGAGAGAGAGAGAGAGAGAGAGAGAGAGAGAGAGAGAGTGCGTGCGCCGGGGGAGGGGGTGGGGGTAGAAAGTAGACGTAGGCCGGAATACATATTACACTGTCAAAGAAAATGTGCAAATACAATCATTTACATTCACAGTAACAAAGGAAACAGAATTTGTTGTTTGCGGTTACTTGAGATTTAATAGAGGATATTTTCTTGTTACCTGAATAGCAACATCATGACAATAACAATAATTACAACACGAACTTTCCCAACTGAATATAGAAAGATAAACCGTTGCCATACTTTCACTGTACCACTGCTACAATCCACCCCTGGGAAGGACCCGGGTAATACTTTCGAAATTTTCGATCAATTTATACAAGTATCAGCATATACATACACTGGAGCATGCATGGAGCTACCATGTCCAACTCTAAGTACTCTCTGCATCGAGGCCACCAACAGACGAGACTTGTGTACGACCCCCCCCCCCCCCCCCTGGCCATAAAAAAGGCGACACTGTTACGTACGTTGGACAGGTAAACAGTATTACTTTCTTGCCTGGACCAGCGAGTACAGGTTATAGCGGTACCCCCACCCCTTGCATAAAAGAAGGCAAACAGCTCCCTGCATTGAACAGGCGAACACACTTGAATTTAAACGACTTAAATGTCTATTCCTTAAATTCTATCATAAACGACTGATGTGGAAGACTAGTCAACGCACCCTTTCGGAGAAGCCGGGGGGGGGGGTGGCTCTGGACGAATGCTCGCGTTCCAGTCAACGCGACGCGACGCAACACTCCCAACGCACCCGTTCGGCAAAACCGGGGGGGGGGGGCTTTGGACGAATCGTCGCGTTCAAGTCAAAGCGACGCGACACTGGGCGGGTGGGTCCCTTTCGGCATGAGCCATTTATATCGCCCTTCGTATGATAACATTTCTTATGATAAAGGAATGTACTAGCATTAAATTAAAAGATGACTTTTAACGATAATAAAAGTCCATTATGAAGAGAAACAGGAGGAGAAAGACAGAGAGAGAGAGAGAGAGAGAGAGAGAGAGAGAGGGGGAGTGGGGTGGGGAGATAGAAGGGGGTGGAAGGCAGGCCGTAAATTGATAGAAACGTTCTCAAACAAAATTACTGTATATATTATAAAGGAATGGAATTGAAATATGATGTTGCACATCGGTAAATCATCTTATACCAATGTATGCACAAAATAACAAAAACTATTGCTGCCGAAATACACTGTCAAATAATTATGCTTTTGTAATCCTTTATGATAAAGGAATGTACGTAGCATTCAATTAAAATATGACTTCTAACGATGATACGCGGCGTTACGAGCCTATGAAACAATGGGAAGAGAGGGGAAGGAGGGGGAAAGGGAGAGAGAGAGAGATGGGGGAGAGAGGATGAGAGAGATGGGGATGGAGAGGATGAGAGAGAGGGAGAGAGAAAGAGAAAGAGATAGAGAGAGAGAGGGGGGGGGGTGGGGTGGCAAGGCCGAATTCGATGACATCATTTTTTTCTCAAACGAAATTACTATGTAGAATATGTAAATAATAATGGCATTCAACTGAAAAAGTGATTTTCAATCATGTTACAAATCTTTAAATTATCAAGTTTCAAAAGAATACAAAGCAATAACAACAATTCAAGAGAAATAATCTTACCCTTTTGTTGCCATATGAGCTGCACGAGACATCTTTACTTTGAATCACGCATAGTCTTATCCACGTCCAGGCACGAACCTAATATGTCGAATTTTTCCTTCATAAGGCACAAACCACTGATCAAAACATAAACTAACATCTAATGGTTGAACAGGAAGGGAAACGACGTCAACATTCATAAAGGGGCGGCTGTAGCGTCCTATATCAAAGCAAAGAGGGGGGGGGGTGAGGATTTTACTTTTGTACCGGTTTTATACACATATCCAAGTTTGATGGTTGATGACACCGAAAAAGTAGTCTTTAGTCCATCCCATGCGTACAGTCTTGGGGGGGGGGGGGGGGGGGTGAAGAGTGCTCCCTCTACCAAAGTTTGGAAAAATCTTTGACGCCCCCTCCCCCTCCCCCATTATTTTCTCCTCAATGTTGTTACCTGATAGAGGAGGGGGAGGGTGGCCTATAGATTCCCATCGTTTGTTTCTTCTTGTTCAGCGCCCTGTAATTCTGTGATTGAGACAGAGCATCATTCTTTGTCCCCCGTACACTCCTGGTAATAATTAATTTGATAAAATTTTTAGCAAAATATAAATACCACTATACTGACTGTATATAATTCTTTACGCTGTTTGCTCATATGTATTCAGTTAAAACATGCAAGGGCTTGCACAATTCAAATTATTAGTTTTCTTAACATTTACTTGATTTTGATTAACAATGGAAAATGAATTACAGGAAACAGGACAATATTAAAGGCAAAACGCATCGTAAGGCAGACTAGTTTGCATTGCGCAATACACATTAGAGGATGTATAATTTCCTGTTAATATTACGACATATCTTGTTGTTTGCATTCATGTATGACAACATAACTCTTTTGTTACATAGTGGATTCCACCGTTTCTATTGAGCTTGGTTTTCCAATCCACGGTGAAGTCATTCCTAATGTAATTTTCCCCAAAAGGTGGATTTCTACTTCTGTATACATTTAGATATTTGATAAATTTTTAAAAATTATAGCAATTATTTCCTACTCTTCCTTCAATACAAATGATGACAGAATACGCTTCAGTCTGTAACTCTCAATTTCTTTATTTTAAAAGTGAAATAAAATTTGGAAACTCAATACAAAAATCCCAGTAATACAGGCAAACTAAATACATTAATCGACGCAAGTACGATTTAGTACAACCCCTGTATGTAAAAAAAATATATATTCCGTCATCAATAACTAACAAAAATGCAAGCTTATGCAATTGTCTGTAGACTGTAGGCATAGCAAATTGGAAAGGACCTCACAAGATACGTCACGGCTATGCTAATTTGTGTTTCACTATCTCAACTTCAAAATTCATAACTATCCTACTTTTAATCGGATAATGACTAATATTCAAACTCTCAATAATTTGTTTCTCACAGTTTTTTCTGCTTTTATTTATTCCAGTTAATTATCAGGTTGGACTTCCCCTTTAACTGCCAAGCATTGAATGTCAATTTCAATTATGATAGACGGAGGGGAAAGGTAATAAAGGTGTGGAGTCTTAAACACGATTAACCACTACCGGCTTTTACTCCCTAAATTAGCACCGTAATGTCATGAAAACAAAAATACAACAACAAGTGGAAGAAGGAATGTCACAGAATTACCGTCCATGGAAATACATACTTATCATATTCCGTGATATCCCTAATAGAAAACTGAAAAGACAGAAGAGCAAAGAGCTTGCGTACAATACTCGTCACCCATTGTCAGTCTTTAATTCCTATTTAGCCTGTGCTTCATTATATAAGTTTTACAATAACAACACAAATAATAATGATAATAGCTACAACAACAATATCAACAACAACACTTTTAATTACACTATCACTAATACTTCTACTACTACTACTACTACTACTACTTTTACTACTACTTTTACCACTACTTTTACTACTACTACTACTACTACTACTACTACTACTACTACTACTACTACTACTACTACTACTACTACTACTACTACTTCTACTACTACTACTACTACTACTACTTTTACTACTACTTTTACCACTACTTTTACTACTACTACTACTACTACTACTACTACTACTACTACTACTACTACTGAACTACTACATGTACAATGACTACTACTGTACTACTACCATGAAAACAACTACAACAACAACAACTACTACTACTACTACTACTACTGCTACTATTTCTACATCAGCAACAATAACAATTACTACTAAACTGCTACTACTACTACTGATATCAATGTTTATTGATGATTATAATAATGGCTAAACTACAATTGACTTTTTTTGTGACTGACGTTAGTTTTTTCGTTTTGATTTGCGTTGAGACAAGATGGTCGTAGGTGATGTGGTCCCATATTTTCATTCATACATTAAATCCATCGTTCATACCAAATAATTATGTCACAAGTCAAAGTTCTTGTGATGATCAGTAGGCCCATACAATTTCTAAATCCAGCATTTCCAGATTCAAATATCTATAACAAAAATATAAAAAAAGAAGAAGAGGAGATGGAGGAGGAGAATAAGAAGAAGTAGAAGAAAAAAAGAAGACAAATGGGGAGGAGGAGAAGAAGAAAAACAACAACAACAACATCAACAATACATCCACTTTACTGTTGCAATACAACACCACAAGTATGTAGAAATCGTCGAAATCGTAGTTCCTCTATCGCATGTTCACATACATTAATTTATCACGCCTCGTCATTTCTATCATTCACTTAATTGGTTCACTATGAAGTCTTCATATCACGTGATCATCATGGTCTCGTTCATAGCTGTTTGCCTATGAACCCAACTGAAAGGAAAAGCTCATCATTGTTTTGTTTTTTTAAATTTCGATAGGACGTCCAATGAGAGGCGATTTGCTACTTTCTTTTCCCCTCGAGATAATAGATTTTAAAGGAACATAATCCCTCACCACTTCAAGTTTCCCCTGTTGAACCATCTACCTTCTTGTAATGTCTTAATATTTATATCTATTTTTTTCTTTCATAGAGTTGTGTCCAGCATTGTGTTTTTCCGTAGCCGCACTTTTCACACAATTGACTATTGTGACCAGGACCTCCTTGAACGATTTCGTCATCCGTCCAGCTTGAGTTGGACAATATTCTGTCAAAATGAAACAAGGGAGATCAGAAGATAATCAAGAGAGCAAACACGTGACAACAGTGAAAAGTAACGCTTTGAATGCCAATCTAATACTTCTAGACAGGGAGGTCACTATACCATTTTGGAGGGGGGGGGGGATTACTTTCAAGTTATCAGCTGAACAATTCCAAGAGTGTTACCCAACTTGGTCTTTATTTTGTCCATTTTGAAGAAATTTCTCTATATTGTCACCCAAATTGGACAATGTATCAGCCAAGATGGGTATTTAAAGAAAATACCCAAAATTGGTAGCGGTAACCCTCGTGCTGAGCATATTATCCCTCGCTATCTTTAAGAGTATGTGAGGTCTTGGAATGATCAAAATGAATATGACATTGGTCAGTCTTGCTGAAAAGAACATGCATTGCACAAACAAATAAATGAGTATCAGACGCCTGGAAACTTCATAATTATGAGGGATTGAATGTATCACTTTTAATTGCCAGCTGATTGGAAGAAAAGAACGCGTTGACATTTGCTTGGGGAATATAGCATTTGCAATCATCCTCTTTAACTGTCGAGATGTGGAGGATGGTCACCCCAATGAAACTCTTTCTCTCTCAATTGGGGAGGATGGCCTTTGCAATCGAACTCTTTAGCTCTCGAATGCTGGGGAGGATGGCCTTTGTAATCAAACTCTTTAGCTCTCGAATGCTGGGGAGGATGGCCTTTGTAATCAAACTCTTTAGCTCTCGAATGCTGGGGAGGATGGCCTTTGTAATCAAACTCTTTAGCTCTCGAATGCTGGGGAGGATGGCCTTTGTAATCAAACTCTTTAGCTCTCGAATGCTGGGGAGGATGGCCTTTGTAATCAAACTCTTTAGCTCTCGAATGCTGGGGAGGATGGCCTTTGTAATCAAACTCTTTAGCTCTCGAATGCTGGGGAGGATGGCCTTTGTAATCAAACTCTTTAGCTCTCGAATGCTGGGGAGGATGGCCTTTGTAATCAAACTCTTTAGCTCTCGAATGCTGGGGAGGATGGCCTTTGTAATCAAACTCTTTAGCTCTCGAATGCTGGGGAGGATGGCCTTTGTAATCAAACTCTTTAGCTCTCGAATGCTGGGGAGGATGGCCTTTGTAATCAAACTCTTTAGCTCTCGAATGCTGGGGAGGATGGCCTTTGTAATCAAACTCTTTAGCTCTCGAATGCTGGGGAGGATGGCCTTTGTAATCAAACTCTTTAGCTCTCGAATGCTGGGGAGGATGGCCTTTGTAATCAAACTCTTTAGCTCTCGAATGCTGGGGAGGATGGCCTTTGTAATCAAACTCTTTAGCTTTTGGATGCTGGGGAGGATGGCCTTTGCAATCAAACTCTTTGAAAAATACCGTGAATGAATGCAAGAATCATATTTTCGATCTAAAATATTCATGACCCTTCATATGTTTATCAAAGAGGCAAATATACTACATTGATTGACGTCACATGCTTAATCTTACTAAACTAAAGCATACCTTTTGATTTCCTTTTGAACGATTCCTTTAAACTCCATTTGACTAAAAGAGGGCTCATTTTCCGTTAGACATTTTTCGCACTTCTGCTTGTAGAGCTACCAATGGAAGATTAAAGAGAAATTTTAAAGACAGAGAGAGGGAGGGAGAAAGAGAGAGAGAGAAAGAGAGAGAGAGAGAGAGATGGAGAGCGCGCGGAGAGAAGGGGTGGTATTCACGAGAAAACTTACCTCAATTCTATATCAGACATAGTATCAGGGCCGTGTGAAAACACTGTCTTCTCGACTATACGCCATCCATTATGATTTTAACAACAATAAGTCAGCAAATTATGATTTCTATTTTCCACTTGTGACTATTTATAGTGCTTTAAAGGGATCCGGTAACTTTGTCTCAGATTCTGAAACAAAATCCTGGATTTAGCTCATGATGCAATGATAATTATAAACCTTTAGGTCAGTCAGGAACCCCATGACTTTTACAAGCCGATCGCCTGTCTGATTATCAAGATATTTATGATTGGAATTATAAATTTTGAAAACCGTTCGCCTGACGGTTTTCATAACACTACAGTCTATCGGGGAAAACGAGTATGGTA